ACAGAGAAAAAAATTACATTTTATAAAGATTCAAAATTTAAAAAGATTTAAAATAGGTGCACAGAAGAGGGAACAAATATGGTAATATGGAAGTAGAATAATAAAAGACCCATCTTGAAGGAAGGCAAATACAGATTTAGGAGTGTGAGACATCCATCAAGATAACTATTAGCTTTAATGACCAACATAACAAAGAAAAGAAAAAACCTGTAAAGCAAAGTGTCTTGGACTTACAAGGGATATTTTTCAGGTTGATGTTATAATCATTTCCTTTTAGCTGGTAAGAGAAATTACAGAATACAGAATATTCACAGCTACAGACACTTTGTTAACTGACCATATTGTAGCAAAAGTCTTGAGCAGTGTATCTTAACTGGAGAGAGGTACCACTTTTGCCAAGGATCATTTGAAAATGCATGGGGACTATTTTTATTCTGTCACCGTGGCTAAAGGTATTACTAAAATTTCATGGCGAAGGTCAGGGTTGTATACTGGTAGAAATGTTCCACCTACAATGACAAGAGAGCTCTAGTGAGAAACATTTGCCTAAACAAATAATGTACTCTGGTGCCTGACTTAACTGCTACTGAGTTTTCATGTGATTCAATCTCAAGGGCTCTCATACAGTTAAATTGGTTTATTACACATTTAAATGTTATTCTTGGTTTCTTTATATTTGTCAAGAATAGTAAATGTGATTCAGGGGATCATGAGAAATAATAAAAGCATGACTAATGGTAGAGGTCAATGACTACAATCTATACTTTCTATTAAAGACTTCAGATTCATCTGAAATGACAATGAAATTCTCAGATATCCCAACAAAAAAATTTCAACCACTGATTTTTTTAAAATTTTATTTATTTATTTAAAAGAGTTATTTATTTATTTATTTATACATGCACTGGGTACAGTCAGAAGCGCAGGAGGGTGAGAGAATTCACCAGAGCTAGAGCGGGGAGCAGAGCAGGCAGAAGGACCGAAGTACACTGCTGAGGGGAGCAGCGGGCGGCAGGAGAGGTCTGCGCGCCATGTGGGACCCTCCTCCGGTAGCCAGGAAGCAGCTGGGGATTGAACCGGCGCTGCAGAGGCTGCGGGCAGCTTCGCAACCTAGCTCTCAACCGCTGCGCCACTGGGGAGGGACTCAACCACTGATTTCAAGCAATCATAGTATTCAGAGATTTGAGGTGATATAATCATCTCCTTATCATTTCATGGAAGATCAAGAGAGCTTGGTCAAAATTTTCTAAATCCTAAAACTCAACTTTACTTTTCTTATGTGTATAATCTGGTGTTAATTTTAATTCCTCTTTCTAGAGGTATGCTGTCTTTAAATGCTCTAGTCTGAATTGAGATGTACTGTACCAGATTTCAAAGATTTCATATGAAGTTAAAAATATAAAATGCCTTTAATAATTTTTACATTGATTACAAGTTGAAATGAAGATTTTTGGATATTGGTTAAATAAAATGTGCTATTAAAATTAATTTTTATAAGTTTTGCTTTGCCTTTTCAATATGACTTCTAGAAATTTCATATTACACAGGTACTGGCTTTATATTACAGTTGGACAGTATTGTTCTAAAGAGTCAGTGAGAAGGGCCTCCCTGGTGGCGCAGCGGTTGAGCGCTGGGCTGCAAAGCTGCCAACAGCCTCTGAAGTGCCAGTTCGAGCCCTGGCCACCAGCGAGGGTCCCAGGTGGTGCAGCAGACCTCTCCTGCCGCTCCCGCTGCTCCCCTCAGCAGTGTGCTTCGTCAGTCTGCCTGTTCTGTTCCTGCTCTGGCACTCTGGTGAATTCTCTCACCCTCCCGCGCTTCTGACTGTACCCAGTGCTTGTATAAATAAATAAATAAATAAATAAATAAATAAATCTTTAAGAAAAAAGAGTCAGTGAGAAATATCAAATTGTGTTTAGATTATCTGTTTAATCACTATGGTTTTTATGTCATTCCTTGGTCCTTTTATGTATTCCATACCATTCCAGGTCCCACATAGATTTAAATGGGAATGAGCTTTCTGAGCTATAGAGCATCACTGCACTTTTTGTATGTGCTTACTCAGTATCTGTACTGGAGTACCTTCTTCATAAAGGCATTTATGTTCCTATTCCTAATTTCATACTGTATGTCAATGAAGATATTGAAGGTTCAGGATGTTTGCTTTGTCTATTTGCGGTCTGCTGTGTAATTGTATGTTATCCTTGAGACCGTATTTTCTTCCTCTCAGTTCTTATTGTCTCCTCCAGGAGGTGTTTTTGAGCTGCCAAGCACTGCTCAGGTGGATGTTACCCTCACGTTGTCTTTTAATAAGACTGAAACAGTTTCCAGGGTAGGTACTATCTATAAATGCTTCCTTTGTGACAAACTTAATTGATTTGAGTGTGTTTGAGACTGCTGTCTCACCATCAACCATCCCTTTTGGCTAGAGGCCTGACATTTTGCTATTATTTAGATATCTCATTTGCTTCTTAGAGACACACTGTGAAGTTTTAGCATTTGCCCTATTTTTATAGATGAGGAATTCGGGACTGAGAGAAATGAATGACTGGCGTAGATTCATGCCATTAGACTCTGCTACCACCGTTAATGTTTTGGACTAGATTCAGTCATTCATATCTGAAAACTGGAAATGTATGAAACCAAACAGTTTACCCTGTAGATGATGAGTTCTACTGACCCCGCCCTGGAATTTGTTCTGTATGTGTTCCTAAGTCCCAGATGTTTGACTTATGTGAAAATAATGCCAAGGTAAATGAGACGGAACCGGAAGCAGGAACTTACATGCGAGCCTATTTTATTGGCAATTTCAGATGTTTGCAGTTCTTTCTTTGTACAGTGGAAATTGCTATAATATTTGTTAGGACTAAACAAATAGTCCATGCTGATAGAAGACTGCACCCCGAGTATGACTCACTCCCAATAGAACATAGTTTTGGACATGACTTGAACATGGCTCTTTATTTATTTATTTATTTTAAGATTTATTTATGCATATAAGAACTGGGGTACAGGCCAGAGGTGTGGGGAGGTTGAGAGGATTCACCAGAGAGAGCTTGGGGAACAGAACAGGCAGACTAACTGAAATACACTGCTGAGGGGAGCAGTGGGAAAGACAGGAGAGGTTTGCTGCGCCATGTGGGTAGCTCCCTGGCTGATGGGGATCAAACTCGTGCTGCAGAGGCTATGGATAGCTTCACAGTGCTGTGCCTAACCCCTTGTGCTACCAGGAAGACCCTGACATGGCTTTTTAATTGCAATATTAAGTCTTCCAGTCCATGAATATGACATTTCCTTCCATTTATTTAGTGCCTTTAATTTTAATCAGCAATCATTTATACCCTTAAGTGTTCAGTTCTTTCACATCTTTTGTCAGATTAATCCCAAAATATTTCATTTTTGCTGCTATTGTAAGTAGTATTGTTCTTTTAATTTCACATTCTGATTGTTCATTACCAGTGTATAGCAGCATAGTTAAGTTAGGCATATGATCTTGTACCCTGAAATCTTACTAAACTCAATAATTCTAGTATTTCTTTTGTAGATTTCTCAGGATATCCTACATGTTATCTGCAAACTTTACTTCTCCCTTTCCAATTTGTAGACCTTTCCTATTTTTCTTGCTTTTTTCCTTTTTAATTTTAATTTTCTTTTTCAATTTTTTATTTGGTTTCTAAATTTTTAATTTTTGCTTTTTTCCCTACTGATTAGATCCTCTTTTATAATGTTGATTATGCTCATGATGAGAACATTGGCAGAGACCCCAGTGAGCACTGGAGGGTCACAAGTGCAGAGTGTTCCAACTGGAACAGTGTAGCCAGTCTTCACCAGGCTGACCTGTGAGCTTGTGATCTTTGTATTTGTGTGTGTGAGTTATTGCACATACAGATGTTATATTGAGACTTAAAAGAGTTTTGTTCTTCTGGTGAAGAAACAAAGTACAAAAATTAATTGTTGTTTGATGGAGGCTTTACAGAGATGTGCTTAAAAAGAAAGAGTACTACCTGGCTTCCTTACTTACCTGATATGTGAAAGTCTCAATGTTCTCATCTTTAGAATATAGACAGTAATAGGACCTACTATTGTGAAGATGAAAGGAATTGATGCAAAGACCGTGAAATAACACGCAGGGACTGTTCACTGATGTTAGTTAGCTTTTTGGTACGCTGACATTTATTCTTTATGGTTTCTGCCCGCTGGTTTCCACTAAATTGTGTCTTTAGTGGAAGATTCAAAGGACCACATAGCTCTTCTGTAGATATACCTCTTACTCATACCTTAGTGCTCTGGCCAGGGTCTGGCAACACAACAGCATAAAATGTAACCACAACAAATTTGTGTTGGATTAAAATACTACTCATGGATAAAGACCTAAAGACCCAAGATTTTCAAGAGGCTCTAAATAGAAAAACAACAAAAAATAAAACTAAAAGACCAAGAGAGTGACCTCTTGTCACATTACCCACCCACCATTCCACTTACACCCCCCAACCCCACTTTTCCTAATCAAAAGGGAGCACTATGGGACCCTAAGGGATGTCCTGGGATTTTGAAGGGGGGGATCCCCACAGAGATGAACAGTGGCAAATTCTGGGTAGGATCCATAGTTCAGCAGAGGAGGTACCAAACCAAGGATGGGAGGTTGGGATTGGGGGGTCGCTGGTTTGCTTCGACCCTGAAATCCGAAGCCGGGAGAAGACACCAGAATGGGCCAGTTGTTGGGATAGAGCCGCGTTGGGGTATCTGAGAGGGGTGCGTGGCGCCATGAGGGGGGTCGCGAGCTGGGCGGGGCAGAGGCCCTCCGAGTCCCCGTTGCCACGGCAGCGGCGGGGGGCGGGGCCTGGGAGAAGCGGGTGCTCGGGTGCTCCGCTCCCAGCTCCTCCCGGGCTGGCGCTGACGTGTCGCTGGGGCGCTCTCCCCGCGGGCGGGCGGCGCCCCCAGTGCTCCGCCCCGGCCCCGCCCGCCGCCGCCTCCGCGTCACCGGCTCCGGAGGTGACCACAACATGGCTGCGGCGCCGGGGCTGCTCCTCTGGCTGCTCCTGCTCGGGCCGCCCGGGCGGGCGCGGGGCCAGCAGGATCCGGGCCCCGGCCGGCGCTTCTCGGAGCACAAACTCTGCGCGGACCCTGAATGCAGCAGTGAGTGAGCGGGCGCGGCGCGGGGGCGGGAGCTCGGCTGCCCGGCATGCGGGCCGGGGATCGGGCCGGGGAGCGCGGGGCGGGCGGAGCACGGGTTTGCGCGAGCCCTTCGGCCCCCTTCTGTCCCGGCGGCTCCGGCCGGGGCGCGGCGGACTGCGCCTCCCACTTGTTGCCAGCCGTTTATTTCTCCCGGGCTGACCGATGGGGGCCAGAGGGTGCTCCCCGCTGTCCCCCGGGGGCGGCTCCCGGCGGTGGCTCCCGGGTGCCAGGGAGGATGGGGTGCGCCCTTGGCGCGCCGGGTTCCCCGCGCTGCCTCGGGCGCCTTCCAGCCCCCGCCTCGGGACCTCGGCGGGTGCAGCCCTCAGGCAGATGCGCTAAGGACTGCGCGGGCAGATTCCGGTGGCGCTGGGGAAAGGCTCCCTGGCGCTGCCCCATCACTCTTCTGCTCCACTCGTGTTTGGGGCTCTACCGCCTTAGGACAGGGTTTGGAGTTTAGGTTTGGGGCGAGCCCGGAAGCTCGGGGACGCATTGTATTGCGAGGTCTCGGTCCTGGCTTGCTCTCATCCTGTCATTTCTACAAGGGCTCCTTGCAAACTGCAGGCTGGGAGGACACCGGAGAGGCCAAAAAATTTCGCTCTTCGAAGAGGCCGAGGATCTGCATGGGCCACCTGGGACATGCAGCCTGTTCAGTGCGCAGGAAGCAGAATTGTTCTCCCCATCTCAGATTGGGATTGGGGGGTGGGTTGTGGGCGGTGAAAGAGGACAGACATTTCCCGACTCAGATGCAGAGATTATTAAAGCAATGATATATATGCCACGGGTTTTATAAGCTAAACCAGTTTTAGCCTTAGTCACTTGTTTTGTTGGTATTGCTTCCTATCTGCCTGCCCGACCAGGGTCATTCCTATGGCCTCCTGGCGGGTCTCAGATATCCACGTAGTCAACGGAGAACTGCTTCAGAAACGGTTGTTCATAGATTCTGATCAATACCTATAGAAACATGTTCAATCTGAAAAGATCTACAGACCTACAGATTAGTGAACCATCTTCAAATTAATGCTATTAAATCATCAATTTCATAATTTGAGGCGTTCGTATCACTGCAGTGCTGTAAAAAAAGAGAAAGAGGGGGTGATTTGGAATTTTTGTTCAGCGATTCCGAGAGTAAGTCTAGGGCTGATGTAAACAGACGCTGCAAAAGTGGAGCAGCTTCCACGATTTTTTCCCCCTTTCTTCTTCTAGCAGATGCAGGTTATTAGCAAGCAGGCTTGGGTATGCAAAATGTTTGCTTCCATGGCCTTTGAGCACTATCCAACCTGGGTGTGATGTGATGAGGGAATGGCATCCCTGAGCTTCCCCAGCAGGAGAGGTGGCTTTGGAAGGGCCCTGAGTTGTGAGAAGTGGCATGTGTCCAAACAGATGTTACCAAACACACAGGCTGCCAGAGCAGCGTCCAGGGTTGTGTTGTGTGGTGTAAGTGTTTAGAAAGAGGTGTGTGCCCTTGTGTGCTTTCCAGACAGGTGTTGTATATAATGTATTGTGTTGTCATCTGATGTGTTGTTATAAATCATCAAGGATCTCTTCTGAGGGAGGCAAGAAAAGCAGTGCCATTTCCAAACCTGAGGGACTCTCCAATCTTAAATTATCAGTCACCTTCCACTTGACCTTTCACCCAGCTGTCTGAATCAACATATGGACATATATTAAAATTGCCAAATTTTAGCTTCAAACGTCAAATAACCTTCAGATCTATGTTTGTTCCTCAGACAAGTATTTGAAGAGATGTGTCATTGTACTTATTGCCAATCAACTCTTAGAAATGTGTTATTTCCATGTCACCCTTCTTTTTATTTGCTACTTACTTGCATTTATTGTCTGTTTCATCATACATCAGAAACTGCGTTTTTGGCCAGCAAAAAGAAACATAGTCCTATCAGTTCCTAGATTGAGTGTGACTTAAATCCTGCATTTTTAGGCTGAGTGTAACTACTGAACAATCCTCATAGTTTCGCTTATCTCTGCTACACATGATGTCCACTTTTATTTTATACACAGAAATACATAAATAGGGTATTTTCTCTTTGTTTTAAAAGCTTATTAAGGGGCCTCCCCAGTGGCGCAGCGGTTGAGCGCTGGGTTGAGAAGCTGCCCGCAGCCTCTGCAGCGCCGGTTCGATCCCCAGCTGCTCCCCGACCACCGGAGGAGGGCACGGAGGAGGGTCCCACATGGTGCGCAGACCTCTCCTGCCGCCCGCTGCTCCCCTCAGCAGTGTACTTCAGTCCTTTTGCCTGCTCTGCTCCCCGCTCTGGCTCTGGTGAATTCTCTCACCCTCCCGCGCTTCTGACTGTACCCAGTGCTTGTATAAATAAATAAATAAATCTTTAAAAAAAAAAAAAAAAAGCTTATTAATGTTGCTTATAGTCAACATTATTTTCAGAAGATTTCCTTGTAATAGGATTGGATACATACATGTTTTTACATATACATACATGTTATGTATACATAACATATTGTATACAATTGGCCTGATTGGCCAATTTTACATATACATACATATACAATTTTACATATACATACATGTTATATCCTTCCCGACTAATTCATCCAGATGCTGAAAAGAGAGTACCTTGGCCCACACTTGAAATTGACAGTGTTTACTGCTGTGTGTTAGCAGTTACAACCACTTAAAGAGAGGGCCTTTTAGTGGCTAGTTCAAGTTAATTGACCCCATGGGGATTCCTGGGTGCTTTTCTTATTTCCCTATTATCTCTCCTTGCTTAAGCCTGTCAGCATTTGTACTTGAATTTACTCATAAAAATGCAGCTCTTTATGTTATAAAACAGCAAAGATCTAGGACTAGAAAATTAGCGAAAGAACCAAGTTTCACTTGAGACCAGCTTTGTGTGGTGAAGGGTATGTTGCTTTTTGTTTATTATCCTTAGAGGAAAAGGAAAGTTTACCTCTTCCCTTTCTGCTTGAGGGATTGTGATGATTTGTAGCAATAAAGCTCCAAAGAGTGTGGGTGCTTTGCATACATGAATTGAATGTGATTAATTCCAGAGTGCTGTAGACACTTGATGGTTGTCTCCAGTATTTGTGTTTCCGGAATAATCGATACGGGCTGTGAAAGTTGAAACCTGATGTCTGGTTTGTTTTTTTTTTCTCTCTCTCTTTACACAGTGTTAATGTACCGGGGTGAGGCTTTAGAAGATTTTACAGGACCGGATTGTCGTTTTGTGAATTTTAAAAAAGGTGACCCTATTTATGTCTATTATAAACTGGAGGGAAGATGGCCTGAAGTTTGGGCTGGAAGTGTAAGTAAAAATTTTACATATTTTAATTTCCCAATTTTCCTTGGTTTGATTAGTATTATAGATGTAAATAACTGTTTTCATGTGGTCTTTGATACTATTCACAGATCTTTTCTTTAAGAAGTGGGTTCTGTGTCCACATAGGATTCAGGACCTGCATTGAATAGGGACTCAGCACAGGCCATTGAAAAAGGCCCAACTGCCTTTTGCTCCCCAGAGTCATCTTCCACGCATTATCAGCCAGTAGTGCTCCATACATAGTAAAAGATGAAATGGTGAAAACTGGAAAGTTCTTTTCTTTTTATGTTAATGTCCTTTAATTTGCAAGCAACAGAAATTAGCTTTACTTAAGAAAAAAAATGGAGTGGTGGAGCAAATTCATTGTAATGGTTCAGGAGTATTCCACAAACTTAAAAACAAGCTTTTCCACAGACTTATAAACAAGTTTATCCAAGACTCAATGTGGACAAGAAGTAAGCCATCTCCACAATTTAACAACTAGAGTTGGTTTTGAATGACGGGTCTCTTGGATTCAGCCAGTAAGAAGACTCAACTCCAACATCCTCCAATCTCTGCATTTATGTGTCCCAGGTTTGAAGTTTCCAGAAGGAAGAACCTGATTGGCCAACTTGTGTCCATTTTCTTCCTCTGGATCAATTAGTGTGCTCTAATATCAGACATGGCAAATCAGGGGTGCCACCTCCTATATATTAGAAGTCTTTCCCAGATGTTAATAAGGAACTTGTGGAAAATTTGGCCCTGTTACCTTCCGGACCTCAGCTCCTACAGTGCTGTAGACACTCTGACCTCCCTTTTCTTCAAAAAGGCCAGCCAGTGTGCCTCAGGAACATTCTACTTGCTCTTCCTTTCCAAGGCCAATTCTTGTGTTAAATAACTACATAAATCATTTTCCTTTTTTCCCCCCTCTTTTTTAATTGAGCTAATGTTGGTTTACATTGTTGTTTGCTTGTTGCGAGTGTAGAATCCCCACCTCTAGGTGTTATAACCATAGTTCACCCACCAGCAAAGTACCCATAGTCCACCTCCATAGTCCACTGTGTTCCATCCCTTTCTGGGGTCCCTCCCTCTTTGTCCTGGCTCCTCTCCCCTCTCAGCATTCCTTAGTTCTGTAGTTAACTTTCAAGTATTAGTTTTTAAGTTTGTCTTTATCTAACCCTTTGTTTGAAAACAGAACATCCTTTAGTTTATTGCAACAAAATGGAGAAGTTCATGGGCTAATGCTTAATCTCTTTTCACTGTGTGCAAGGTAGTATTTCAGGCATTCATATTTAATGTTGGTTTTATGTGTAGTTCTTTTTTCCTAATTATTAGTATTTGTGAAAAACTGGCAGTGTGGGGAACAATCACCTAATCTTGTATCTGTTATTAATCTTAGAAAAGCAAAGTGTCCTTTTCACTTGTGTGTGTGTTTGTTCTGTTTGCAATGTCTGGGTCACCCTTTACCTGCTTCTCAGACACTTACTCTTGGAGGTCCCCCAGCAGTTTGGCTCCCAGCCAGTTTTATGGGTAGAAATCCATGAATGGATCTGGCTTTGATGTTTGCAACACGGAGACTCATTAGCGGTGGCCTGATTGAGCGGCTTATGAGTTATTGTCCCTTCCTAAAAAGTGTGATGTGTGAACTGTTTATTGACTTGAAATAGTGAGAGTCCCTGGTGTTCTGAGGGTTGTCCAAACTGAGAGAAGTACCCAGCCCCAAGTGGGAAAATGATCACTCTCAATAAAACAGCAAACAACAGAAAATAAGGCTCGAGAAACCTGCTTCCAGAAAGACAGACAGGAATCCAGAAAGGCCACCACCCCTGTGGCGAGCCACTCTATACTTGGAAGTATCAATTCTGTTTCTTTCATTGTCCCTATCAATGAGATTTTCTTGATAATATTTACTCTTGGGAATTTTTTGCCCTGTACCTGCTTTTTTTTTTTTAAAAAAAAAAAAAGATTTATTTATTTATGCATGCAAGAACTGGGGCACAGGCAAGAGGTGTGGGGGGTGAGGAGATTCACCAGAGACAGAGCGGGGAACAGAACAGGCAGACTGACTGAAATACACTGCTGAGGGGAGCAGTGGGCAAGCCAGGAGAGGTCTGCTGTGCCATGTGGGTAGCTCCCTGGCCAGCCAGGGATTGAATTTATGCCTCAGTGGCTGCGGACAGCTTTGCAGGTTGCATCTTAACCCTTTGCGCCACCAGGGAGGCCCTGTACCTGCTTTGTTATAGAGTGGTGGAGTTTGTGCATTGAAGTTAAGTGAACTCCACTGGAGTTTTCCTACCTCTATACTTTTTCTCTTGACTGCATTCACCTCTAGAAAGCCTGTCTCTCTCCCGGGGTCCCACGTCCCAGTGTCCCAGTCTGCCTGCCCAGGGCCACACTATCCATAGCACCAGCTACAGGGACCTTGGCTGTCTCTTTCATTGTTAGGTGGTGCTTTGTTTGCACTGCCCTGTCCTCCCTCCCTTTATAGCTTTGTGGCGGTACAGGTGGTGAGCGTGCTGTCTCGGCTGCTGGAAGGCACAGTCTTACTTGCTGGAAGACTTACTTGCTGGAGGGGCCCTGTCTTACCCATCCTTCAGGGAGAATATTTCCTTTCATAGTCTCCCTTCTTGACATTTGTCCTGATCATTGCTTATGTAAATTTTGTTCTTTTGAAACAATATTCTGCTTCTTTTTTCCTTTTTCAAATCAAATCAACAGTCTTTGGCAGGGATGATATATGGAACAAAATGAGACATGAAGATCATTTCTAGTCTTGAAAGCTCAGATCCTGCAACATTTTAATAAGAAATAGGGCCTTCCCTCCCCCAGTGTAAAAGTGGAGTCCTATTGCCTGTCATCTCATTCACAGAGATTACATAAAGAGAAATGGTTTTCCTTTCTCCACATATATATGATTTCCTTCCCTTTTTTCCCCAAATTTTTCTCTTAATAAAATTTTCCTGGGATGGAAGTGTATTTTCCCTCAGGTTCCCCTCTCATTTTGTGAGGCTTGTACTTTAGTAGATGAAAAACTCTCACTTTCTTAAAAATGAATCATTTCTCCCTAGTTTTCATCCTGCAGTCTTTTTTGGTTTCTCAGAGTTTTCTGACTTGAACTGCCCATGTGGCAGTTTTTAATTGCCCTGTTTTATCTAATCTCAAGGCAGTGTTCCACCACTACTACAGGCTTTCAGAGAGTTGCCAGATATAATAAGAACACTCATAATGAGGATATTTTAGGAGTTAGTGATAAGATAGCCTTTTTATTCTTTCCGTGCACTTGATCTGCGTGTCAGGCGCCTTCTTTAGTGATTGGGAAGAGATCTCCCTTTGAGACTGTACTAATAAAAGAGTGTATGTGTCTCAAGAGGACACATTGCATATCCCTTAGCTGTTAGTGGTGTAGACAAATGGGATTATTTACTATAGAGATTATTTGCTTGATGTGTGTGTAGAGGAGTATGAATTTTATTTTCTCTCCAAATACTTGAAAATCTAGTTTTTGAAAAAGCTGCTATAACTCATAATAGCAACCAGTATTGGCTTTTTGATGTTGGGGTCACACATTTCAGAAATTTTGCATTCTTTTAGCTTTTAAATTTTTATGGCTGGGCCTCCCCGGTGGCGCAGCGGTTGAGCGCTGGGTTGCGAAGCTGCCCGCGGCCTCTGCGGCGCCGGTTTGATCCCCGGCTGCTCCCCAGCCACCGGAGGAGGGTCCCACATGGCACGCAGACCTCTCCTGCCGCCCGCTGCTCCCCTCAGCAGTGTACTTCGGTCCTTCTGCCTGCTCTGCTCCCCGCTCTGGCTCTGGTGAATTCTCTCACCCTCCCGCGCTTCTGACTGTACCCAGTGCATGTATAAACAAAACAAACAAACAAACAAACAAATAAATAAAACATGCCTCTATTAAAAAAAAAATTGTATTAAAAAAATAATAAACAAATTTTTATGGCTGCTGTTGATTGATTTCATAGAGATATACAAATCTTGGTTTATGAGCAGTGCTGTGAAATGTGCAGGTCAGTTTTTGCTGGAAGTTATTTGGAATTGGATTTCTAACCAGCTTTGATTTGCGTAATTTCTAATCCTATAGTATAAAATAAATTTGTCTTTTATGGAGCTTTTATCTGCTTCACAAATCTAACTTTAGGTTCCCTATGCTTGAATTAGACTGAATGTTGAAAGAAAACTTCTCTGGTTTTGAAAATGTTTACTTTGCATTATTTTGTACTTAATTTTTATGGCAATAATAATCTATAGAATCATGCTAGCAACTGTTTCTCCTTGTGGTTATAACTTCCTATATCTGTGTATTTTTTCTCATGACTAAGCAGTCTCTAATTTTAGTTCTTGCATAGAGGTTTGATTGCTATTTTTCTCTTTTGCCCATTCTTTCATATAGGTGGGGCGTACTTTTGGATATTTTCCAAAGGATTTAATCCAAGTTGTCCACAAATATACTAAAGAAGAATTACAAGTTCCAGCAGATGTGAGTTGAGGGCTTTTTTTTTTTTTTTTTCATTCTCAACTATAAATTTGTTTACGGATTCATAAGTTACATTCTATGAACTAATTTTGAAAGGCTTTGAATGTGTTTTGGCCAGGAAAAAATAGAAGCAAGTTAACGTTTGTGTATCAGATTTTAAGTGAGACTCAGACTGCCTTTAAAAATTAAAAGGAAAGGAAAGCTTGAAAAGCATTTACAGAACTTTTTATCATAACCTAACACTTACCTCTCACTTTGAAGCTGGTGTTCTTATACTGGGCTATACCCTCTTATGCAGGCTTTTCTTTGCTACCTTATATGAGAAAAATTAAGACTTCAGTATCTTTGTTATTAATTATTAAATTTAGGAATGAATGATTCTTTTTATGAGCAAAAAAGGAAGGCATCCCGATTTGAAAACTACTCTTTGGATAGCAGTTAGACCTCTCAGGTCTAATTAAACAAGATACATTAATCAAACCATAAGTGATATGCTAGGCCAGAAATGCAGGTTTGCAAGAATTTTCATCCATAATCATGAGGATATTATGTTACAGATTTATAAAAGGGAATTTGAGATTTTCTGGTAAGGTTCAGTCTCAGATCTGCAAGATGGGAGTGCACATCCTATAAAGCTTTCCTCAGAGTGCACTGATGGAAACTGGCTTTGTGATGAAAAGGATTTTGTGTTCTAGCTAATTATTATCTGGAGTTTTAAAATTGATAGTCATTGATGGGCACCTTCATTCACAAATCTCTGAACAGCTCTGGGAGTTGCCTCGGAGTATGCAGGCATCTGGTCTGGGGCTATTCATAGATGAGGCTGGCAGAATAGAGAAAGTGGTGGGAACACTACTGTCCTTAAAATTTCATGTTAATCTTGAGGGTCACAAAATCAGCCCTGTTGCAGTTTGGTCTCATTCCTAATGAAGAGATAGATATGTGAAACATCCAGTTGTTGGTCCCACAGACCTTCAGGTTTGGATTCTGTCTTCTCATTGGAATTTCCCTGCATGCTTCTCTTTGTCACTTATAAATGCATGTGACAGAAAGACAAAATCATCCAGCCCTAATACATTGACCAAATCTCCTCAGAGTATTGCAAAAGTTTAGATTGGAGAAAATATCTCTGTTTTTTTTTAAACTTTTCTCTATCATCCCTTTTATGTCAATTTGTTTATTAGTGGAGGAAAGGAAGAACATAGTTTTACATATATACCTGCAAGCAGATCTTAGTGACAGCTAGATTCCTGATTTACAATGGAATATATCCCTCACTGAATCTTGTTTTCACGTTGTACTTGTGATAACTAAATGGAGCCTCCCCCTGGACACCATTCTTTGTCCCTTTACATTACTTTCCCTACCACACACACCTGTATCTCAGTAAGATACTTCATAAGCTGATTTATCTTTCTCAACCCAAGGAAATTAAAAGTCAAAAGTCTGTGCTGACCTTGAGCCTTACAGCAGGGTGACTCTGCTGGGTCTAGATGGGTAAGCTGAGAAGTGCAGCTTAAACAGAACCATGACAGAGAGACTGGCTGGTCTTCCAGGTACTCATGGAAAAGTTATTATGAGGTGAATTCCTAGAAAATCAGGCACAGATGTTGCAAGTTGTGGGGGCCTTTCCTCTACTTGTATTCAGAACAAATTGAGAGACACAGGAGCCAGAGAGAAGGAGAGCATAATGTCACCATTATTTATTGATAAAGCTTTTTGGCAAATATGGGCTAAGTGTGTAGAAAGAATGGGCTTTCTCACACAACAGTCTATAAGAAGGCGGGCTCTCCCAGCCATGGATAGAGTTCACTAACTGGGAGCATTCCCACAGTGGACCGTCTGACTAAAACATGGAGGGGAGGATGTGTGTTCCCTCCAGCAGGTCCCAAACAAAATAGGGGGGTGATGGTGGAGAGCAGAGTCCTGGGCCACTTTCCTCCCCTGGGAAAGAGAGAATGAAGGGAGGCCAGGAGTGTTACTCAAGTAGGAATCCTTTCTCATGGATTCAGGAAGCCAGGAAAAGTGGGTTTCCACCTCTCATCTGCTGGCTGTCCAACTACAGTCGTTGCCCAAAGTTGGCACAAAAGCCTCTCTAACGCCAGACATGAATTTGAGGCTGCCTTTTTCACCAGCGTGGAGAGTTTACTCTTGTAACACTTGGTTGGTGACACACCATTGTTTTTCTTTGCTTCACAGGAGACAGATTTTGTTTGTTTTGATGGAGAAAGAGATGATTTTGATAATTATAATGTAGAAGAACTGTTAAGATTTTTGGAATTGCACGATTCCACAACTGGAGATTCTGAGAAAACTGTAGAAAAATCTCAGCTTGTGGGAAAATCTCCTGAAGTATCTGAGGAAAGTGACCCCGATCCTGAACTAGAAGACTTCAACTCAGAGGAAAGCGAAAGTCTCTTCTTAGAAAACAATAAAGAACTCAAGGACAGACATGAGGGCCAAATGAAACAGCCCCACGTCAACGGTCAGACCCATCCCACTCAGGGAGAGAGGTCTGCATTTGAGCCCTTTGAAAAAATTCTGCACGAGCAATTAAAAGTGCCAGAAAGTGAAAACAACAAAACTAGCAATAGTTCTCCAATCTCAGCTGAACAGGAGAAGATTGATGCTTACAAACTTTTGAAAACAGAAATGACTCTGGACTTGAAAACCAAATTTGCCTCAACTGCTGATGCCTTGGTCTCTGATGATGAGACAACCAGACTGGTTACTTCATTAGAAGACGATTTTGATGAGGAATTGGATGCCGAATATTATACAGTTGGGAAGGAAGAAGAGGAGAGTCAGGAAGACTTTGATGAGCTACCATTGCTAACCTTTACACATGGAGAAGATAAGGAAATTTCAGGGAAACCAGGAATAGAGAAACACTCAACAGATAAAGAGCAGAATCCAAGCCAGGGGGATGCGGTTAGGGAAACTCAGCTCCCCGGCATCAAAAATGACCTTAAACATATTTTGACAACCTGGGAGGAGGACACTATTTTCTCTGTTGCTACAGGGGGTAAAGACAAAACAGATACATTTTCTGAGCATTCTAATACAGAGGCAGGAAAGGAAGGGGCTGATGAGAGCAAATGGGGAAAGCCATCATCAGCAAGAGATGACATTGACCCTGAAGAGGCAGGAGATGCTCTTTTGGTTGCAGAAGTCTCTAAGACAGATAATGACAAGGAACCAGAAGCAGACAAACAAATCCATGCTGAAGGAAAAGAAAAGAAAGTAGAATCCAAGAGGAGCCTCGTGGAAGATCAGACAGAGGCTGAAAAGCAAGAAGGTGTGACCAGGCCCCATTTGACTCAAAGCAGCAACCAAAACACTTTGCCAGCCTCTGGAAAGGGTCAAGAAACATTAAAATCAGCCTTTGATAATAAAGAAAGTGATCCCAAAGTAGCAGTTGTTCAAATCTCAAAAGAAATGCTCGGGGCAGAAAAGCCTGGGGAGCAGATTCTGGGAGGGGACTCAGAAAGCAAATTGGCACCCCCGGCCACAGGGAAGCAACTGGACGGAGAAAAGGTGAAACAGGAATCCATGGATGTTGCACCGCCTGGGGGAGATAATCAGCACAATATATCCCAAAACCTTGTGCAGGAAGTCGCTGTGGCTGGAAGTGGGTCGAAAACACACCCGCTTTCAGTGGAGCATCCAGGTGAGGCATTTCAAGAAGAACGGCTTCTGCAAACCCAAAATCAACCCCGCTTCTCCTCTCCAGATGAAATTAGCTTGCCAAGAGAGCTGGAAGAGGAGGTTCCCATTTGGGGACGAAATCTTTCCAGACATCAGGAAAGAGAGGTGGCTGCTGCAGCTAATAAGCACATAGATGAGAAGATGAGTCACTCAAGGGACGAGGTGAGAGAAGAGGCCACTGATGAAGAGTCTGTTCTTCACAGTCCAGTGCCCGGTACATGGGCTGGAGTGGCTGCAGGCCTCACTGTGGGCGTAGGAGTGCCAGGGCTCCCTCCTGAGGAACCAGGGGCAGAAGATGATGACCCCTCTGAAGAACTCCTGGAGGATGAAAATGCTGTAAGCGCAAAGCAGGCCCAAGCAAAACCCCCTGAAGTGCAGGACAGTCTGTTAGCTGCCAACCCGCAAGTCCCTGAAGGAGCTGCTTTAGGCACTGTTGACGCTGATCCAGAAACTAAAGAAATCAAAGAAACTAATGTGATTCTGGAAAGGGAAAGAAAAAGTGAAACTGGGGACAAAGGTACAGAACCAGCAGGCAGAGGCCTGGGGAGTATTGTGCCTGAAAAAGGAAGTCCTTTTGTGGGTGAGGAAGCCCAGAACCCCCCTGAAATAAGTGACTCTCCTGACATGAAGAAAAATCGGACGCCGGGGTTAGGGGAAATGCTTAAGGATAAAGACTCTGCTTATCTTGAAGATGACGACCGCCAGGACCTCCCGAAGAACTCCAGGCTCTCCCAGAAGCCTGGGCCAGAAGAACTCTCAAAGGAGGGCCAGAAGGACTCAGAGGAGAAGTTGATGGGCACAGAAAGCCAGGGATCTGCTTCTGAGGGCCATGAGGAGGACCTGCCACCCTGGACCCCACATGCAGAAGCAACGGCAGAGCATAGTGACAGCATGAAAGACTTGCCCATAATAAACAGCTTCTTTAAAGACCAGCAGTCTTTGCAGAGGTTCCAGAAGTACTTTGATGTCCAAGAGCTAGAAGCCATGTTTCGAGAAATGTCACTAAAGCTGAAGGAAGCACAACAGGACAGCCTGCCTTATAATGTGGACAAAGTCCTAGACAAGGTCTTTCGGGCTTCCGAGTCACACATCCTAAGTGTAGCAGAGAAGATGCTTGATGCTCGTGTCACGGAAAATGGAGACCTAGGAATGAAGGACAATATCATATTTGAAGAGGCGGCTGTGCTCGATGATATTCAGGACCTGATCTACTTTGTCAGGTACAAACACTCCACAGTGGAGGAGACGGTGCCACTGGGAACACCACAGCCTCCAGAAGATGAATGGGGTGGACCCCTGGAAGGTAAAGTACCTGCCTGTGGCCATGAAGTGGGGCTTGAAAGACAGGCGTTTGTGCGCCTCACCTTTATTTGTAAAGCTCTGTCCACAGTTGACATTCTTCCTGCCATCCTTTTAGGCTGGAGCATGGGTAAGGATTTCTTGCCTTGTTTTGCCTTAGGGCTGTTGAGACTGTTAGCGTTGTCAAAGGGACCTGTGATAAAAAGACAAAGATATAAACAAGAAAATGATGCACAAATTATACCTGTTAAGGTACACATTTCATGGAAAAGTATGAAAGGTGTTTTTTGAACATTGTTTATATGTATTCTCCATCCATCATCCATCCATCCTCCATCCATCCATCTTACCCTTTATCATTCACTCATCTTATCCATCCATCCATCTCTCCTTCCACCCCAGTTTTTCTCTCTCTTTTTGAGCACAATTTCTTTTTTAAAAGATTTATTTATTTTTATACAAGAGCTGGGGTACAGGCCAGAGGTACGGGAGGTGAGAGGATTCACCAGAGACAGAGTGGGACACAGAACAGGCAAGAAAGACTGAAACGCACTGCTGAGGGGAGCAGCGGGTGCAACAGGAGAGGTCTGCAGCGCCATGTGGAAATCTCCGTGGCTGGCTGGGAATCGAACCTGCGCCACAGAGGCTGTGGACAGCTCCACAGTGCTGTGTTTAACCCGCTGAACCACTGGGAAGGCCCTTGAGCACAATTTCTTAATCATAAAATAACTGCTGTCCTACTAAGGACTGATCTGCATAATTTTTAAATCAAATACCTCGCCTGAGTTCCTTCATTTTCCCAACTTCCATCTTTGGGGGTGCATGTTCTTTATTGCCTTTTTGGAACAATTAGGTAGGTCAGTTAAATTCTACCTCACCCTTGGCTTCTTGAATTCAAATTATTCAAGGATGGAACCAGAATTCAGAGGATTCTAACTCTGCTTTTTAAGCCCAGAAGCCATTCAGTAGATACCAATTGAATTGACCTGGCACCACTCACATAATCTGATTCCTGGTTCCACTCTCTTTACTTCCATGCTTTTCAAACTGAGATATTTCAATCCAGGGTTTATGATAGAGTACTGACACAGTAAGGCCACAGGATAAATGTCTTTCCAGAATGCCATTTTTTTTGGTGAGAATTTGGAGAGTAGAATATTTTATCAAAGTAGATCTATTTTGGATTAGGATGCAAAACCCAAATGAATTTTCAGGGTGAACTATCAGCTTCAAAGAAATTCCTATTTGGTGTGGGCTGTACTGGGCTATGCCCTGAGCCCCTTAGGAATGAACCAGGTTTACTTTCTGATTCTTAGAGTGATATAGTTGGGAATATTTGCAAGGCATCTCAGCAAGCGGCCATGACTTCCTCGTACCAGCTTGGTGAGACAGGCATGCCAGTAGGCAAGAGGTCAGGTTTTTTCTGTAAGAAGGGTGTTTCCTGTTTCTGCTTTTGACTGGAAAACTGTCTTTTGTACAATGTACATAAGATGTGTGTGTGGCCATGTGCAGGTTTGCCAAGGAAAGTTTGGTTATTGAAGCCCCTGCTGTAAATGTATTTATGAAATATTTTAGAATAATAGCTGGCAGTTTTGTTATATAGATTAGCCATCTCTGGTGTGAGATGAAAGCAGCTGCAATTCTCACCATCCTGCCCAGTGCTGCTGCATGGATGCCTGCTAGGAGGGCAGTGGCAAGGTGTCTGCAGTGGAGCACAGGGCATGCTGCCCAGTGGGAGGTGCTGAATGGAGGGGTCATCAAGCACTCTTCTTCCCCATAGAGCTCCAACCACCACTTGAAGATAACGTCCCACACGATAAAACAGAAGGACTTAATATGCAGATTCCCGGGGAGCCCAGCCATTGGGATCAACCAGTGACTAGTGACACTGGGACCTCAGAAGTGTCACAGAAGCCAAAAACTGAGACCGAAGTAGACCCAGGTAAGGCTTGCTAATTTTTCTTTGCAGAGTAGAAGCATATCATGAAGACCTTATGGGGAGGAAATAGGAGAATAACACAGGTATGAAAGAGCTTAAAACGAGGAACGAGAGGAAAGCGGGAGCTGAGACAGATGGAGATGACAGTAGGAAAGAGGCCAGAGATTGTAACTATCCTTCAAACCACTCTTTGGCTGTTGTTAGCTTATGTAAATAATTTCAGTCTAAAATACTATTCTTAAAAAGCCTTATGCTCTAAAACAGTAGTTTTCAACCAGACCAACAACATCAGAAACTCTGGGGGTGGAGACCAGCAATCTGTTTTACAAGCCCTCAGGAAATTCTGATCCATTGAAATTAGTTTGAGAACGACTGCTATGAAACTCACAAATGGTATTTGTCTTCCCAACCCCTTCTCTCCAGCCCCCACCTGCTTCCCCAGTAGAAAAGGTTGGTTCATCATTTGCCATCTGGACTTGGTGAAACCTATTTTCAAGCCACGAAGGGGATATTTATGTCCAGGTGTCTTTTTACCATAAGATCATAGAAAGGATCTGAACACTGTGTATGGTTTGGGCGGTGTGGGCCCATGTTTGTGAGTGGCACTTGATTCCAGAATTTAGTAAACATCCCAGGGGATGTGTGTGGGGAAATGGATTTGATTTGAATGAGAAAATAGTTTTAAAAAGAAAAAAACACCTGTGATGGTCTCAGTAGCTTTCTGCTGTCTGTATAACCCACCCATTTTGCCAGTCAGTGAATAGCAGTTGTGTGTCTGTACAACTTGAATGCATGATGTCATTGCTGTTTTTGTGTTTTAAAGGTTAGTCTGTAAGCACAGGTCCAGCAGGACTCGTGATGCTGCCCCTGGCAGAGAGGAAGTGACCTATCAGAGGCCTTCATGTCAAGGATGTTGCATTCACATATACTGTTCCCCATTTCTTTTTCTTTTTTTTAAAGATTTATTTATTTATATAAGAACCCGGGTACAGGCCAGATGTGCAGGAGGGTGAGAGGATTCACCAGAGACAGCGGGGAACAGAACAGGCAGACTGGTGAAACACATTGCTGAGGGGAGTAGCGGGCGAGGCAGGAGAGATCTGCGGCGCCATGTGGGACCCTCACTGGCTGGCTGGGATCGAACTGGTGCTGCGGAGGCTGCAGACAGCTTCACGGCGTGGCGCTCGACCGCCTACGCCACCAGGGGAGGCCCAGTTCCCCAATTCTCAGTTCAAAAAAATCTTGTTTGTTGAAAATGAGCCACACACCATTAAGACTTATTATTCTCAAAAACTTTCAGGACTGGAAAAAATTCTTACAGAATTAAAAGCAGATTTTTGTGCCCTGCCCCTTAAGTTCAACCCCAAAATAGTATCAGCGGCCTTTGCAGGGTTATCTTTCCAAAATTTCCTTCCTACCCTCAGGCTGAGTGCTGACACAAGGTGGGACACTTCACCAGAGGTCAGGTTCAGAGGCAGTGTGAAGGAGACCCCAGGTTGGAGGAGAACTGAGCTTCTCACATGTGCTTGCTGGACTTTGAGCTGTTTGCACAAAATACCCAGATCCCAAACCCATACTGAAATCCCCTCCCTACCACCTCTTCATGCAGGAATCCTTCCTGGCAATGCTGGAATCCTACGTCTCGCACAGAGTGCCAAGTCATGCTGCTGCCCTGTAAGCGATTCCTTGTAGTCTACCTTGGCATTGACCACATTCTCTGTTGTGTGGCTCCGTCCAATCAACTCCAAGTCCTGGGTAACTGCCAGGTGCTGCCTCTGCATAATAAGCCTGGGTGCATCCCACTGACAAGTCTGCAAACTGATTGTTTTGTAATCATTCTTTGCCTGCTGTGTCTTAATACAGTGCTTCACCGCACCAAATAAATATTGGGCAGATAGGACGTTGTCTATGTGGAGAAAGTACAAAATTGCGTTTTTTTTTCACTTCCCATAAGTAAATATCATTGAGATAGCAGTGGGTTGCCAGCAGTGAGATGGGAGGCACCAAGAAGGATAGAGTAGGTTGGGTGTAGTTGAGTTATGAGGCCTCTAGTGGGGATTTGAAATTTTTTTTCTCTCTCTGATTGTCTTTAAGAGAACTACATATCAGGGCCTCTCCTGGTGGCGCAGTGGTTGAGCGCTGGGTTGCGATGCTGCCCGCAGCCTCTGCAGCGCCTGTTCGATCCCCGGCCACAGGGGAGGGTCCCAAATGGCGCGCAGGCCTCTCCTGCCGCGCCCGCTGCTCCCCTCAGCGGTGTATTTCATCACTCTGCCTGTTCTGTTCCCTGCTCTGGCTCTGGTGAATTCCCTCACCCTCCCGCGCTTCTGACTGTAAAAAAAAGGAGAGAACTACATATCTGCATGGTGACTGGCTTTCCATAAATAATGAAAATGAAGAGAAGTAATTCTTACTATAAAACATAAAATACTTGTTTTCCCCCTCAATTTTAGGGATAATTAGAACAGAGGCCACACCCATCATTGATGCAAAAGAGCAGCCAGAAGCAATTGCCGAGGAGCCGGCCAGTGGCACACTTTTGGAAAATGCAGTCCTTTTATTATCTTCATTCATATTTTATTTAACCAAGATGGTAAGTTTGACCAATACAGTATCTTCAGATAGACTGTTGATGATCCAGCTTTTAAGTTGACTTTGAGCATGAAGAACTTAGTGTCTTGATGATAAGGGCTCTGGTCCTTTGAAGGGGACCTGGGAAACAGGTCACAGGCGTAGCTGTCATGGGGTCTTAGTTCCATTCAGCACTTAGCAGAGGGTTTGCTGCCTGTCAGCTGGGCACAAACACATGGTTCTTCTCCTCAAGGGCCTTTCAGGCTAGCAAGGAGAGAGAGACATTCCCCTAGAACATAAGATTGTGGGCAGGAAGAGGATTACCATGTGGAGCAGGATGTCCAGTGAGTTGACTCCCCTGGGAGGACGGTCTGAGAAGGTAGAAGTGAGTGACACTTGTTCTGAGCAGAGTTGAAGGACAAAGGGGAGTTTGATGTCTATTTTGTTGCCGAATACAGGTGCTGGAGGAGGCGGTGAAGTGAGGTGTGGTCAGAAAGAAGTAACCTAGCCAGAGAGCTGGAGGCACGAAGCTGGGGAAGCTTAGTTTTGTGGTTGCACTGTAGTGTTGGAGGGTGGTCTTTCCGAGGGAGACAGGCTAAGCTGAAGGGAGTTGTGTATCATTTGTATGTCATTCAAAGTGGTGTTAGACTGTTAGGGATTGAGGAGCCTTTGAAAATTTTAAACAAGAAAAGGAATATGATCAGATTTTTTCTTAGAAAGAGTCATTACAGCAGGGTATGTGCCTTCTTCTAAAAAAGAGTCATGATCCAAAGGAGACATTTACACTGAGCTCCTTAGGACTTAGCTCCCCCTTGTGGTCTTCGCTGCAATCGGACTTTTCTTGGAGATAGCTTTCGAAGAAGGCAAAGTTGCCCTTGGTGTTATCCAGTATCCCTCCATAAAAAATATTTTTCCTCTGGGTTCCATTACTTCAAGACTTATTTAAGAATGAGGGTTTTTGTTTGTTTGGTTGGTTCTGTAAAAAGCCTGGGTTTTGGAAAGCGAGGATGATCCCATTTCAAATTTCAGATCCGTCATTTAGAAGCTTGAGCAGTTACTGAACTAAGGACCTCAGCTTCCTCATCTTTAAAATGCAGGTAATTCCAACTCCAGTTGTTGTCCAGAGTAGATGAAGTTGTTGTCCAGAGTAGTTGTTGTCCAGAGTAGTGTGAAGCGCAGTGTATACCCAGCATTCTGTAGATCTGGGTATACAGATCTATACCCAGATAGGGGTGTGGATGGGCAGTATAGATATCAACTACCTGGGGAAATCGGGAGAAAGGCCACCAGGATGGGAAAGCTAGGGTTCTCTCCATGGTTGGGTGGTCCACGGCAGCTGTCCAGTCAAGAGTGTGAACCTTGTAGTTAGAATAATGAAATTTTCAGTAAGTAAGTGAGTGTCAGAACTCATTATTAGATTATTTGAATGAATCATCGTTCCTTAAAAATTCTCACAGCCCCAGATACAGAAGGAATCCTTTATTCATTTGTAAAGCTATGCAGAGCCCTTTTTAGGCTTGGGCAGAGTGAAGGTGCTGGTGTAGGATGTGGCCTCTGGTGATGAGGGAGAACACATCTAACACTCATTTGAAAGGTATTGTCAAGAAAGCCTTCTGATGGCCCATGTGAACAGAGCTTTATGCTAGGAATAAAAAATTCTAAGAGGGAAAAGGTATAATTCTGATTTCTGAAAGGCTAAAGAAAAGGGTACATCAAAAGCAGATGAGAAGTGGAAAACTGAGCAATGTTTATGGAATAGTTTTTTTTTTTTTTTAAAGATTTATTTATTTATTTATATAAGCACTGGGTACAGTCAGAAGCCCGGGAGTGTGAGAGAATTCACCAGAGCCAGAGCAGGGAGCAGAGCAGGCAGAAGGACCGAAGTACACTGCTGAGGGGAGCAGCGGGCGGCAGGAGAGGTCTGTGCTCCATGTGGGACCCTCGCTGGTGGCCGGGGATCGAACCTGCACTGCAGAGGCTGCGGGCAGCCTCGCAGCCCAGTGCTCAACTGCTGTGCTACCGGGGAGGCCCTATGGAATAGTTTTTGTGAAGTGTCAAATACTCATTAGATAGATTCTTACTTGGTAGTCTGGGGTATCATTGGGTACCGACTTGATCTCTTTTCCTTTTAAATACTGAAGTCTTAAGAGTTCATCTGTTTTGGATACAACTCCTCAGATACATATCTTGCAAATAATTTCTTTCAGTATATGGCTTGACCTTAACATTGTCTTTTGAAGAGCAAGTCTTAAATTTTGATAAACACCATTTTATTAATTTTCATTTTTATGGTTGCTCCTTTTTGTTTCTTACCTAAGGAATTTTCTCATGTTTTCCAAAAGTTTTATAATTATACCTTTTATGTTTAGGTTTGTGTTTTAGTTAATTTAATTAATTGTTGTGAAGGGTGTGAGAGTAAGGCCTAGTTGCATCTTTTTCCTCCATGTAGACTCAGTTGTTTCTTCCCAGTTCACATGACCTCGAGTTTTACAGTCTGTTGACCATGTATATGCTCTTCTTTCTGTACTCTATTCTGTTCCCTTTATTTCTTCCCTAAGGCAGTACCACATTTTTTTTTTTTTATAGTATTTATAGTCTTGCAGTAGTAGGGTAGTTCTTTTGCAGAATTGTTTTGGTCATTGCAGTTCCTTAGCATTTCCACAAATTATAGAATCGGCTTATTAATTTCTGTTTAAGAAGCTTCCTGAGATGTGGATTGTTCTTTTATTGATTATCTGATATGTAAGCTATTTGATTATGTCTTTTTTTTTAAAGATTTATTTATTTATACATACAAGAGCTGGGGTACAGGCCAGAGATGCAGGGAGTGAGAGGATCCACCAGAGACAGAGTAGGGAACCGAACAGGCGGACTGACTGAAATACACTGCTGAGGGGAGCAGCGGGTGGGACAGGAGAGGTCTGCCTTGCCATGTGGGTTTTTTCCTGGCCTGCTGGGGGATTGAACTTGAGCTGCAGAGGTGGTGGATTGCTTCTTAATCCCCTGCTTAACTCCTTGTGCCACCAGGTTGGCCCTGATTCTGTCTTTTATGTTGCAAATTCTTGGTGTATTAGTGGATAGATTAGTCTGCTGGTTATTGAATACATTTTCCTGCTGCTATTTTACATGTTTAGGATTTTTTTTTTTTTTTAAGATACTAGGCACTGTGAATGTTACATTGTTGAGTGCCTGTTCTTAGTGGTTTCCTTTCAAGTGTTACTTTGTTTTGCCTAGGCTGTTAGGTTACTTGTGGATCAGTCTTATTTTTAGAATGGTAGGGAGGTGTGTAGGGTAGTCTTTACTCCAGAGCTGAATAGCCCTCCTGCTAAGGTGGGATTCTCCTGCAGTTTTACAGAATGCCTTGAGTTTTTAGCACTGCACTTCCCTCTGACCAGCTGGAACACAAATGTCCCCCCAACCACCCTTACCCTCAACCTTCTGTGAACTCTGGGGATTGTTCAGCTTCCTGGTTCTTTTCCTTGTAGTTGTTCTTTGCCCATCCTCAAGGAATTTGACTCTCTACATGTGCTGCTCCAGTGCTACCTGAGAGGGAAGGAGATTGCAGATTTTTGGATCTCCTGTACTTAGCAGCTCCATCTTTCTGCTCCCTTTCCCTGCACACTTCTGCCTGGAGGTAGAAAGCTGGCTGATCACAGGGTTCATCTCTTTCCTTTTAGAATCATAGTTGTTCGCTGCCTGTCATTTTTTTTTTTTTGGTCTGAAAAACTTTTCCCCCCCATATATTTAATCTAGTTTTCTAGCTATCTTGGGGGGGGGGTAAGTATCACACTACTCACTCTATCTCCTTTTGTTTGTGGTTGCCACAATGTATTCATTGAATACATTGACTACATCTGTTTGGCTTCTGGGTGTCCTTTATGGGTTGAGTTTGCTAACTGCATCACCTGATATAAATTAGTATGACTGTTCCTCTATATTTTCCAGGAATTGATAGTCAGATTCAGGTCTAATTTTGGGGGGCAAGAATAGTTAATAGGGGATGTTGTGTATGTCTGTCAGGAGACATCTTAAGTCTGGATGTACCTGTCTTTTTAATGTTACTATCATTGGTGACACTGAATAGCCTTGTTAATATATTACGGTGTGCAAAATGGTGCTAGTCTGATTGTATCATTCCATCTTCATCTAAAGGCTGCAATATTTCTTCCTGGGGAAACAGTTCTTTAAATTGAGATTTGGTTTGTTTAGTTACGCAGAATAAATATTTGATTCCATGTGTTTCAAAATAATGAATTGTCTTCCTTGCATTATCCAAAAAAGCCCAAATGATTTTTTTTTTGTTTCTTCTAACTTGTTTCTAAGAACCATGATATGTCATGGATTTAAAAATGTGTGCTGTGTTTCAGTTCACCCCAGTTGTAATTCTTACTATCGCTCACTTCATCCCACCATTGCTGGGAGCCTCTCCAGCTTGACGCATGGACCCCACTGACATCCCCTTATGGTCCCTGAAACCCTGTTTGATTCCTAGAGTGACAAGATATTCCAAACTCATCTTGTATACTTCTTCCCCAGATCTTGAAGTAGCTATTTCTCTAAGGAGTCTTGGTTCCTTGTACTGGGAAATGGTATTTAAAGACTACCTTCTGGGTACTAAATTGCTGATCAATATAGTCAACATAATCTCAAAGTCCCAGTGAGATTTTCTTGTATAACAAACTGATTCTACAGCTCATATAGAAACTCCAAAGAATCTACACTAGTACAAACACAATCTGATTTTAAGACTTATTATAAAGCTACAGTAATTACGATAGCATAGAATCAGTGAAAAGGTAGAGATCATTGGAACTGAATAGACAATCCAGAAATAGACCCATGGAAATATGGCAGTGAATCTATGATAAAGAGGAGAAAACAATTAAGTGGAGCAAGTCTTTCCAACAAAGGGCTGTGGGACTATTGGAAATATCCGTGGACCAAACCTGATCTATTTCAAAATACCTAATCAAGTGAATGAAAAAATGAGTTTCAGAATAGGAGGAATAGTCACAAAGCATATGTTTGATAAAAGACGTCGAGATTATATAAAGAACTCACAAATATTTATTTTCATAAATAAGGAAAGACATATCCCAGTAAAATAAGACCTCACCAAGGATAACAGGATAGCAAATAAGCATTTTGAGACATGCTCAATATCCTTATTAGGGAAATTCAGATTTAAGTTACCATCAGTTATCACTGCACACTTAATTAGAATGACTGAAGTTGAAAAGACTGACTATACCAAGTGCAGAGGGGGATGTGGAGGATGGAAATAATCATACACTGCTGTGGGGATGTAGATGATACAACCACTTCTGGAAAACAGTTTGTCAGTTTCTTAAAAAGCTAAATATATCCTTGTAAAATGATCCATTCTGGGTTACGCCTTTACCCCAGAAAACAAATTTTACATTTATAGAAGGCCTTGTCTATCAATGCTTAAAGCAGTTCCATTTGTAACAGCCCAACATTGGAAATAACCCAAATACCCATCAACAGGTGAATAAATTATGGGGTAGTCGTGCAATGAAAGTGTAATAAAAAGGAATGAATTATTGATAAACTGCAACACGAATGAGTCTCAAGTTATGGTGAGTGAGAGAAGCCAGAGAAAATAGAAAGCACAGTGTATTATCCATGTATAAATCTCTAGGAAATGCAAAGTAATCTATTATGACACGAATTATTCTTGATGGGGCAATGAGGGATGCAAAGGGCAGGAGGTGGAATTACCAAGGGGATGAGACTTTTGAAGGTACAGGATCTATTAAGTTTTGAGCAGGATGATGGCTTCACAGATGTATTCATGTTAAAGCTTATCAAGTTGTGCACTTTAGTTATGTGTAGTTATTGCCCACCAATTCTACCTCAAAGTTGTAAAAAAAAATTCATCTCGCATTACTTTCTTAGATAAAAGGTAGTAGCCTATACTTTTTTTTAAAAAGATTTATTTTTATTTATGCAAGAGCCCGGGTACAGTCCAGATGTGCAGGAGGGTGAGAGGATTCACCAGAGACAAAGCGGGGAACAGAACAGGCAGACTGACGAAATACACTGCTGAGGGGCGCAGCGGGCAAGACAGGAGAGGTCTGCTCGCCATGTGGTTTGCTCCGGGGCCAGCAGGGACTGAACTGGCACTGCGGGGGCTGCGAACAGCTTCACAGAGCTGCGCTCAACCACCTGCGCCACTAGGGAGGCCCAGTAGCCTATTCTTGCATTCACATTAAAGAAAAAAATCATTCTGGAAACTGTACCCTGACAATACATAGAATTACTTGATTTTTTTTTCCATCTCCATAGGGGAATACACTTTGGTGTATTTGGCAAATCTTCTGTTGGTGGACATTTTGGTTATTTTGTCTTTTGTTGTAACAAATGAAGCTGAAATAACATAGTTCTGTCCATAGATCTTTTTTGGTCTTTGAGCTAGCTATTTAGAAGTGGGATTGTGACATCTGCAGGTAAAATATATAGGTAACTTTGGGAAATGTTGCTAAATTCCCAAAGGGGTTGTATCATTCACTAACAACTTGTCAGATGTTGGTTATCACAGTTTAAGTTCAGTTTGTATCGTACTATATATGAGACAGAGCATGTTTCAGATGCCAGCTATTCTCATTTCTTTGTCTGAGAACTGTCCATTCATTTTCAGTCCATTTTTCTATAGGTTTGCTAGTGGCTTTCCTCTGCATTTATTTGTAAAGTTCTTCATATTTTAGAAATGTTAACGATATATCTGTAATAGTGTTACAAATATTTTTTCTACAGTTGTCATTGTCCAAAACTTACTTTGTATATTTTTGTGAGCTAGACAAATTTTTTAACCAAGTTTACAAATCTTTTCCCTTGGATTTTGAGGCATAATTAGGAAGATTTTGCCTGCTCCCCACTAATAAATTCACCCATATTTTTTCTAGTACTTCCTATTTTTTAGATTCAGGTAGGTCTCTGATTCACTTGGAATTTATCCTTATGAATTTTCCTTATGGCTATCTAGGCTATCCAAATCTATCTATCCATATGCCAACACCACTTATTAAACAGCCACCACCCTCAACAGTTTTTTATTGCATCCGAAATTTCCAGAGCAGTTGGGTCCAGGTTTTCTGTGTTTTTCCAGGGCGTGTGGGTATTCTTGGGCCAGCCTTCACCTCTTCTTGCACCCCTCTGCCACCTTTCTTCCTGGTCAGGAAATCTCTGGTCCTTCTTGCTTGATTGTTCTTCTGAACGGACCTCGTGGTCACCTAGAAGACATACTTTAAAAATCAGCAAACATTGTTCCCCCAGGTGAAACGTGCTCCGTCCTCGAGTTTTAGAGTGATTTCCAGACCCTTCCTGGGCCTCTTGGCTCGAGTCACGTGACCTGACACATGGGCGCCACAGGCACTTGGTAGTGACAGGACTCCTCAGGCTAGGGCTTTCTGAAGGGGCAGCAGCGAGAATGGGAGGCAGGGTGAACCCTGTAAGGTCTGGAAGGAATAAAGTCCTCAGGGGCCTGGAGGGGCCAAAAGAGCCAAAAGAGCCGGGGTGCAGTGGTTCCTCTCAGTCCTGCCTTGGGCAGCCAGCACTCTGGTCTCTTTTGGGCGCAGGGGATGCTCCGGGCAGCGTGAGGTGCTGGCGCCGTCCACTTTCCTCCTCCTCCTCCTGGTCCTCCTCGAAGCTCCCCGGTTAGCGCGCACGCGGGCTCCCAGTTCCCCCAGCCGCCGGGGCCGCTGGTAGCCCACCCGCGCCCGCCCGCCGTGCTCGCAGGCCTTGGTGTCTCCCGCTCCCCCGCCCGCAGGCGTTGGTCTCTCCCGTCGCCCTCCTCCCCCGCCCCGCCCGCAGGCGTCGATGTCGCCCGCACCCCCGCCCGCAGGCGTTGGTCTCTCGGCCGGCCCCGCCCTCCGGGCGTCTGTGCGCTCACTTCCGCCGGGGCCGGGGCCGCGTTCGGAGCGCGCTTTGCGCTCCTGGGCCGGAGCGTCCGCAGTCGGGGAGGCGAAGTTCACGGTGCGGGGCGTCCCCTGAGTTGGCGCTTTCGCCGGGAGGAAGCGGTCGAGGAGCGGGTCCTGCGCCGTTCGGCTGGGAAGCATCACCTTCCCCCCGCCGTCCGGACGCCATGGACCCGGTGCCGGGTGCCGTGTCCTCTTCACCTGTCTCTTCGGGAAACCCGGAGGTGCTGGGATCCTTCTCGATGCTCTGCGCGGCCCTGATCACCAAGCTCCTGGAGGTGACGAGGCCCCCGGCGGGCGGGCGGGCGCGCGCGTGCGTCCTGAGCCCGGGCCCCCGACCGCGGCGCACCTGCCGGCGCGAGGGGCCGTGGCGAGACCGCGTCCCTGGCCCTCTCCCTATCGAGCCCTGGACGAGCCGGGCACGGCGGGCGTCGGCACCCCCGAGGTCCACACCCCCGGCGGGTCCCGTCCCCTGGACGCCCGGCGCTGTGGAGCCGGGGTCCGGCCGGCGCGAGCCGTGCGCGCCCGGGCGCCTCGAGCCTGCGGAAGTGGCAGGTGCGCGCTGCGCTGCCGGCCTCGGCGGGCCCCGGGCTCGCCCACCCGCTCGCGCGCTGGCCCGGGGCTGGCTCCGCTCGCTCAGCCTGTGTCTGTGGGAAACAGAAGGATTCAGAGAGAAAATCTGCAAGCACATTATTCATTATAGTTTGATTTTACTAGCTGCCATAAACGTGATTATCTCTACAATATGTTCCTTGTTTTTTTGGATTTTTTTTTTTTTGGTGTCATGTCACTTTTTAAAGTCATAAAAGTCAACGAAGAGCAAAGTAGGATCCAGAGTCTTTCTGGATGTGTATTAAGTAACACGATGTAGTAGTGGTTATCGCAAACCTGAAAATACTCAGATTAAAGACTTTAAAAACACTTAAAGCCAAACACAAAATATTGGCTGTTAGTATTGTCTTTCTTGAAGCAGTGGAAACCATTGGAGACTTTTGTTGACATAGTTACCTGATGGTGGTGGTTGTAGAATTTTTGTGGCTGTCTCTTGTGATCACTTCACTGTGATTCCTTTAAAGTTTCCCATTTTCTTCTCTCATGTTTCTATTTCAGCTGGTTGCTAAGTTGCCTGATGATGTTCAGCCTGGGCCTGATTTTTATGGACTGCCGTGGAAGCCTGTTCTCATGACAGTCTTTTTGGGAATTGTTTCATTTTCTATTTTCTTCTGGAGAACTGTTCTTGTTGTGAGTAAATTAAGATAATTTATATTTTGACTCATAATACAGGAGCTATTTATAATCACTGGTCCTTTTCTTTTTCATTTATCAACATGAACACAAATTAACGCTTATTCAAAATAGCCTTGTAAAATAATTTGTGTATTCTTTGTTGGTAAAGACTGAAGTGAAGACAACAGGTGTATAATCTCAATCGGAAGGCCTTATAAATCTCATATCAAAACTTGCAGGATTACTATTAGTAGAATTGGGAACTCTTACAGCCATCTTGAAAAGTAGTATACCATGTATAGGAAATCTTAAAAATGTCCATAACCTTGTGTATAATCTAATACCCTCTCAAGTAATCTACCTTTGAAAAAAAAAAAAAAAAGCCAGTCATGTCTTAAAGAATAGTGTATGAGGATAGTCAGAACTGTAATTCTTAGGGTACATCATAAATGATACATAGTAGGGAACTGTTAAATTGCAGTAAGTAATGTGTAATTTAATGGGTGATTAGGCAGCTCAGAAAATGATCACAAGTGGGAAAAAAGCAGAATCCAAGACTTTGAAGCATAGTTAAACCATATATTATATAAATACATAACACCCACACAGTAAAAATGGCTGCATGGAAATAGAACAAAATTGTAAAAATACTTTTATATCCAGGGGACTCGTAGTTTTTCAGTATTTTGTTGTATGTTTATGTATTTTGCTTAAATAAGTATATATCCTTCTATATGTTTAATGGTTATACTAGATGTCGTTCTGTTTTATAGTTATATAAAATAATTGGGGAAAATTATTTTGTATAAATGAGCTTTGCAGATGAAAAACTGTCAGTTTCAATCCAAGCACAATAGTTAAAAGTGTTTAAACGAATTGCGTGCATGTCTTTCTAACATTGAGTTTTCTTCTTCTGATTTCTTAATTTTCTGAGAGACATTTCGTTGTTAATAAGCTTTCTCTTCTTACATGTGCTTGTAAAATCACTTGAAAGGGAGGGTCTTTTTCCTGGATACTTGTAAAGTCTCCTCGAGCCTCATGGGGCATTTTCTAAGATACAAGGAAGCTGTGAAGTATCACTACCAATTAAATTTGAAGTGTTTAACTTTTTTTAATGCTTTACATTATGCTAAATAAAGCCATTATTAAATTTTATTTGGTTACAATTTGGCTATTTATTAAGAACTAAACTTTCTGTTCATAAAATGTTTTGACATTAAATTTTATTTTATTTTTCTTTTAGGTAAAGAGTAGAGTATATCAAGGTAAATATTTAGTTATTTTGTTACTTGTGCTATTCCCTCAATATTGCTGTTTGGTATGAATTTACATAAGCCAGAAGTAGATGCAGTTGCTTCTGTATCTGATTGATTTACTGACTTCTGAAAGCTTTATTAGTTCTAAGTGACTAACTTGGGTGATAGAGAGTAGATGGTGTTGCTTCCAGATGCGAACAAAGATGAGGTGGAGCACTTAGTGGGGGTAGGGAGAAGAGGATTAGTTTAATTGGGGCAGATTGACTTTGCATGTGGATGTAATGCATATTTTTTACAGTGTTTTATGCTAATGGTTTAAATAATAGTAATTAGAGATATAAGTCAGTATGCTTTCATTTTTTTTTTTTGCAAATGACTTACATTTAAAGTCACATGTTCTAAAAAGATTGGTGCTTTATAAAGGAAAGGATGTTGAGCAAAAATATTTTACTATATTTCTTATCTTTCAAATTTAAATTGGAATCTCATTGAAATAGGAGTTATTATATATTTCTTAAATTTAGACATTTTTATACCTTATACGATATCAAGTGGGTTATTTTCTAAAGACTTATTTAATGCTGAGATGTTCTCTTAGGTAACGTGTCTCTGCTGCTAAATCATTGGCTGTTTCAGATAAACTAACCATATGGATCTTCTCGACCCTCCCCCCCACCCCCCAGTCACTGAACAGCAGATATCTGAGAAAGTGAAGAATATCAAGAAAGAAAACGCAGAACTTGTACAAAAGTTATTAGATTATGAACAGAAGGTATAATTATTATTTTCATTCCCTTTCCCTCCTCCAGTGATTCCAGCTTGAATCTGCCTTTATAAATCAGTTATTAATTTTAAAACATTTCATTATTTCCTATAAACCATTCAAATTTGAGCAGTCATATAAAGTGCTGCTTATTTTCTGATACATATGACACACTGTATTTCTGAATCCCTACTGCTTTTTTAAATACAGATCAAGGAATCAAAGAAGCATGTCCAGGAAACCAAAAAACAAAACACTATTCTATCAGATGAAGCAGTTAAATTTAAGGTGAGCATTTCTTTTCTTTTTCTTTCTTTCTTTTTTTTTTTTTAAAAGATGTATTTACTTACTTATACAAGCACTGGATACAGACAGAAGCGCGGGAGGGTGAGAGAATTCACCAGAGCCAGAGAGGGGAACAGAACAGGCAGACTGACGAAATACACTCCTGAGGGGAGCAGAGGGCACGGCAGGAGAGGTCTGTTGCGCCATGTGGGTGCCGGGGATCCTCACCAGTGGCCGGGGATCGAACCGGCTCTACGGAGGCTGCGAGCAGCCTCACAGCCCAGTGCTCAACTGCTGCGCCACCAGGAGAGGCCCTTTTTAGTTACATTCTTAAAACGAAAGAAATGAATAGTTGTTATTAATCTTAAATTTTTTTTGGTAGAATAAAATCAAGACACTTGAAGAAAGTAAAGAAGCTCTGGATGACACAGCTAAAAGTCTGCGTGTTATGTTAGAATCTGAGAGAGAAGAAAATGCAAAGAATAAGGACTTGGTGAGAGTTTTGCTGTTAAGTGTTTTGTTTTTTTTTTAAAGGTTTTATTTATTTATGCATACAAGAGCTGGGGTACAGGCCAGAGATGCGGTGTGGGTGGTGGGGTGGGGGGCGGGTGAGAGGATTCACCAGAGACAGAGTGGGGAACAGAACAGGCAGGTTGACTGAAGTACACTGCTGAGGGAAGCAGGAGGTGAGTCAGGAGAGGTTTGCTTCACCATGTGGGTTGCTCCCTGACCGGCTGGGGATAGAACTCATGCTGCAGAGGCTGCAGATTGCTTCATAGTGCCGTGCTTAACCCCTGGCGCCACCAGGGAGGCCCCCTGTTAAGTATTTTTGAACTGTATCATTGATTGGATTAGTTGAACTGTGCATTTTCCCATTCTGTACCTACAATAAGATTAAGAGTCAGAGAAGTCAAACCTATTTCTGTCCCTTTTTTGTGTAATTTTCAGTGCTAAATTATTATTATTATTATTATTACTATTTTTTAAGATTTATTTATTTATTTAAACAAGCAGTGGGTACAGTCAGAAGCGCGGGAGGGTGAGAGAATTCACCAGAGCCAGAGCGGGGAGCAGAGCAGGCAGAAGGACCGAAGTACACTGCTGAGGGGAGCAGCGGGCGGCAGGAGAGGTCTGCGCGCCATGTGGGACTCACCCCCGGTGGCCGGGGAGCAGCCAGGATCGAACCAGCGCTACAGAGGCTACGGGCAGCTTCACAACCCAGCACTCAACCGCTGCGCCACCGTGGAGGCCCTATTACTATTATTTTTAAAGATTTATTTATTTTAGCATACAAGAACTGGGGTTCAGGCCAGAGGTGTGGAGTGAGAGGATTCACCAGAGACAGAGTGAGGGAGTAGAACAGGCAGACTGACTGAAATACACTGCTGAGGGGAGCAGTGGGCAAGTCAGGAGAGGTGTACTGCGCCCTGTGGGTAGCTCTCTGGCTGGCCGGGGATCAAATACGTGCTGCATTGGTTGCGGACTGCTTCATCGGTTGCGTCTTAATCCCTTGTGCCACCAGGGAGGCCCAGATTATTATTTTTATGAGCCTAGGACATACTTTTGTCCTCAGCCCTAGGTGATTTTCATATTGCTTGACTCTGCTCTCTGAAACGTAGATTGAGAAACCATAACCAAGTCTTAGTACTTTTTGTTTCATGCTGCATGTTTTTTCAACTTTTACTTTTTATTTTATTTTATTTTTTAAAAATATTTTACACATTTTATTTTTTTTAAAGATTTATTTATTTTTATATAAGAGCTGGGGTACAGACTAGAGGTATGGGAGGGTGAGAGGATTCACCAGAGACAAAGTGGGGAGCAGAACAGGCAGACGACCAAAATACACTGCTGAGGGGAGCAGAGGGCACGACAGGAGAGGTCTGCCACACCATGTGGGATTCTCGCCAGCCAGCGGGGATCGAACCAGCAATGCAGAGGCTGTGGACAGCTTCACAGCGTGGCACTCAACCCCCGCTGTGCCACTGGGGAGGCCCAACTTTTACTTCTTTGAACAATTTTAGAGTTAATTGAAAGTTGCAGAGGTGGCATAGAGTCTTTCTGTGTATTGTAGAAGGAGTTAAGGCTCTATCACCTGGCTGAGGTAGTATTTCCCACTGCAGTTGTCTTTCCCTATTCCTTTGCATATTGCACTGTATGCAAGGAAGATACTACTTGCAAAGTATGAGAAAGCAAGTATGCTCCACCTCCTTGAGGAGGCAGTACTTTCATAAATTATTTTGAATTTCTCTATATGTGAAAATTGTTTGTTCTCCCTTGAGTCTAACTACTTTTTACTTTAGGTAAGAGCTTTTTTAGTGCTCTCTATGAAAAAAAAAATTACTCAAACTGGTTACTTGAGACTTTTTCATTTTCTTTGTTTTCACCTCTTTGTGTGATCATCTGCCACATTACTCATAACCAGGAAGGTTTTTGATGCTGTGAAATATTTATCCGTTCTATTACTTTCTTTTTTTTCTCATTTCTTACCTTTTTTATTTTTCTCCTACACCAAAAATATATCATTTGCTTTTACTGATTTACAGGGTATAACTCTAGACTATATAGCCTTAATATTTCTTCTTTTTAGACTATATCCCCATGTGTCTATTGAAATCCTAATACATTTTTTGTGTTCTTTTTCCACATGGAAGATTCTGGAAAACAAGAAATCTATAGAGAAGTTAAAGGATGTTATTTCAATGAATGCCTCAGAATTATCAGAGGTAAGCTGTTTGCAGTTTTTGTAAGAGATTAATACTGTGTCTTGGTTCTGTTGAAGGACAAACACTTGACACACGCAAGAATATGTGGAAACCAAAAACTATATGATGTGTAATTCAGAAAACATAATTTTTATTTTTTTTAGAGTTAATTAACTAATAGGAATGTTTTCTTAGGTTCAAATTGCTCTTAATGAGGCAAAACTAAGTGAAGAGAAGGTGAAATCGGAATGCCACCGAGTTCAGGAAGAAAATGCTAAGCTTAAAAAGAAGAAAGAGCAGGTAAAGAAGAGTTCATGTCATAGATTATGTGAACTAGAGAACAGAACATTAACATCTTGAATATCTTTTCTCAGATCTGTTTTTAAGGGAATGCAGTCATCAGGATTCCATTTTTAGATATGCAGAGTTCATTTGCTCTCAAAATTTCAGTACATGTTCTCCATTTGTTTTGAATTTTCTGTGTTCATGTAATTTCTTGTAGCTGTCAAAGTGTTTAGTCTTCATTGTGTCAAACACCAAATTTAAACAGCTTTTTTTTTTTTTTTAAAGATTTATATATTTATGCAAGAACTGGGGATCAGGTCAGAGGCGTGAGAGGGTGAGAGGATCCACTAGAGACAGAGTGGGGAACAGAACAGGCAGACTGACGAAATACACTGCTGAGGGGAGCAGCGGGCGAGACAGGAGAGGGCTGTCACGCCATGTGGGTTTCGCCCTGGCCGGCTGGGAATTGAATCCGCGTTGCAGAGGCTGCGGACAGCTTCATAGTGTGGCGCTCAACCCGCTGCACCACCCGAGAGGCCCAAATTAAACAGCTTTAATGGGCATTGGATTCACTTATTAAACTGAGAATTAGGTAATTATAACCGTTATTTGAGAAATTCTTGCTTTATTGACCAAGGGAAAGTTACATGATCTGGAATCTGTCAGGCTTACGTGTCTTTCTGTTCCTACTGGAGTAGGAATATTTGAATTAGCTATAATCCTTCTAAACGTGCTCTTTTGTTCTCACTGCAGTTGTGACAGTTGGAGCCACTCTTCCCTGACCCTTATCCCAGGCCTCAGCCCAGAGAGAAGCATGGCTCCTTACTTGTCTGTTTCATTGATGGGGTCCTAATGTCTCTAATGCAAAAGTTTTAACTTTGGAAATCCATGTGTTTTAAATTCTCAGTTGCAGCAAGAAGTAAACAACTGGAGTAAATCTCATTCTGAACTCAGTGAGCAAATCAAATCATTTGAGAGATCTCAGAAAGATTTGGAAGTAACTCTCACTCATAAGGATGATAATATTAGTGTAAGTTCATTTTCTTGAGTCTATGCTTAATTATCATGAAACCAGCTAAATTTAAATTGAGAGGATTTTAAATACACTTTTTGTTTCTTTTCTAGGCTTTGACTAATTGCATTACACAGTTATATCGGTTAGATAGTGAATCTGAACCTGAGGGTCAAACTAAAGGAGGAAATGACTTAGATGAATTAGCAAATGGAGAAGTGGCAGGTAAGATTGATGTCAGAGGAACTGCACTTTTTTGGCCTTCTTGCCCTTGCGTATACTGATGCTACCTTGCAGCTGACTGAATTTCCTCATAAGGTCATGTGCCTTGGGCAGAGGGGCTTGCTGAGGTCATGGTGCAGCAGTAGGCAGGCATTGAGTACTGACTATTTTTCCACACACAGATGTGGGCGCCTGAGCTAAAGCAGCATTAGTTATGTCTTAGTGAAAATATTCATCAGGAGAACGTGTTTCTCAGCTTTATGGAGATGACATTGAAATTTAATGCTGATTTCTGTAGCTTTGTGGTCTTTAGGCCCACAGCTAAGTTAAGAGCGCTGAGATGGTGGGAGACATAAGCTAACTCAGGCTGTGAGAGCAGAGGCTAATAGGCAGCAGTATATACTGACGAGCATCATTTTCTGCTCACTGTCCAACGTTGACTATAGCTTTCATGGTGGCTGTTTATGCCACACCTGGTGGTAGATTCAGGGAGAGAGCAGAGGAGTGAGTATTTCTAAATAATGAGACTAAATAAAGCACTTGACCAGGGGGAGGCTGAGCTGAGAGAAGAACTCCCATATGCTGGCTCAGGAATGGCGTGCAAGACACTTTCTTTGCACCAACTGGGGATTCACTTTATGTGATTCTCCTAAAAATCAAAATGTCCTAATCATTTGTGTTGTTTTTTTCTTTGAATGTTCAAATGTGGTAATTGTTTTTAGAAAATATAGTTAAAAAGCAAAGGAGGAAAAAACAGTGAAAAACCTTTTGTGTTTCAGGTGATCCAAGTGAGAAAATGAAAGCCCATATCAAGCAACTGATGGATGTTTCTCGGGTATAAGCCTTTTGCTAGAATGTTTTAAGTGCTGTGAATTCTTATTGTGCCTTGTTTTTTTTAAAAAAAAAAAAAGATTAATTTATTTATGCATACAAGAACTGGGATAGAGGCCAGAGGTGAGGGGGGTGAGAGGATTCACCAGAGACAAAGAGGGGAACAAAACAGGCAGACTGACTGAAATACACTGCTGAGGGGAGTAGCAGGCAAGACAGGAGAGGTCTGCTGTGCCATGTGGGTCACCACCTTGGCCGCGGATCGAACTCTTGCTGCAGTGACTGTGGATAGCTTCGTAGTGCTGTGTGTTAACCCCTTGCGCCACCAGGGAGGCCCCTGTGCCTCATTCTTAAGAATACTTTTCTCTTTTCCAACTTTCAGACACAAACTGCTTTATCAGTAGTTGACGAGGATCTGAAAATTTTACAGTGTAAACTAAGAGCCTCGATGTCCACTAAATGTGTCCTGGAAGGTAGGTTGCTTGTTGAGAAGAAATTGCCAAATAGTGGAAAGATACGGAATTGCTTTGGAAAGATAAGCCATGGCTTCCTGCTTACATGTTTCTCCACCTTCCCCACCCCCTCAACAGGTTCTCAGGTCCCTGTACACAGTCACAAAGCTCATGTTTTATCCTTTACAGATGAAATAAAGAAACTGGAAGATGATCGCAACTCTCTGCAGTCTGTCAAAGCTGGACTGGAGGATGAATGCAAAACCCTGAGGCAAAAGGTGGAGATTCTGAATGAACTCTACCAGCAGAAGGAGATGGCTCTGCAAAAGTAAGATAGATTATCCTGGCCACTGTTAACAGTGTTGTCATTACCAAGCATGTATGCCATTACAGATAATTTGGACTCTTAAATCATTCATAGTTTTTTTCCAACTATGATTACCAAGGTTTGTCATTGCTTCTCATAATGTGGGTTGTTTTTCTGTTGTCACCACTTGTCAGAACCTGCTGCCTATCTACTTGGGGGTGGAGGGGGATGATTGACTGGCTCCAGCAGTGACTGCTGTGCCTTTGAAAGTTTTGGGCTCTTTCCACAGCTCCCCCACTTCACGCCCCATTTTTTTTGGTGGTCAGTTACATCATTCTCCTTGACCTTGCATTCTCGCTCTGGTTTGTAAATAATATGGTTTTATGAAATCCCGAGAGGCTAGTGTGCTGTGCTTTTTAGTAGAATAGGAACTTCAAAAAGAATACTTGGAGTTTTGGACTTAGCGATTTGGGAGTTTTGAGTATAGAAATAACTCTTTGATGTATATGTTTAGGTACTAGATTCTGAAGTAGACACCTCAGATTTGGACTTCAGTATCTTTTGCAAGACAGACTTTTGTAGTTCATTTTAGGTTTTTTTCCTTCACTAAAATACCTGAATTCTTGAAAAACAGGTTGTTAGTGGCAGTGGCTGATTGTGTCTGCTTCTGTACTTCACTCTAACTTACATGGCAGGTGTGAGCAGGCTTGTCTGGCTAAGCAAAGTTAATCTTTTTAAAATGCTTGCACTGCTACTGAAACCACTTCACAGTTTCTCTAATTCTTTATTCATCAAGCAATCCATTTACATTTTCCAAATTTTGTTCAAAGCCACCTCTTAAGTACATGACCACTTCAGAGAAATAGTTCTTATTTGTTGCTTTTTTGAAAAAAAAAAAGGACTACTCAGGTCCTAGTATTTGGACTACCCAGATGGCTGTTGTTTTTCACAATCCTGTCGGTGTGGCACAACTTCATTCAATTCCTCCAACACCCACTCCGTCCCCATGTCTAGACATGTTGGAGTACTCACTGCCTTCATCGCCAAAGCTGTGTGTTTTATCATCTTTTCTACCAGCCTCTAATGGATCACCTGTTCTGTTTCCTTTTCCTATATTCCTCCTTCCAACCTCTGATTTTCTCCACAGCCGCTGGAGTGAACTTTCTGAAACACAAGTCAGTCCATGTCATCAAGGGCTTCCATTCCTTCAGGATCAGGTCCAGACTCCATCCCGGCACCCAGGGCATTTCCCCTCAGTTGTCCTGAGTGCCTCCCTGGTGCACTTCCTGCAGCTTCTCCTGACGCTCCCTCACCAGCCACACAACACCGTTCCTTCTTGCTGCTCCGCACCTCTTCGTCATTACATGTACTGCTTCCCCTGCAGCGCGGTGTCCTTTCCCACATGACTTCCGCTTGGTAGTCTCCTACCTCATCAGATATTTATGTTCCTTAAAATCTTCTCTGAATAGAGTTGTAGCGTAAGTAAATAGGTGGACATGGAGACTGGTGAACACTCCTTTTTCTTATAATGTGTATGTTTAGGTTTACATCTACACAGGGGTGTTGACTTGCTATTTGACTGCCTTTCTCTATTCCCTTTTCCTCTTCTCTATCTTTTGGGTTGTTCAATGTGTTGCATTTATGCCGCTTAAGGTTTTCAGATTCATGGATTTCTGGGTCTTTTTCCATGTATTAATTCTCCATTATCTCTTCTCATTCTGTGATTCTAACTGAACATTGGTTATTTCCCCAGCTGTCTCCTACATTCTTATCTGTATTTGCTTCATTCTGGAATTTTTTTGATCTCACTTATCTTCGGGGGTGCGAAAATCTCACTTAGTTGTGAAATCTGCTGTTAAAATTATTCATTGAGTTCTTAACTTCAGATACTGTGTTTCAGTTTTACAGTTTTTCTAATCCCCTGCTCAAAGTCATAATCCTGACTTTCACTTCCTTGGTATATGGGGCATAATTATTCTTAAATCTGTGTGATAATTCCATTATGTATATCTCCAGTGGGTCAGTTTCTTCTGTCTTTAAGATTTTGATCATACTGTTTTGTAGAGTACAGGGTCAATTTTGTTTGGCAGACATGATAATTGTAGGGGAGGTTTAAATTTTAGGACTATGTAATTTTCCTAAAGAAAATAACTGAAAAGAAAGAAAAAGAAAATAACTGAATTTATTTCTAGCAGGTACCCATTACTTTAATCCAAGCTTTCCTTAATCATTTTAATCCAATTAAGTTAAATAAGACCCGATTAAGCGAGATTAATTAATCCAATTAAGATCATTCAAAAATAATGCAGTTTTGCCTGCTTGGTGCTGCAATGCACAATTCTTTCTAATCTCATTACACAGCCTGGTGCTTTTAGGAGGGGTCTCCCCCAAGGGGCAGCCCTGAATTTCACTTTTTCTTTGAACTCAGGAATTGGTTGGAAGTTCTGGATCTCTTCATTATCTTCAATGTGTGAATGAACCTAGTGGAAAAGTCGCTTCATATGTTAGGCTTGTAATAATGAAATTCCGTTTTAACTCTCTGATTCATTCCTTAAGCATGTTCTTTATATTTTTGTCCAGTGTTCTGGTTGTTATCAGACTAGCTTGTGCATCAGCAGAAGCAAAATTCCTTCTTCCAGTCTATTTTCCCATAATTGTATAAGTTAGAGTCAGAGACTGTTCTCTTATTATGTTCTTATACATCTTAAACTGTGGACTCTGTTAGTACAAGCTTTAAACTGTGGACTCTGTTAGTACTTTGCCCATAGTTTTATCTGTGGCATTTTCCTAGGCAATCAGTTTATTATAGCCACTCATAAAATATTGGCTGAAGTGATTAATGGGCAGTTATATAAATCCTTTTCTCTTTGTTTTAAATACTTTTTACTAGCTTTTCTCATTTTGCTTCTCATTGATAGAAAATTAAGTTTCAGGTTAAGTATCTTCTGAATCAGAACTGGAGGCATGAAGTACAAGGGTGATAAGAAAATAGCTCTTTTAAAATAGTGAATGTTGCTACCTTAAAGTCTGTGTTGCTATAATAGATTGACATCTTAATCTTGAAGGTTATTGGGTTAAACACACTTTCTGGTAGGTTATATGTCGATTATGAGTTTAAGTCTTTCTTTCAGAGTCAACAGACATTACCAGTTCTAAGATTTTTCCTTAATCACAATTCTATTGAGATAGGTAGTAGGCATTTCATATCTGATCTCTGGAAATGTTGTGGTTAATTGCACAGTTAAAAGATAAATTCAGAAAGGCTCTTTCTTTGGCTACTGTCCTTATCATGGTACCAGTCTTGGCTTGAGATCAGGTCTTCCATGACAGAAATAAGAGAAATAATTACAGGTCTTTCTGTGGTAAAAATAAGAACAGTAATTACGCCTGCTTTATCCTAATAGTCTTCATCATGTTAGGTTGTGCAGACCTGGCCTTCCACACTTAAACACAAAGAGTTTTCATTGTCTTTCAAGTGATGGGAATTTGTCCAAAGGGAAGGTGTGTTTTTTTTTTTTTTTTTTTTAACATTTGTTTTGTTAACTAGTGAGTAGAGAAATATGAGAAGTTAGAAAATGCCAGTGAGTTGTCAACAGACCAGAGATTGATTTTTATCCATGGAGGTCAGGTTTGAATTCTCTCCTACGACTGTTTGTGTGTCTTCACATTTTAGAGAGGCTAGAAAATAACATTTAGGATGATGCTTTTAGATAGACTGCTGGGAAAAAGAGAAACACTTTTCATTGACACTGATTTTATCCTAGGAAGTTGAGTCAAGAAGAGTATGAACGTCAAGAGAGAGAGCAACGGCTCTCAGCTGCAGATGAGAAGGCAGTTTTGGCTGCAGAGGAAGTAAAAACTTACAAGTGAGTTCAGCTTCTAGAAAGGGTATCAGTGGCTGATGAAATGCTTAGCTTTTTTAAGAATCATATTTGCATTATATTGAACAAAGAGCAAAGAAAAAATACATGGTCAGAAGATAGAAATACATTTAATTAACACTGGAGAAAAGATTTTTAAATTTACAAAGGAAAAGAAAATTAAATCAATAAAAATTTGCTTACACCAATACAGACATTAACTAAAGGAGCTTGGTTCATGCCAACTTAGTTCTGTGTAGTTTTGTGTTTTGGAGTACAAAGGCAGCTTGTTAAGGATGTAGTGAAATGATGCAGTTGGATAGACCCAATTTCCCATAGTTCTGGGAAATTTTCTATATACTTAAATAAGAAAAAGTTTTATGGGGGAAGTTATTCATAGCAGGGTAGTTGTTGAACATACTGAAGAAAAGTTAAGGAAATATATAACTCTGAATTTCCAGGCATTAAATAATAAATTATAGAGTATTAATTTTAATCATATTGTGTTTGAATTGTTGTGCTTTAACTGATAAAAGTAATTGTAATTCTTAGACGGAGAATTGAAGAAATGGAGGAAGAATTACAGAAAACTGAGCGCTCATTTAAAAACCAGGTAATAGTTACACTACCATACAGCTGCAAAATTCTTTGATATTCAGTGCAGATTATTATAGTGAATCCACACAAATATTTTTGTTGTATTGTGTTTTTCAGATAGCTACTCATGAGAAGAAAGCTCATGATAACTGGGTAAAGATTTTTTTCTCCTCTACTTCATTTTGTGCATAGTCTACCACAGCTGTGAATTTGATTATTCCCCCTCCCCCCCCAATAGCTCAAAGCTCGTGCTGCAGAGCGCGCTATGGCTGAAGAGAAAAGGGAAGCTGCTAACTTAAGACACAAGTATGTGATTTTGATACCTACTCTTTTGGTGTGGCTTAAAGTTTTTCTTTTTCTTTTTTTAAAGATTTATTTATTTATTTATAAAAGAACCGGGGTACAGACCAGATGCACGGGAGGGTGAGAGGATCACCAGAGATAGAGTGGGACACAGAACAGGCAGACTGACGAAATACACTGCTGAGGAGAGCAGCGGGCATGACAGGAGAGGTCTGCCGTGTCATGTAGGACCCTCGCCGGCCGGCCAGGATGGAACCGGTGTTGCAGAGGCTGTGGACAGCTTCACAACATGGCGCTCAACTGCCAGTGCCACCAGGGGAGGCCCTGTGGCTTAAAGTTTTTTAGGGTCATGCTATGTGGCATCTAGTAAGAAAATGATTTGTTAATTAATGTTTATATCCATTCTTTTTCTGTATTAAAGATTATTGGAAGTAACCCAAAAGATGGCAATGCTGCAAGAAGAACCTGTGATTGTAAAACCTATGCCAGGAAGGCCCATTATACAGAACCCTCCTCGGAGAGGTAGGGAGCACTTTCAAAGGGCAGCAATCTAGTTTTTGATGCAAGATGTCTTTAATTTCTGTGTGTAATAGTTATGATGCCCAAGAAATAATCCTAAAACTACTAAAGAATGAAAGATTGCCTTAGAGTGGTTAACAGTCTGCTTCGTCCTTAGGTCCTTTCAGCCGTAACGGCTCTTTTGGCCCATCTCCCGTGAGCGGTGGGGAGTGCTCCCCTCCACTGACAGCTGACTCACCTGCTAGACCGCTCTCTGCTACACTTGGTCCAAGGGAGGTGCCTCCAGGTGAATTTGGTAAGATTTTGCATGGCGCCTTGCTGTCAGCCGTCTCAAGAGTTTTTTGCCCTTTTACTTGAGAATTCTAATGCAGACATTTTAGAATTTGGGTCTGTCCAATATGAAAAGAATACTTCTGAATTTATCTTGGTGGACAGTCTGTTGTAAAATATGCTTTAGAATAGAAAGTAGTTTTTATTAATAGCATTAGTATATGTAAGAACTGCAAATATATACACATAAAATATTTTTTGTCTGTTTCGTTTAAGCCTTTAAGTGGAATTTCTATTGCATTTCTCTCTTTAATATTATAAAAAGTAGCCTTAAAACTTTATAATTTTATAAATTTTGCAGCATACATTCATTTCTCATCAGTACAATATGAAATGCTGTGTTTCTAATCATAGTGTGTAGACCTTGCTAAGAGGTAAAAGTCAAGTTTCATGTACACTCAAACAAACCTGCCAGTACAATTGTGACAAGCTAGTAGCTTGAACTGCCTGACCAGTGCTATAATGTGTATGGTTTATTGCTGTTGTTTCAATGCAAGACAGTTATTTTACTTCTTTAAGTCTCAGCATAAATTATAAGTAATTTCCCTCTATATTTAGTGTTGCTGTCTAGGTACAGTTGAGCCCTAACCTGGCCACCACTGCTTTATTTTTTCTGGGGGGAGGAAAAAAATCCATGTAAGGGCTATTAATTCTTTTTTCAAGGGTCAGTGGCCAGGCCTCTGCCTTGTCTTCAGTGTTTGTCTGAGGCATCTTGAAAACCCTGTGCCTTTGATAAGGAAACTGAGTGTGTTCAGAGTCTATAAATGCATGGAAGACTTGGGTAGAGAATATTTTTATTCTTCAAAGAGTGTATGGGTTAGAAAAAGCCTTAAGTCGGTTCTCTGGCCTTTGGCAGATCCGGAGTCTGGCGCAGCTCCCATGATGAACAGCAACTCAAGAGGCTCTTCACCTAGTAAGGTGCTGGATGAGGGCAAGGTAAGTGCTGTGGTGCTTTGGAATTTTATTAGGTATTTCAGGAAAGGTTTAAATCTTTTGCGGCATCTTCTGCCTCCTCCATCTCCTGTTTGTGAGTTCTGTTGTATCTGTACTATCTCATTTATTTTTCTAAAAGCAAACTGTGCCCCAAGAGTCTGAAGGCCCTTCTGTTCCCAGCATTCCAACCTTGCCTGAGCATCCAGTAGCAGTAAGTACTTAGAGGCTGAGGGCTGATCTGGGTTTTTCCTGTCTATTTCTGGAAAGGATACCAAGAGCATGACACCTGCTTTGATTTAAACTGCATGGCAACACTGACCTTGGTGGGTTGCTGCAGTCTGACTGGTTGTTTGTCTTTTCTTCCCTTTCCTGGTTTGGTTAGGTGATTAACCTGTTTACAACAGCTGTTGTTATTAACAAAAAAATGTGCAGTCATCACTACAACTTTACATTGTATGCTTCAGTGTTGGAAATGTATTATGTATTTGCATAATTCATCATTATTAAGTATGTGCTGGAAGGGTGCTACTCATGAATATTTTCAGCAGTACACTAGGAAAATCCTATTTTGCATAATCTAAAATTACAGATTGCTCACAGAATGTTTGTTGAAAGTGAAATACTGCTTATGAAAATCTGTAATTACCTGTTGTACCAGTTCCTAGCAGTCATCTTAAATTACATTCACATAAATGCATTCTCTTAGAGCTTGTGGTAAGTCCCCTGGTTCTACTCCTATGATGAAACAAAAAATGGTATTTTATTCAGAAGCTCCAACCCAGTTTCTCACATAAGAAAGGATCAGTCAGCATCTCGTGTTACCAAGAACAGAATTGATGAGTTAAGGTGACTGTTGGAACTAGGCCTGCCCTACTGATGTATGAATATTGTTTCTGTGGAGGAATAATCCCCAGTTAGTGCAGGGCTTCAGGAATACACCTCTCTCTCTCTATCTTTTTATCCAGGGGCGGGATAAGACCAAAGCACTGTTTGAAGTAGACTTCAAAAAGAGAAGAGAGGGAGGCAAAGGTGGGAAGGAGAAGGAGCATGGGCTTGGAGTCAGAACAGATGTTGAATTTCAGCTGGCTTATTACCTGTGTGTGATCTTCAGCAAATTATCTAATACTCTCTTCTCTCATACTTAAAATAAGATGACTATATTTTAATACTAGCAATTTGAGAATTAGATAACATATGAAAGGGAATTGAAGGTACTCTGAATAGTGGCTACTAAGATGAGTGTAGAGAATGGACTTTTCATTCCTTTCCCTTCTGCCCCATTCTTATGGAAATAGTGAGCTACTGTGGCTTAGTGGGGATTGAGGTAGGAAGGGCTGCCCTACAAATAGATTATGAGGTGTGTGGTAAGACTCTTTTTCACCTGTTAATAATCCTTTCACCATCTTCTGTCCTTTTCTGTTTGCACATACAAGCAGTAACCTGGCTGTGGTGAAACTCCTCCTCCTGTGACCCTTTTCAGCACCAGTGGGGCAGATGGGAGGGTGTTTTGTTGGCCTGATTGTGTGCTTTGGACAGGCGCCTGACATCTGCTTTGTTGGGTTTCAGCTTTCTTGGTGGTGGTGTTTTGTTTGTTTTAACAAGTGTTTAAAACTTGAATTGCTTCTGTTTTGCAGGTTAACGTGGCTGCAAAAGGCCCACCTCCTTTTCCAGGGGCGGTACCCTACATGAGCACCCCCATGGGAGGCCCTATTCCACCACCACCCATTCGCTATGGACCACCTCCTGCATTCTGTGGGCCTTTTGGGCCACGACCACTTCCTCCACCATTTGGTATGATGATTTAACTATTTGTTGCTAACATTTTAATAGTTACATTTGCAGGGCTCTGCAGTTGTGGGGCTGTGCAGTTGCAGGGCTCTGCAGTTGCAGGACTATGCAGTTGCGGGGCTATGCAGTGTAGGACTATGCAGTTGCATGGCCATGCAGTTGCGGGGCTATGCAGTGCAGGGCTATGCAGTTGCAGGGCAAAACTGACCCAGTACATATTTACCTTTACTCAAGTTTGTTAGAGCTCATGGGCATTGCTTGTCTCCTCCATGCAGACGGCTGTAAGCACAACTTGTAGACAAGGAAAGGAGTTGTCTTGAAAGCCAGAAATACGACTTCCGTGGTTGTTTATTAAACTTCTGTGACATTGTGCCAGGCTCTGTAATGGATAGAACTGAAAAATTCCAAGAGCTTAAGGTGTCCTATTGGACCTAGGCCACACGTTATACAAAATAGAACTTGTCGCCATAATGGAGATGTAACATTGGGTCATAGACTAGAAAGAGTAAACACTCAATACCTATTTGGGGAATAAACGGGAAGTGTAAGGCAAGGGAGAATTTAATTGCTCCTTAATGAATTCTGCTGAATTCAGTGGGGTGGAGCTGGGAGGCCTTTTCCACCAGGGAAGGTACCTTGACTTTGATGGCATGCTCAGCTAGTGCGTGGATTTTTAGTAGTAGACAGTACAGTTTCCTTTGTTAAAGTTTCTTCATTGCTATGAAGCAACATATTATATAATCTGTCATCTCGGTATGATAGTGCTTTCAAGTACAGTTCATTTCTTCTGATGTACAGTTCATTTCTTCTTTCAACGGTGGCATTGTATAGTGGGAAAAACACAGGTACAGCCCTCCTGTTAAATTTTGCCTGTGTGGCCATGACATGTACCTGAAACTTGTTGCACCTCCATTTGCCTCATCAGGAAAATGGGATGCCACCACCTGATGTCTAGGGTTGTGAAAAATGAAACATTAAAATACCTGGAATCATCTAAATTTCAGTTATGTTTCTCTGTACTTACACATGACTTCATTTTTATTTTTCTAGGTCCTGGTATGCGTCCACCTCTAGGACCCAGGGAGTATGTACCAGGCATTCCACCGGGAAAAATGCCTTTTGATCCTCGAGAGTTTGCACCAGGACACCCACCTTTTAGACCTTTGGGTCCTCCTGGCCCGAGAGAGTATTTTATTCCTGGTCCCCGAATGCCACCCCCAGCCCCTGGACCCCAGGATTATCCACCTCCACCTGCTGCAAGAGACTTCTTGCCTTCCGGCTCTAGAGACCAGCCCCCTCCTGCCTCTTGGAGCAGTAGCCAGGACTGTTCGCAGACTTTCAAACAGGGCCCATAACTCTGACGTTTAGTCGGAGAAGAAAGCAGACTGTGTACTACTCATAACAGTCAAAGATTTCATTGGCTTTAAAATCAAAAATTTCCTTTAAAAGGTTTATTTTCAGACATAAGCTGCCCTGGCAGTATGCATTTTTGAGCCAAACAATTAAAAATATTATTTCCCCCCAAATAAAAATCACCTCATAAGCTAGAGCCTCCTTATAACTTTAAAATGTGCAATAAAGAATACCTGTGTTTTAGTTGATGTAGCATATGTAACTGCTAAATGATTTAGAGTGTCATGAAAAATATGAACATTTCCTGTGGAAATGCTTTAAGAACATGTATTTCCATTTACTGTCCTATTTTTAGTGTACACCAGTGAATACAGAGCAATGGTGTTTATAAGCTTGATTTTTTAAAAAAAACCTGGTTGCAAAGACTGTTACACTAAAAAATGTTTACTAAAAGATCACTAAACTTTATCTCCCCTCTTGCAGAAGTTCTTTGTAGTAATAGTTCATAAAAATTTGGTGGTTATTTCCCAAGTGTCCGTTGATTCATTGGATTGTTTTCTAATGAGATTTGGACCATTTTGGAAATGTGTGAATTCGGGCTCCCAGGACTGAAGATGCCGACGTTGGTAGCAAGCTCCCTGGTGCTCCCTGCTCAGGAGGGGCAGTGGCCAAGTCACCTGCCAGGGCCATGATGATGCCTTCTTCAGAGAGGCCATGGGTCCCTTTTACGTGTGCTTTCTTGTGACTTTACTGCCTTGTCTTCTATACCTTGTCAGTGGTTTTTCAAGGAACATGGCCAGAAAGATGAATATAATAGCATGAGGAAGGTTGATTGAGGACTGAAGTCTTCTGATAGGACCCAGGCCACCAACCATACCTCAAATATAAAAATCACTATATCTAAGAATCTGGGATTACACTATTTCTTCTATTACTACACATCTTTTCAAGTATTTCTAAGAACTAATTCAACCAAACATTTTTTAGTAACTTTATATAGCACATTTTAAGAATGTCATGATTTAGATAAAATCAAAATTATAAAAAGCTGGTCGTCTTCTTCATTGTTATTCTTAGACTGTCTTCTCCCATTCTCTGCAATCTTGTAACATCGTTGAGACCTGCCTAGAACATGACTTGTCACTGTTTAAATGTGATTCAGTAAGAATAATCCTTTAAAGACAAACAAAGGCTTCATTGTGAAACTTTCTTTTATGCTAAAAGATACCAATTTATAAAGACCTTTGAAAGAACACTTTCAAAATTCATAAGGTGTAAGAGTCCATTAAGGAAAAGAAAGTTCCATTTGTAATATATCGTTCTGTATCAAGAACAGAAGATATTTAAGGGGAAAATGCAGTACTTCATAGCATAGGTTATTTTTAACCAAAGAAGATAGGTTAATTCACAAATACAACTTTTGAATATATCTCTTGAGGACACAAAATGGTGAAGTTAAATAATTTCTAATTTTAACTAGCATTTACATATAGATTACACCAGTTAGGAAGAGCAAGTGAAGAAGGTACACCTATTTTTAGAATCAAAGCTGATGTCTTTACCTTTGTTTATTCCATATCTCACACTGAAAATTAAGTGATGGAGAAATTCTAATGTTTATCTGGGCAATTCTATACCTGCCATGATCACCTCTCAAGAGCCACCTCATTGGCACCACTTCTGTAGCACAGTTCAGGTGAGCTGCCAACAATGGTGTGAGCACAGCATCCCACAAGTCACGTACTTCAAAAGTTTATTTATGACTGATTGTGATTCTGGGTTGGTGTGAAAGTAAATTCATTTGTTTATTTTGGTTACTGTTCAATGACTGATTTTTTTATCATTGGAAAGTAAATTCAAGCAATCTGGGATGTGGGGGTATTCTGTGTCTACTGCTTTTAAACTGTCATTCAGTTCTGAAAGTGAAGCTAATCACACTGTCCAATTACGCTTCTCTCATGAAAGGCACTTGCAGTACATAGAAACCATACTTAGGTGAACGAGAGATGCCTCATAAATTATGTTGATATACAAGTAGTATGGTCACAAGAAAAGAGAAAACATACCGGTTTTGCTACATTTTAATAATAGGTTTTAAGGGATTTTTTTTTTTTTAGGGTCTCATCAGCAACATCTCACAAAAGGTATCGAGTGCCCCACAGGGTACAGCGTTGCCAAGCACCTTGGAGAATCACAAGTCCTGGAAAAATGTGCTCAGAATCACAAGACCTGGAGAAATGAAGTTCTTGCCCCTGAGGAGCGTACAATCTGGGGGCTGACAACTCACAGTCTAAGCTTTGAGGAATCAATAAAACAATTTATTAAGGCAAATTCTTTGTCCCTATTAGCTGCTGTGGGCCTAACTGTTTTGATAAATCTAACCAAGACAGGCGTGACTGAATATGGTTGAGAATTCTTTCAGGCGCGTGGAGTTTTTAACATCTTAGTAAAGAGAACTGACCTAAGAGGCAACTGAAAGTAGAGACTAGATCTCTTGAAGTGCAAGTGCTAGAACATCTTAATTGCGGTTATTTTAAAAAGCAAATGTACTGAACGGTATGTCCAGGGATAATGCACTTGTTTAGGCCATGTACTGGCACTGCATTCCCTTCCTGCTACCACTGGTCATTTAAAACAGTGTCTACTAAATGGCTCTGTGTAGTCTGCAGAAAGCTTGCCTCAAATCTTAATGTACTGTGTGTCAAGTACCCACCTTGTATCTGGATTTTTATGTCTCCTTACTCAAAAGTAATGTAAATAGTCAAATTATAACAAGATGATGACCTGCATATTTCCATCAGGATGTCAGCACATCTAAACAAACAGCAGCCCTATCTACTGATTCAAAAATAGCATATCCCCAGATCCTGCATCCTTATCACTCAAAGTTTGCAGGTTTTCAGGGTTCATGATCAGTTGTCAGAAAAACAGCAGTTATCTTAGCATCTGACCCCAATTATTTTCAAATGACATGATTTAGTAAGACATTACAAAACCATCTAAAAATTTGTGATTCTGAGGTGCTGCCAGCGTGCCCCCTAGGATCACTTGCAGAAAGAGTAACATGATGTAGAAGGACAGCTAGTTGCCATGACTAAAAATATGTTCACTTTGAGAAAACAATCTGCTCACCTGGGAACACGTCCACTGAGGGCATGGGTCTGGCCAAGGCACACTATTTCTCAGCAGGTAAACTCTGAGATCAGGGTGATGTGAGGCCACCTTTGAGGACAGCCTGGACATTCTCAGACTGACTTGCTTGGGCTGCATAATTCTTTAATTCCTCTCTAAGCAGTTTCATACCATCCCACCCACTTAAACCCAATGTTGGACATTAACTCAAAAACCCAAAGAGCACGTTGGTGCAGGAGTGAACAGATGTGTAAACTCTGGCACATTCTTATTGCTGAAGTCAGTCTGGAGATGAGCATATCCTACCCACAAGAGTGTTGCTCTGGGATGCAGGGCAGGAGTAGTGGTGAGTCAGGTAAGAGACTATTAATTGCACAATTAATAGAAAAGTGAAAATGTTTCCATATCTACGAGAAGCCTGCATCCAAAGGAGGCTGACAAGTCAGTGATGTGCTGGTCGTGGAAGTCTGCGCTGCAGCTTTGCAGCGGACTCACTCTGGCCTGCTGGCATGGTGGGGCTTGCTTCCTGCCTGCTGAAGGGTGAATATGCATACAGCTTTGATGGTCTCCACACGGCGGCTGGGGTCACAGCCATTCCAGGTTATCTGTGTCAGGGTCATTCCTTGTGCAAAGTTTGATGTAGATGAAGATAAAGTGGTTTCTTGGTCAATAATTGCAATTTCTTTCTTTTAAAATCAGTGGGTTTCTTGTATCTGTAACCACAATAGAACAAACACTGATAACTAATCTATTCCCAGGGCACAAAAAGGAAGAAATTCCAGTCAATATTCAATTAGTACTGACTGTGGATGCGTGTCACTTACAGTTCTATCACGATGGGCCCAGGTTTGATTTCATCCATCTCCATGAAAGCAAAACACTTGGTGCTGGTAAACCTCTTTTTAGGCTTGTAGTGCTTGAATTCAAAGAAAATAGCTGCACCTGAGTAATGAAGCCAAAGCACATTAGCCAGACAGCACACTGCCTATGCAGCGCATGCTCTTTGACCCTGGAAGCATATGAACAAGCATAATTTTACAAAGGGACCTTTGTCAAACAATTTCTCTGACGGAGTGCCTACAAAGTACAGCAACACTTTGTGTGCTGACTGACTCAAGAATGTACACACAGGTAGAATCACAAACTGCTAAGAGTATAAAATATGAAATAGCCCCACATTGGGGGTACTTGCTAAGTGTTAATATAGCCCCCGGGAACTCACTAGGTAGAAAAGCGAAGGAGATCACCAGAACATCCAAGCCCAAATCATACCTCCTCCCTCCGAGAAAAACTCAAAAATTCATTTTTGGGAGTGTTTTCACATTCAAGCAGCCTAAGTCAATCACTGGTTCAGTTTTCAAATGTTACCTGTACACTAACACATGTTCCAGCGACCAAGGCACTGCTCTGCTTTTCCTGGAATGACGCGTTTGTGTAAGACAGCACACCACTGAAGAGAAAGGTCTGAAGAGCAAGTTATTCCTCCCTTCCCCATAAGTCAGAGGGAATAAACAACTCAGGTAGTCCTATCTTCTCAAAGCCTCACAGAGAAGCTTCATGGCCTCCCCAACAGAAGAAAGAAGCCAGAAACAGAATATGAACTTGCCTCACCAATGCAGCCAGTACAGGGAACTAGCTGCTCACTAACCCTCCTTTAAGCAGGACTCAGTTTGGCATTAAAGACAATGGGCATGAATGAGATAATTTCACTGGTGACAAAACTCGAGTGACTAGAAGTTAAACAATGTTCAGAAATATATATACAGCCCTGCAAGTAGGGTCTGGAAGTTGAACGCTTCACAAGGGAATGAAGGAAGGAGGGAAGGAAGGAAAAACCTATCACTCAAGAGAGAGGTGGGGAAGCCCCCGGGGCAGACGGGCCACCTGCTCCGATACACACAGACCAGTGACAATCGTTCGCTTGTTGGTGACATTCCACCCCAAAAGGGCAGCTTCTTCGCTTCCACAGCCACAATTCAAGGCATTTTATTATTTAAAAAACCTCACAAAATTTTAAGATGACAGATCACATTTCTTAGTCTCTTCAACTCCGAGACCCAGCTCTTTGTCATCAAGATTGTGGCTGAGGTCTAAATAAATGTGAAAATAAAATCAGAGTTGAAAAGAAATATTAAAGTCCAAATATGATACCACCCTTTTAAGGAACTTGAAAACTTGAATTTCTTTCTTTTTTTTTTGTGGGACCCTCGCCAGCGGCCAGGGAATGAACCGGTGCTGAAGAGGCTGCGGGCAGCCTCACGGTCCAGTGCCCAACCGCTGCGCCACCGGGGGAGTCCTGGAACTTGAATTTCTTACTCATCTGCATCATCAGTCAATAATACATTTCCAACATCCTTGGTATGCATAGCTTTGTACTTCATGGTATTTTTAAGATCAAAATGTGAAACGAGATGGGCTAGGAAGATTAACTGAAATGCTTGTAAAATGAAGAAAATATGCTCGTTGCCATGAATATCCCTTAAAACTACAGTAATGGTACATAATAAATTCAAAGCCAGTGAAAATGAATAGTCAAATTTAAATACACTTCCACTTTTAGCGTCTTGTGAATAGAGTCATCAAGAGCACAGCGCAAAAGAAATCAGTCCTGGGGGTGCTGCCCTCCCGTCCACATCAGGAACCTTTCCCCATGCAAGGCAGTTAAATATTTTTATTCAGAAGACATTTATTCTGAAATTTCATCACCATTATTTCTTAAGTATGTCCCATCTACATGTTCTTCTAACAGCGATTCTGACCTTTGGTTAACTTTTCAACATGTTTCTGAAGCTCGATGTCCACGTTAAAATGCACATATGTATCTTCTTTTCTCGAAGCCACAGGAGTATCTTGCACAGGAGTGAGATCTATGCCATTCAGATCTAGAGAGGTGAAGAAAGGTTGTGCTTAGGAGCATTCAAACTCACAGACTCAAAACCTGCCAATGAGCCACAAAAGTGATGTTTCCTAACATACTTGTGAAAGCTGAGATTCTCAGGCCCACTGAAACTCCCACTTTGTGTGAGTAGGTAACTGGAAAGCTATGGTTTTGCAGGGATGTGGAAGAGCTGAGGAGAGGGAGGGATGGGAAGACCTCAGGGGTAGCAGGAGGAAGCCTGGACACCACTGGGTACAAAAGAAAGCTTGATGACAGCGAAGGTCCTTATATCCTTAGAGTTAAGAGGCAAGAAGTTTCACTTTCGGAAAAACAATCAGGTCTTTTTACCTTCCTTACAGAACAGTCCACAGTGCACACAACTGTACTGCTGTGTGTGATAAAAATCTGGAGTGTGAGTATATACCATCAAGGGCCCTGCCCCTATTTTCCAACCTTGATCAAGCAAATCGCACAGAAAGGCCTTGAAATCTAATACTGCCAGAAATCCTGAAGTATTCAAGTCCAAGGACCAAAACAATGGATTTTCATGAAATCTGCCAATGAAATCCTTCCATAAACAAACAGTTTTTAATATATATTACCTAAATTCTGCTACGCCACATCTTGGTTTACAGCAAGCAGATGATATACTAAAAGGGTGTATGGTTTTAATTTTCCGGACTCAGGAGTCTTCCAGTTTAGTCAAATTCAACATGGGCTCATTTGATGACTCAGTGTTTATGAATTATTCAACAGACCCATCTTGTGGAATTTAAAATGATTTCGTACATTTGATCATTTCAGTTCCTAAAGATTGCTACACAAAAGCAGATTTCAGTACAATGCGTACACAAAGGTACAAGTATCCACCACTACTATCACATCTTTGTTTCCCCTGTATGTTCCCCAGTGAGGCTCATGGTTTGTAAATGGCCTACCAAACAGAGTTGAGTGCAAATACTGTCCAGCAGACTGTGGATCTGACACGAGAAGGCACCAGATGTTAACACACCACAGCATTACTGCTGTGGGACATGGGTTGCTCTGTGTTAAATTTCTTCTCTGTGGCCCAATTCCTTTGTCTTTGCTTGATACTAATGAACCCATGGTCTGAATGGATTTCTACGACTGTGGTAAGTTCTAGTCACTTAATTTCAGTCTGTATGTGTTCTTTTGATTTGCCTCAAACTGCAGATTAACTGCAGATTGAATTAGGTTATTTCTAAATAGTAGGACAACTTCATCCTCAATCACCCAGTAGTTATTTTAGAAGGCAGTTCAGTGCTTTATAAAGAAAGTGCTGTATAAAATGCTCAGCAACAAAAAAGAATTCAACTCTCTTATCAAAAGCTGAAAAGGCTGTTTGCAAAGAATAAATGGTTTGTCATATCAGAGAGTAGGAGCAAACAAATACAAAGAATTGTCATGTTTACTAACCACAGCAACAGAGTTAATGACAAGAAACGAACCCTTCCCTGGGTGACCTGCAGGGTATGGGTGTTTATGGTTGGGCGCCAGCTCCCCATCTCCACGGATGCTCATGGCAGGCTGAGGCTCAACCCCTCTGAGGTACCTACTGGTGCTCACACCTCTCTTGCACAGAAGCGAGAAGATGGAGGTGGACGCAGGGGGAACAGAATACTGGGCTTGGCACAGAAAACCACACCCCTCGCAAGGCAGAGGCTGTTTTTCCAACCTGTTTCTGGAGGATTTCTCTGTGGTTAAAGACAGTGTAGGTGTCTAGTTAGCATCTCTGGTGAAATTTTAAGGAAAGACATATACAAAGAAAAACCCAAAAGCAAACATGAGTGTAGACTATGAGTAGTAGTATTTTTAGTAAGGCTCTCTGACATGCTGGATGGTGACATGATGACCTCTTTCCAGGGATTTTGCCAGGGTGTAGAATGAGATAAAATGAGTTGTCACAGATAGAAGAGCCCCTCCCTGCTCGAAACACGCCTCCAAGGAGAATCAACATGATGGAGTGTGCCAGAGGGAGAATACGCAATTACTTACCCTTCACACTAACTGTGATGTAGGGGTCGATGCACTGCCCAGCATCCTTCAGACCGATTTTCTCAATTCTGAGAGTGAGCAACGTCATTCCTGGTTCTGATGGCAACCTGGGTAACAAAGTACCTGGCAACAGACAGAAGAACAGCAGTGAAAATGAGCTCTGCCAATCATTCCAGAATAAATATTTTAACCACACAGACGAGATACAGGCTTGCTCCAAATGTAACTATGCATAACCAGCCAGGTATTATTCTGGTATCCCAATCCCCTAGAATCTTGATGTTGTTATTTTTCTTTTTTATTTGCATACAAGAACTGGGGTGTAGGCCAGAGATGTGGTGGTGGTGAGAGGATCCACCAGAGACAGAGTGGAGAGCAGAACAGGCAGATTTACTGAAATACATTGCTAAGGGGAGCAGCAGGTCAGATAGGAAGGTCTGCTTTGCCATGTGGGTTAGCTCCCTGGCTGGGGATTGAACTAAGGTTGTAACAATGATAGTGCTGACACTTAACCCCTAGGCCACCAGGAAGACCCACTTGGTATTATTCTTTTCAGACAAATAGAAGATTCATCTGCATTTCCATAATCTCTGTGAACACTAAAAGTAAAAATCACCGAACAAAGCCTGCTAAAAACTCAATTCATTCCAGGAAGTCCAATTACAAATCATCACGTAATTAATAAAATATCAGTATACTCATATACAGATTCCATATAGACTCATCTATATATATATATAATAAACTTCAAATCTCAATATGATTGTAGAACAAAGACAGAAAAAACTTTTTAGATATTATCCTAAAGCTTGAGAAATTTAATACCAGAATCTAGTAGCAAGTCTTTAGTGACTTAGCCGCTTTCCACATATAGTCTGGCTCTGGAGTGCCTGCTCCTAACCACTATGTCCCATTTCATTGTCCACAAAGTCTAGAAAGGACAACTCCCGTCTCAAGGTCCATCACATAATCTCATTCATAAAGTCCCTTTTGTCAAGAGTATTCACGGGTTCTGCGGAGGGATGAGGACCTCTCAGGCTATTCCTCCTGCCTCACACTTTTAAATACAGAAGCTCTATAAGTGATGGGTAACAGTTTAACCCAAGATTTCTCAAGCAGAGCTCTGGTGGGGGTTGCAGATGTGGGGACAGACGAAGCGGGGTGACTTTATGACAGGTCTTTGAGACTCTATGGCAACAGAACCATGTTCATCTGGGTGATGCATTTTCAGGTTTTCAGGGGCGGTGGGTGGTGGTGAGCGCCACACTGCAGGAAGGATGGCAAAAGTCTCTTCTGATTTACCTGCCCAACCTCCCCCGGGCACCATCACCTGGGGCAAGCACACCATGACCCGGAGCAAACATGTTCTGCTGGTGTCAAAGGAAATCTGCTGGAATTTTTAGATTCATTGTGGCTTCTGAAGAAGAAGTATTGAGCGAAGAGATGATTCTAAAACTAGATTATACAGACAGCTGTGACAAGGTAACAGCCATGCTGGGGAGTCCTTCCACTGTGTGAGTGCTAAAGTCCATCTTGATAATGAACACGACTAATTAACAAGCTGTACTTCAGCTGGCAATGCAAGTTGTCCTATTCAAATGAGCATCAGCTGTGGAAAACAATTTATATGTACAGTGGTGGATGCAGAAAAACCAAGGAGTCACTTAACTGCAAATCATAACCTCTGCTAAGACACTGATGATTGAGATTTTAACAGCCACTAAAACTTATTTTTTTTAAGTCAAATTCAGTTTCAAAAGCTCAGAAAATTATATCATAGCAGAATTTAAAGCCCAGGAAGACAAAGTCACACAGTTGGTGACAATATAACTATGCTGGCATGCACAATTAGGGAGTTTTGACAAAATATCATGTAAGAAATTGAAAAGGTCCCACTCTCAATAGTACAGTAAGGTGACACATTGACGACATTTCACATTATGCTGAAAAGGTTTTGTGATCAACTATAAAAACAGCGTCTCTTTTCAGTCTACAGCTTTTGTCACTAAGTGTTATGTTGTCATGTTGTAGCATTTAATAAGTTCTATAAATGATGATGAAGATGCAGACATTTTCTGCTGCAAAGGCCTCAAATAAGCAAAGGCCAAAAGGGAATTAGTGTCTGGCTTTCACCTGTCTCTGAAGAACTTGCTGGCATCTGAACTGAGGTGTCACCAACAGCTGGGCCTCCTCTTACACAAAAGGTAAAACTCATGGTTTTCTTCGCAGAAAGGTGAGAGTGTCAGATGGAGTGAAAACAAGTTCTGGATGATCTCACAAAATGGTGAAGTTTATTAAATAAAGACCAGTTCATTTCAGAATGTTTTTAAACAGTGTGGCAGTATCTAAAGGAGTAACAGTTGGGGGTCTCTCAGCTGAGCCTGTCACTCAGCAGCCATGTGGGAAGGTAGGGGTCTGCCTGCTGGGCCTGCAGTTGCCCAGCCACAAGCACCATCTCCTCCTGCAGCTGACAATGAGAAAAAGAGAGCAGCTTCCGTGGCCCCTCATCCCTGACCAACAATGCCTCTGCTTAGGGGAAGCAGCTTCAAACAAAGCAGATGCTTGAGGAGGGCTCCTGCCATACAAGGCCTTGTTGGGGACAAAGAACTGTGACAGATTATGGAGGAGCAGACTGGACCACCACTTGAATTACTTAATTCAACTCAAGCACAAGGAGTCTGAAGTCCATGAAAGAAAATGGGCCATGTTAAGACAATGAAATCCTGAAAGACCCTGTCCTCCTACATTGATGAGAAAGTGGTTTCTCTTTTTTAATTTTATCAGTTGTTTTTATTTTGAAATGTCAGCTACCACAACAAAAGGGAGGTTTTTCCTTCTGGTGGCAAAGGGAAAAATGGCACAATGGTCTTTGTTTCACAACAGAGTATCTCCTTGCCTCAACCAGAAGGTGGAAGAGACAGTGCCTCCTTTGGAAGTGACTAGGATGCATCCTTTAAAATCAAAGGATGGAGTTGACCTGGGAAGGCATTTTACTGCATGGTGTTTCCTATGACACACACAGTTGTCTGCTACAGGCACTGGCAGTGTGAGGGTGATTAGGTCCTTATATTGCCCCGGTGCTTCAGAAGTTAAACGTCATCACGGGCCTCCCCTGGTGGCGCAGGCGGTTGAGTGCCGCGCTGTGAAGCTGTCTGCAGCCTCTGCAGTGCCGGTTCGATCCTGGCCGGCTGGCGAGGGTCCCACATGGCAAGGCAGACCTCTCCTGTCTTGCCTGCTACGCCCCTCAGCAGTGTATTTTGTCAGTCTGCCTGTTCTTTTCCCCGCTCTGTCTCTGGCGAATCCTCTCACTCTCCCGCGCATCTGGCCTGTACCCGGGTTCTTGTGTAAATAAATAAATAATTTTTAAAAAAAAAATTAAAAAAAAAAACAAACATATCATCACCAAGGAGGATGAAATTTTTTAATCCTCACTTGAGAGTTCAAGCAAGTGTCTGAACTGGACTAAGCAATGTCAAATAACATATAGTCTGTTAGTTTTTGTTGTTTCAGATTTTTCATATTTGTAACTACATTCACATACCTAGTACTACTGACTCAGGTTCTGACATCCACATTTTTTAAGTCCACATTTCTTTGTACTGCTAAATATAACTTAAAAATGCATACTCATGCTTTGCATTTAAATAGCATTTTTTTAAAAGATTTATTTATTTATGCATACAAGAGCTGGGGTACAGGCCAGACATGCGGGGGTGAGAGGATCAACCAGAGACTGAGTGGGGAACACAATAGGCAGACTGACTGAAATACACTGCTGAGGAAAGCAGCGGGAGACAGGAACGGTCTGCCTTGCCATGTGGGTTTCTCCCTGGCCGGCCAGGGATCGAACTCGTGCTGCAGAGGCTGTGGATTGCTTCATAGTGTGGTGCTTAACCCCTTGGGCCACCAGGCAGGCCCTAAGTAGCATTTTTTTTATTTCAAAAAAAGTATGCCTGTTATTTGGAGACAATTTAGATAATGATATTGCTCAATATAAAATATACATCAATATAAAATATACATCAAATGTGTATTTAAATTCTGGCAGCAAAAAAATCTTTGCAAATTAAAGAGACCAATTTTTTGTTTGAATTACTAAATTCAACTCAGTTGCTAAATTCAAACTAGAAACTATGATAAAATAGTCAAAAACACATACAATTTATTTTAGCTACTCATTGGTTAGCAGTTGAGAGACAATTGTTTCTTTATACTTTCAAGAGAAAGAATTTCAAAATATAGGAAATTTTTTCATTTTTTAAATTTACTTTAAAAGATTGAAAATAGTCATAGGGGCTGTTTTCATTTAAATAACAATATATCTAGATGTGTGAAATTAAAAGTTGTGTAATGTCTATATGAGTATAATGACTTAAATTTTCTCTAGTAGGCATCTACTATAAATTTAAGCAGGCACTAGAAGAATTCAGTAAGCTTCATGTACCTCTGAAAAAAGTACTACAATGCTATGTCAGAACACAAAATTGATTCAGTGCAGGTTTGATTTTAAATAGCACATTGACTGAATTTATGGTAGACTTTCTATCAACTCAGCAACCTGAACCCCAAGAAGACCTTCACCTCTCTGTTTCATGGTTTACCGCACCTGCTTTAAAGGAGCTTGTCTGCTACAGAAGTACAGCAAGTCAGCAAATAACCCAATCAGATAGAAATTTATAGAATTGGAAGCTACATCCATTATGTAATTTGAAAGGAAATAAAAATTAGCCAGTCAGTAAAATAGGAAGATATCCATTTCAGCCAGCTTGAAATTTCCTAATACACCGTAAAAGAAAGAAAAATATTTCACTGGGAGGGGACAGTGGAATTTTGTACCTGGCCTCCTCCAGACTCTGCCAGTGCGCCTTTACATTGGCTGATTTTATTCTTATATTTTCTACTGAGATCAGTCATAGCTATGAGTGAAGGTCCACACTCAGTGTCCCAGCAAATCACTGGCCCTGAGGACCTGACACAGACAGTGAGGCACTTTAAGCCTATACTTGTCAACAGTGACTGCCCATAATATGATCACAAAAATCTGCTTACAATTGGCTTACTCCAGAGAGGTTTCACTTTCCACCTGCAAATACAAAATAAGTTCCAAACACCCAAACTTTTAGGTCATGGTAAGTGATATATTTAACAAGTGATACCCACCCGGAACTCTAGCAGGAAAGGAATCAGGAGACCCTGCTCCAGCACCACCCTCTTCTTCATCTTCTTCAAATTCCAAATTCTCCTCTTCACCAGGTGCGAAAATTTTTCTACATGAAAAAGAGCAAAAAACAAAACAGTGAGCTAAAAACTAAATGCACTACTGAAGTCTCATAGCTATTCATTTCCCAGGTAAGATGTTGCTATAAAAAAATGCTGATTTATAAGGGTTGCCACATTTATAAGGTTGCCACATAAAAGGTCCAGAAATAGCTGATAAGCAGGTATAAAATAAGATGATAATATAAGAGGACAAATATTGCTGCATGTTTGTTTTACCTTAAGGGGACAGGCTGAACATCAAATGGAAATTCTTTATTATAGGTAAGAATATTCTTCAAGACTAGAATGAAAAGATAAAGACACATGAATTTTTAATGACTCAAAATCCAAAATTATACTGTAAATGACTCCATTTTACTATGCATATTGTTTTTTAATCAGTTTTACTAAGCATATTAACATACATTAAAAAAATCCTCCCAACTATCACCAACTGGAGCCATAACGCATTTGGCTAATGTAGGTCTCAGCAAAAAGAGACGAGACTCACTGGGTACTCCAGGGGCCAGCAATTTCAGACACTGGCAGATCTCCAAGCACAGTCAGGTTGAGGTCTCAGGGCCCTCGTGGAAAACAGACCCTAAACTAGTCCGTCCATGTACAAGGTCCTAATGACACCAGGGCACCAGTGAAGGGGAATATTTCCTTCCTGAAAACTTTAAAGTTCGTAGTGGCAAGGTTGTAATGCTCATATGCTTTGGGCTGGGAGCTAGCTGGCCCATTTATATGCACAGATATACAAAGTTGTCTTCAAACTAAAGGGTGCTACCTCCTGCCTCTGGGAGGTGGCCGATCAACATTTCAGTAATTACATTCTAGCATGTAACTTAGAGATGTTCTACAGTTTTGGCTACATCTGGAGAAGTATGATAAGTAGTAATTTAGTATTTTCATCACTGGCCTGCCGGGTTCCCAGTAAACTACTAGCAATTACATGAAGGTGAAGTAATGGCATATGCGGGTAATCCAAAAGGAATCTATGATTTGTATTTGCCTTATTCAGCCTCTTTTACTCTGGGTTTACATCTAAAATTGGTGTGGCTTATTGTCATCCCAAAGGAGGAACTCTCAAGTGCACAGGTTGCAATTATATAACTTACTCCAATGGGAGCTGGATTTGTTTATCAGACCTTCTATATGAACACCTACCAAGTTGGAGATGTGTGTCTAGATTCTCCTTAGTTCTTATTCTCTCTCCCTTCAGTTCTCACTTCTATTCCTTCTTTTTTCTACACCAGTGTGTACAGGTCTACACACAGTTCCAGTCCCTGTTACTTTTTTTTTTTTTAAAGCTTTATTTATTTATGCATATAAGAACTGGGATACAGGCCAGAGATGCGGGGAGTGGAGGATTCACCAGACAGAGTAGTGAACAGAACAGGCAGACTGGCTGAAATACACTGCTGAGGGTAGCAGCGGGTGAGACAGGAGAGGTCTGCTGTGCCATGTGGGTTGCTTCCTGGCCGGCTGGGGATCGAACTCATGCTGCAGAGGCTGCAGATTGCTTCATAGTGCAGTGCTTAAGCCCTTGCGCCACCAGGGAGGTCCTTGTGTTAGATACTTAAGGACAATGACCTGGAGAGAGGTATCTTGACCTCAAATATGTATCTTAGACACAACTCAGAAAAAAGACCAAAAAAAGACTAGACCAGGTGATGCAAGACTCATCCGTTTTGTGAAGGACAGAAACAGGATGGCTGTGTAAGTGGAATGGGGGAGAACTGCAGCTCAAGTGGGTAGGAAAGGCATTTCAAAACAACTGGTAGCAGTGCAGAAGCTCTTTAATTTGATGTAGTCCCAGCTGTTTATCTTTCTCTTCACTATCACTGCTTTGGGTGATGTGTCTGTAAAGATGTCTTTGATGTGCAAATCCCGTAGTGTTTCGCCTATATTTCCTTCTATGTATTTTATGGTTTCAGGTCTTATGTCTAGTTCTTTAATCCATTTTGAGTTGATTTTTGTGTATGGTGTGAGGTAGTGGTCAAGCTTCATTCTTTTGCATGTAGCGACCCAGTTTTCCCAGCACCATTTATTGAACAAACTTTCTTTGCTCCAATGCATAGTCTTTGCTCCTTTGTCAAAGATTAGTTGACCATAAATCTGTGGGTTTATTTCTGGATTTTCTATTCGATTCCATTGGTCTGTATGTCTGTTCTTGTTCCAATACCATGCAGTTTTGATGATTATGGCTTTGTAGTATAGTTTGAAGTCTGGGAGTGTGATGCCTCCATTTCCTTCTTTTTTTTTCAGTAGAGCTTTGGCTATTCGGGGTTTTTGGTGATTCCATATGAATTTCATCAATAATTGTTCTATTTCTTTGAAGAATGCCATTGAGATTTTGATTGGAATAGCATTGAATCTGTATATTGCTTTTGGTAGGATGGCCATTTTAATAATGTTTATTCTTCCAATCCATGAGCAGGGGATGTCTTTCCATTTCTTTGTGTCTTCTTCTATTTCTTTTAACAGTGTTTTATAGTTTTCTTTGTATAGGTCCTTTACCTCTTTTGTTAGATTTATTCCCAAATATTTGATTTTTTTTGTTTCGATAATAAAAGGGGTGGTTTTTTTGATTTCTTCTTCTTCAGATTTATTGTTTGTGTATAGGAAGGCTACTGACTTTTGCGTGTTGATTTTGTATCCTGCCACTTTACTGAATTGATTGATGAGTTGAATTAGTTTTTCTGTGGAGATTTTGGGGTTCTCTATGTATATTATCATATCATCTGCAAATAGTGATAGTTTGACTTCTTCTTTTCCTATTTGGATTCCTTGGAATTAAAGAGCTTCTGCACAGCAAAAGAGACAATAACAAAAACAAAGAGAAACCCCACCAACTGGGAGAACATTTTTGCACCCAACACTAATGATAAAGGACTGATCACAAAAATCTGCAAAGAGCTGATGAGACTCAGCAACAACAAAGAAAATAATCCAGTCAAAAAATGGGCAGAAGAGCTAAAAAGAAACTTCTCTGAAGAGGAAATGCAAATGGCCAACAGACATATGAAAAAATGTTCAACATCACTTGTAATCAGGGAAATGCAAATCAAAACTACCATGAGATACCATCTCACACCAGTGAGAATGGCACATATTAAAAAAACTAGCAACAACAAATGTTGGCGAGGATGTGGAGAAAAAGGAACTCTCCTGCACTGTTGGTGGGAGTGCAAACTGGTCCAACCACTATGGAGAGCTGTGTGGAGATTTCTGGACCTACTAAACATAGAGCTTCCATATGATCCAGCAATTCCACTCCTAGGTATTTACCCAAAGGACACAGAAACATCAATTCCAAAGAGCACCTGCACTCCTATGTTTATAGCAGCACTGTTTACAATAGCTAAGCTTTGGAAACAACCCAAATGCCCAAAAATAGATGACTGGATCAAGAAGATGTGGTACATATATACCATGGAATATTACTCAGCATTCAAAAAAGATAAACACATGCAATTTGCAGCAACATGGATGGCACTGGAAGGGATCATGCTCAGCGAAATAAGCCAAAAAGAAAAAGAAAAATACCGGATGGTCTCACTCATAGCAGGAATCTAGAAAACTTAAATAAGGGACCAGGAAAATGAATATAAGAAAGTGAAAATCAAAATCAACAAAAAACTATGAACCAGAGACACTTTTTGGGGGGCGGGAGGGGAAGGATTGGGGTCAGAATGGGGCGTTTGCAATTGTATGGGGGAATATAAAAATAAAATTTAATATTAAAAAAATAAAAAAAAAAATAACAACTGGTAGCAGACTGGATCAGAGCAGTGACAGGCACCAGGGGAGCTGTCCATAGAAGGTCTGGGGCAAGGGCTCTCTAGGATGAGAGTATGCTGTTGCAAAAGCAATAATAGAGACTCTGAGGCAGGAACCAGTTTGGCTGGTTTAAGGAACAAAGTGGACTGTGGAGCTGAAGTGTGATAAGCAAAGAAGCCATCAAAGATGAAAGCCAGAGGATTTGATGTGAGAATTGAGGCAGACAATTAATTGCACAATAGTTTGAACATTCACGTAACTGCTCTGAATCTCAGTCTCCCCAGCTCTAAAGTGGAAATGACTGCACTTCCTTCACAGATTGCTGAGAGAACCAAACAGTGTAAATGACACTGCACAAGGACTTAAATTACCATACAAGGGTAAGCCTAATTATTATATGGCAGCTCCTCCTCTACATGATTCTCCCTGGATCCTGCTGACTGGAATTCCAGTACTGCAGAGTCTCACCAAAAAGCACAACTTTCAAATGATAAGAACATCCTTTCTAAACTTGCTGCACATTTGCCCACTGTAAGTAAGCTATTTATTCAACTCAATGAACACCCATTAATTACAAAGTATCAATCTACATACTAAGGATGGGGTAATGGATGATAACAGAACAGCTCATGTATCTTTCCTATTAGAAAAACCACAGCCGTCCTTCAATATCCCTTAAAATATGTACAGAACAACATTTGGAGTCAACAGAAGAAGGTTGAATAAGGGTCACGACTGGAGGGAGCAAGATATGCGCTGACAACCCAGGTCACTGCTCTGCCTCCCTCTCCCTGACAGCCTCAAGCAGGAGAAGGAGATTCTTTCCCTCTGGAGTTGCAGGGAGGTTTCCATTTTCACCAGCTGTGGAATAACAGAGATTCTGATGACCTTTGAAAACTGGGTACCACTTAAACTTTATGTGTACCACTTTTCCTTCCATTGCTTCCAGTGCTCATACTTTAGAGGAATTTGGAGAACATGAGAAGCAAGTTTATCATTTCAAAGAAGGCACTGCCTAAGCACAGAGTCCATCATGGGCTGGGGGACCGGTTGGTTTATCCAGAACTTACAGGCTGAGGCTGTCGCCCCAGATGCGGTACCACTGGGAAAATGTCAACAGAGCCACCCACTTCCCAGAAGCTGACTCTCTCACAGTGACACACACATCAGAATGCATTCTGCTTTGGTAGCTGAGCTGTTTCATTTTTGTGGTAGGCAAATGGGGAAGGGTGTCTCATTTGAAAGGTAATTTTTTTTTTAATTATGGGAGAAGATTCCCTGAAGGCAATCAAATGCTTTCAACTTTTTTTGTCAAGTTTATACTAAATGCAAAACACTGTATTAGGCTCTGTGGAGAAAATACAGAGGTTGTTCACAATCTTTCTGAAGAAAGAAATAAATATAAATGAGAATAATACAGAGCAGGTCATGCTATTGGACATAAACAGAGCTCCTCTAAAGAATGGGAGGCTTTATTGCAGAGTTAAATTATGACTAGGGAGAGCAGAGAAAGCATTCAGAGAAAGGGGGATTTCTCTGGGACCTTGAAGGATAGATTAATGGGAGGAATTTCATAGAATGATCGTAAGGAAGGTAAGTGTGAGCATGAAGTAGTGTACTATTAAGGAGTAACAGAAGAAAATTAACTGACTAGTAGTTTCAAGACCTTAGTTTTAGTATGAATTTCAGACAGGATTATCAAGAGTTTTAAAAAATCTTAAAAGAAAGACACATTAGCAAAATAAACTAATTACTGAAACAGTCATTCATTGATTTTCCTTTCTTATAGTCTTAGAAGAGGCAGAGGCCAGACTGACTGAAAACATTTAATCTGAAATATGGCACATAAAAATTTGTAGAAAGTGGCTAATTCTGATAAAATAATTAATTCATGCCTAGCTTTGATAAATTCAAAATTATAGAGCATATCCTACTGAGATACATCTCTCTCTCTTATACACACACACACACACGCACACACACAGTATTCATGTTTCTTTAAGAGGTAACCACAAATTAAAATCACCTAAAAAAGATATTAAGTACCAAGAAGAGAGTCAAATGAGAAGTATATAAATGAAAAATATAACAAAGCGTATCATAATGCTTCCTTTTTCATTCCCACCCCAATTTTAAAACAAAACCAACCAACCAACCATAAAAAAAGAAGACTAAAGCAGATTATAGTCCAATCTTCCATTAATATGGATCAATAATCTCTCAGGAACGTGAACTGGAGAACTATGATATTAAGGATTCATGTCAATATTGTTCCACAATAGCTATTAATAACAGTGGAAGGGACATAGGCTGTGGGGTCACTCAGAACTCTGGTCAAGACCCAGTATTTATATGCTACAAGATAATGGGCAAGTGCCTATTAGAAAAACAGAGTTGAGAGGACAGAGCTCAGTGCTTCACACAGAGCTGCTACTTGAAAAAGGTAAACATCTACCAGTAAAAGATTCCATGAGGTAACAGGATAAATTATTGAGCATGCTTATAGGAATAAGTACCTGATAAGTGCTTTATAATATCTGCTGTCATCATTTGTACCTGTAAGATTCTTTAATTTTATTTGTAAACAAAACAAAAAACTTGAAAAAAAAATAGTGATAAAATAAGGAGTCCAAATCCTAACTATTCTTATCATTTTAAAAAATTGGACATTAGAATTTTCCTTATAACCGTTATCTAACAGACATCCTAATTGCAGTTGTTCTATTTTTTTTAAAGCGATCAATGTGCTTTTCTTAAAGTAATCTTATATACAGCCAGTCACAAAAGACCATACATTATGTTTCCATATATATAAATCGTCCAGAATAGTCCAATTTATTAAGACAGAATGTCGATCAGTGATTACCTAAGGTGGAGAGTTGGGAAGAAATGATTGAATGCTAATCAGTACAGGGTTTCTTTTTTGGGGTGATGACAATGTCCTAAAACTGATTGTGGTGACATTTGATACTTGTGCCTTTGTCTGTATTACAAACATTTCCTCTAAAACATTCATTTGAACCGACAAAAAAAGCTTTCTTTGGCAACATGCTAACCACCAAAACATTTGAATGGTTTACTAAAATAAATAAATAAATAAAAAAGTCAGGAAGAGAAAGGAAAATGGGAACAACAAGGAAATAATTTTTTTTTAAAGATTTATTTTATTTATACAAGAGCTGAGGTACAGGCCAGAGGCCCAGGGGTTAGGGGTTGGTGGTGAGAGGATTCACCAGAGACAGAGGGGGGAACAGAACAGGCAGATCGACTGAAATACACTGCTGAGGGGAGCAGTGGGCGAGACAGGAGAGGTCTGCTGTGCCATGTGGGTATCTCCCTGGCTGGCCAGGAATCGAACCCATGCTGCAGAGGCTGCGGACAGCTTCACAGCGCTGCGCTCAACCTGCTGCGCCACCGGGGAGGCCCAAGGAAGTAATTTGTAGAGCAGCTGAATTGGCTGGACAGTAGTTTTTGATGACATGTAATATAAATGGGCATCAATATATATAACTTTATACTGTCCAGTGGAGTCTACTGTAAATGTTTACCAAAGTAAATCTTATTGAGATTAATAAAAAAAAAGGCTAAAACATACAGATGAGGTATAACGAAGAGTCAAATAATTTATCATATTCTATAATGAAGATGAAACAAACAATAATTACTACCAGAATTATAAAAACATAAAAACCCATATGACTAGATACTAGAAATAAATCAACACTAGCATGTATGCTAAATAATCTTTGTATCTATAAAAGATTCAATATTTTTCTAAAGGAATAGCACTAAAAGATATAAAACTTACTTGGTTCTAGCTTCTTCAGGTCCTCCAGCTTAAATTCGTCTTGGGACTGTGTGGACTGAATTCAAAATATGCACATCATATAATATTATTAGAAGGATTTCATTGCATGATATGCTTTGAAGTGACAAAAACTAAATAGTCAAAAAGCAGTCAAAGTAAATGAATCCATTTCTTGCTTTCAAGGTAGAAAATGAAAAGTCCCAAACTGATTTTTGTTTGCTTTTGTGTTTTTGGAACAGTCAGGCTAACAATATCAGGAAAAAAAATTACATTTATATTTTTCACTTCCATAGCTTAAAAATAGGAACTAAATATTTTATTAGAATTTAATCTATTAATTCCCATTGTTATAAAAACATTCTAAGACAATGCTGCTTTAGGCATGAATGCCTTATGTTTTATTAGAGTAGTTCATAATAATTTCTTTTTCTTATATTAGAAAGAGGGGAAAACCCCATTTACCTGTAAAGCTGAACTTCGTAATTCCAAGCATGTTGCAATTTTGCCTATGGTTTTCTGTAGGAAAAAGAAAAAGCTAAAGCACCAAATACATTATAACAGATAGTTGTAAAAAATCAAGTTAATTTTTGTTCATAGGAGCTCTATAATTTTTTAAGTAAGTTAAATTTTACCTCTTATTTTTGATCTTGTAGACTTTAGAGAAGAAAAATGGGAGGCAGAGGGCTGGGATAAGGGAGAGAAGGTGAGTATATATTCTCTCCTGACCTAGTATGGCACAATCAATTTTAAATCAAGTTTGCTTTGATGATAGCTTTCGCTATGATTAAAGGCCAAGCAGCCTTTAATATCTCTCATTATCTTCCTTTCCTAGCTTTGCCTTGTCTTCTTCTCCATAAAGTCTGAAACTCACTAAAAGATCAAAAATAAAAACCCCAAAGGTTAGTACAATAGTATAATTTAACTTTGACATTAAGTCCAATCTTGTCTTGTTCAATTTAAAAAGTGACAAACTAAGCAAAATCAATACTTGTGATGAACAGTGGTAAATACTACAGTTAGGTATGTTTTATATATATATATATGCAATCTGAGCTAAAAAATGTCAGGGGCCTAGTCCTGCCTTTAATTAAGCTTATGTTCTATTAGCGATAAGACATGTAGAGAACCACAATAACATAAAGCAGAGAAACTTGATTCTATCAGCTTCAACTAAGTAAGCTGCTCTATGTCCTGAAGAAACAGGACAAGAATATATATTAGGAATTAAGCTCCAATGACTGGAAGCCATTCTAAAACTGAAGAGTTTGGATAACTGTATGGTTCAGTTGCCTAAAGTCCCAAACTGAAGTAGGAGAGCTGGGGTTGAAATGTGAAGTGGGGGTGGGAATCATTCTGAAGGGGACCTTCAATAACCAGCTGAAGAGTCTTACTTTAGCAACAAATTACATAGAAGGTTCTTGAATGGAAGAATGACTATCAGATTTGCTTTTAAGAAGTTTGTAACGATAAATGACAAAAAAAAATATTTTGGAGAAAGGAGAAAAGACCAATGGAGAGACTAATTGGGTTATTTCAACTGGGCAGGCCAACTATTATCGGAACAAGAACACACATGAATAACTAGGGTTGGAAATGAAAAGGAGACCCATAGAAGAAATATTTACAAGAGCAGGCAGCTGAATTAGACCCACCAAAGCCTTTTGAGTCCTTTCCCAAAAGACATTTCCTAAGTTTTCATTAGGAATAAATCCAGACTAAAAAGCAAGATATTTCTGCTAATTGCAAGGCCTTTACAATGAAAAATTCTGGGGAAAAATGCTTTTCTAATTCTATTGATGACTTGCAAACATTTAGTATAGTAAATTAGATTTTGTGGTTTTCCCTTCTGTTAATTTTCTTTGGAAGATAAATGAGGAACAAAACAAATATTGGCCTAGCGCCTGGCATGTAGGCTAGTGGGCTCTACCTAACCAAGTAAAGATAATAAACAGCTGGTATAAGGACTCACAAAATAACCTCCTACTGAGCAAGGTCTGACTCTTGACCAGAGAACAAGTAACAATGTCTAAGTTATCTTCACAATCTTTAAGAATTTCTTTACATCCCAAGACAAGAGCTTAGAAAATGTTCCATTTTATTATGAAGATTTAATTTATTTATTTAGGTTTTAAATTTATTTATTTATTTATTTATTTAATTTTAGCCCCCACATTATGTTCACTGAGGTAAAGTAGGTTTATATCTTCATATCTTCTCCAGGGGTTATAGGTTCAAACCTCTACAAATGTGTACTTTGATACCCTGCCCCCCACCAGTGTCCCAACAAACCTCCACCATGTTCCACTGGGCTCCTTCCCTCCCCTACATCCAGCCCACCCCCTCCCCCTCTGCTTGCCTCAGTTACTACATATAAAGATTATATTTGAACATGGTAACTGCAAAAAGGATTCAAAACATAGATTATTCACCCTCTCAAATAGCAGTTTTATAGGAATCAGAAATACTGGTATCCCCATCATTACTGTTCAAATCACTCAACTCTGACAAAATGAATTATTTTAAACATAAATATATTAACACAATAGTAGTAATGGCTAACAGATATTGAGCACTTACTGAATGAGACTCTCCTGAGTGATTTACACACATTAATTCATTTAATCCTCACTATTTTACCCTGTGAGTTAGATACAACCATTTTATAGATATGAAATGTGAAGAAAGATTAAGTTACCTTTGTATAGGATTAACACTAAAACAAAGCCATACACTTATTTTAATACCATTTGGTTATACTTTTTATGTTCTCTTAACTGAGATATATCAGTAAGTCCTTAAAAATATTAGCAACTCTCTTTCCTTCTTTACTATAAAATCCATTTGATTTGATGCTTTTAACATTTAAGGTAAAATGTGGTCTAACAACTATAAATCCACTAACAACAGGATTTAAAATTAAACATTTCTTTAAGAAGCAACAGCTTTTTACAGACTTTACTGAACTATGGCAAGATACCAATAGGCATTATTCATAAGTATTTTAAGGGACCACACCCAACAACAGTATGAAAAAAAAGGAGTGAAACTATCATTTTCAGCTGCAGCAATGACTTTGAAAACATGTGGCATTTATTGGATGTGAAATCAAGTGTTTGCTACTGTAATTGTTTCACCTTCTTAGAAACAAATTCTTCAGAAAAATGCAGTTGCTCAAGGTCACTTGTGTCAGAGTATAAGTACTGATTATGAAGTAATGTACATTAAATCTAAGAACTGAAAACAAGTGCAATTTCATTTTAAGAAAGGTTTAAACTATTAGCATTTCACTGACATTAATCGTTTGTGCTCAGTATGGTGCAGAAATGGAAAATGCTCTCATTTCCAGAATATTAGCTATTCTATGTTATCATTGCTAGAGAAGTTGGCAATGCAAAAAGTGCAGTTAAGGGAAATGATGGAATGAAACTGGACAATTAAAAAGCTATATTAACTTTGCTAAGTCATATTCAAATAAGGAAAAATAAGTTTAAAAAATGTACATCAAGTAGTATAGTCACATCCAGACTTAATTTTTAGATTTAAACAGGCAGTTTAACTCAAGCTGGGGTAGCTGACCGAGGGTAAGCGAGGGAGGAAGAGGGGGAGGGGTAGATGAAGGGGGAACATATAAAATATAAAACAAGCATCTAAGTGCTGGAATTCTCATTACCACCAAACTTGATTCAAAACAGGGAAAAACTTTCTAAGCATCATGAGACAGGATGTTCTATTCTGTCCAGAAACTTACATGAGAAAATCTACTACACCAAAATAGGGAATTTGATGAAATGAAAACTTTTGGCAGTTATTCTTTGGCTCTGAAACCCAGTTGTTACAATGACAAAACTATTGAGAACTGAAATGAAAGTTAAGTCAACTAATCATGAGGGAGGGTCAAATAAGAATTATAAACTTGCTTATTTTCCACCAGGAATCTTTGAGAATCTTATGAATAGAAAATCCACATAGAGATTTTATGCTATTTCTCAAATTTAATAAAGTTTAGAGGGATCAGTAGTTTGGCTTTAAGGTTCTTCAGACTTAAATAATTACCTCAAAATTAGGATAATAATCATGTCTGAATAAATATCAATAACCTAAGATTCAACAAAGCATTTACTCATTAAATATTTTTTATTCTTTTTCTTGTTTTTGTTTTTACTCAATATTTTTGAAAGCTTATTGTGAGCTAGGCAAAACTTCATGAAGAAAATGCTTTTGAAATATGGTTGTTTAAAAAACACTTTTCAATTTCCACAAACTACCGAATCGTTGACATAATTTTAAAATTTGCCGCTGCCACAAAAATATTGAAGATAGTAAGAGCATAAAGAATACAATAAAAAATAGAAGACATAAAGAACCATTTTGCTAAGACCAATGTCATGAATATTCTCTATTTTCCTCTTGAGAAAACACTGCCAGGTTTCTTCTCCTTTGGTTTATGTGCCAAACATTCATTTAGTTTTGCAGTCCTATTGTTGGTATCAAAATCTCCCATAACAAGTTTCTTCAAAACATTAGCTTTCTTTACAGACTTCTAAAAGCAAAGAAATTTAAGAAATATTCCATATTCAAACTCTACAAAAATTCAACACATGCATTGGTATATTAAAAGCCCCAAGAAATCACAAATTCTCTCTGTTCAAATAACATCTTAGTTCATCAGAGCCACTGTTCCCAGGACACATTTGGAAAATCTTTGTTTTCTAATCATTTACAAACTTGGAGTCTCTTTTTTCTTATGTGACATTCAAATATGAGGTTTTTGGTTGAATGTTTCAGCTGAATTTTACAGAAAAATTTATAAATGCACACAACTTGCCTTATATTGACAATGGAGTACAAACTAATTTGGGGTCCTTCTCCAAGCCAAGGAATAGGCAGGCAGGCACAAGCTCTCTGTAGCCACAACTGGCAGCCACAACTGCCTCCTAGGCAGGTGTTATAAATAATAAAGACCTCAGAAATCTGGCCTTTGGGGAAGGGAGAAAAGGAGGATACTCCAAAGGTAGAAGTCATTAGAAGATTTAAAATCTACAGTTATCTAATACCTCATTTCATAATAAGGAAATCAAGGCCCAAGGACAGAGAGGCTGACTCAAGGCCAAGACCACTGACTCCAGATTGCAGGCTCCTTCTTGGAGATCAGGTTGGCTCTTTGGCCTTTAGGAACGTAAAAATCTGTGAGTCTGTGTAATAAGCTAAAAGGAGAGTAGCTGGTTACTAAGGAATAAATAGCATTATCAAACATCAGCTTCAGCCTTAGAAAGCATAAGACAAGAAAAATTAATTATTTCTCATTCGTCTAATCATCATCAAATGACAAAGCTCATTTCTTGAGGGCATTTTTTGAAAATAATAATTTTAATATATACATTTTATACTTGAGGTCCTATTGCTCCCACGTGCATTACCTAAGCAACAGGTATTGGAGACAAAACATGTTAAGTAACCAAGGAGAACAGGCGATTAATATGGGAGGTCATTAAATTTTTAATTCGTAAGCTTTCATTTTGTTTTCATATTCAGAACAGTTTTGTTAGCTATTAGTTATATGCTTAAATATCTGAGATTCTGCTTCAAAATTTAGGTGTTTAACTTTCAATTCTGTGATGTTAGTTCATCACTTCCTAACTGATTCCCAGATAAATTTTGGAAATCTTACAGAGTTGATGAAACATATTCTTGTTATTTTTCCCTAAGCAAATCAGTCATTTCCTTGGTGGAAATTGTTGTTCAAAGCTCAAGTCCTAAATTTCCTAAATCTACTGTGGTTATTAGCAATTATTAAGGAAAAAAGAAAAATATACTTATAAATTGCAATGTGCTGGTTTTTTTTTAACACAAAAAAGTACATTTAATAATACAGATTCCATGTTTTTAAAAATACAAGTACTAATTTGTATAAGAAAAATGATTAATCCTAGCTTTTGGGTTTTTTTTTCTTTCCAAATACCTACAAATAAGAGTAAAATGAATACATGCCACAGAACGGACAGAGAGCAAAAAATCATTCCCACCCCTACAAAAATTAATGAAAGCAAACTAAGTCACCCTAGTTTTCACAATGTCTTTTCTTACAGGATGAGGGAAAGACTGATCCATTAGTTTTTTCCTTACCTAGGAGATAACAACTTGACTTTGGGCCAGGGAAAAAACAAACTATTTCTTCTCTTAAACTTCTTAAAGTATCCCATTTTCATTATCTCTGATGATAAAAGGCACCAAGTCAACACATTAAAATTTTAATTCAAGGAGAAAGCACCATTGAAACATTTGGCTTACAGGCTTGTTTTTTTTTTTTAAAGATTTATTTTATTTATTTATGCATACAAAAGCTGGGGTGTAGATGCAGTGTTTGTGTGTGTGGATTCACCAGAAACAGAGTGGGGAGCAGAACAGGTAGATCTACTGAGGGAAGCAGTGTGTGAGAAAGAAGAGGTCTGTTGTGCCATGTGGGTTAGCTCCCTGGGATCAAACTCAAGCTGCAGTGGTTGCTCATAGCTTCATAATGCTGAGACTTAACTTAACCCTTGTGCCACCAGGAGGACCCCTGTTTACAGATTCTTAAGCCAAATTCTTAACTTAAACTAATTTTTCCCCAGTGGTGGCTTTTCTTTTCTTTTCTTTTTTTTTTTTTTTGGAGTTAAGAAAGTTGAGTTAGGTACTGATTACAATCACCCCCACCCCCCGCCCCACCAACCAGAGTGTGGATGGTCCCTACTAAAGTCTGAAAAGAAATTCATTAAGTGAGAAATTTATTAACTGGTGAATCATGTGGCATCTCTAAGTGATCACTTAATGTGCAGAAAAGTATAATCAGTATCACTCTTTCTACTTAAATATAACAGCTGTTATTTTTGCTTACTGGACTTGAAAGACAACTCTTTTCATTCGGAATTCAACATAGTCAGATTGTTTTATGGGTACCTTTTGTTCTTCTGTGAATTCAGAATTATTGTGTTGAGCTTGGGCCTCTTTTTGTAGATGTCTTGCTAATCTGTAGGAAGAAAACAACATATTTTTTAAAATTGAAGGAAAGTAAATTCTCAAGAACAATGTGAAACAATTTAAATCTTTTAAAAAACAGAATAAGTACAATAATACTTGATTCTATTTTCAATGTATAAATCTTTATTAGCTTTAGAATAAATCTCTTTATTCAAGATAATGAACGGAATATATAATATTTTTCATATTTCACTGGGACACGTTAGCTCTAGGCAATAAAAGTAGGCTTTAAAACTGGAATCTCAGATGTCATCTAATCCAACTTTCCTAACTATTTTCTCCTCCTCTTAAATGTTATTTTCTGCAATAAGCCAATAAGCAGTTCTCTAGCTTCAGCTTAAACACTGTCAGTGAGCGCTTTATCAATCATTAATTTGCTGAGATTAGTTCAATTCAAATAACAAAGTTACTAATACTTCATCAAGTTATATTTTTGAAAACACCCTTCGTGGAAAATAAAGAAAATGCACCACCAATCAGACATGGAAATTCTTGCTTGCTCAATTATCACCATGCTTTAAAAATAGCAGCTAGACCTTGAGTAAGTTTTCAAGGATGGCAATGATACTGGCAGTTCAAAAGTAAAGATCCAAAACTATTTCTGAGATAGCGAAAATCAAAGAACTGATTCTTAGAACTAAACAATAAAAAGACAAATAACTCATTTTAAAACTGGGCAAAGAATTTGAATTGACATTTCTCCAAAGAAGATATACAAGTGGTCAATAAGCACATGTATCAACATCATTAGTCATCAGGGAAAGGCAAATCAAAACTACAATGAGATGCTACTTCACACTAGGCAGGGTATAATTTTTAAAAAGGGAGGGAATAGCAAGTGTTTACAAGGATGTGGGAAAAAAGGAATCCTCATACGTTGTTGATAGGAATGTTAAATGATGTAGTCACTGTGGAAAAGTTCGGCAGTTTCTCAAAAAATTAATCACCTACAATTTCAAAATCCTAAGTATTACCTAAGAGAACTAAAAACATATCTTTACACACAAAACCATATACACAGATGCTCATAGCAGCAGTATTATTCATAATAGCCAAAAAGTGGAAATATCCAAAATGTCCATCAACTGATGAATGAACAGCATGTGGTACATCCATTCAATGGAATATTTGGCCATAAAAATGAGGAATGAAGTATCCTTTATAACATGGTTGAATCTCAAAAACATTTTGCTAAATGAATGAAGCTAGATGCAAAAGATCACATATTATATGACCACATTTACATGAAATGTCCAGAAGAGGTAAGTCTATAGAGACAGAAAGCAGATCAGCAGATGCTGGGTCTAGGTGAAGGTGGAAATTGGTATGGACTGATTATATTGGGTATGTGGTTCTTTTGAGGGCAGTGGAAATGTTCTGGAATTAGAGAGTAGAGATGGTTGCATTACATTGAGAATATTCTCAAAGCCACCGAATTGTACAACAGCTAGTTTATGTAGCTTTTTTTTTTTTTTTAAAGATTTTTTATTTATTTATACAAGAGCTGGGGTACAGGCCAGAAGCACGGGAGGGTGAGAGAATTCACCAGAGACAGAGTGGGGAACAGAACAGGCAGATGGACTGAAAGCACTGCTGAGGGAGCAGGGGGCAAGACAGGAGAGGTCTGCTGCGCCATGTGGTTATCTCCCTGGTCAGCCAGGATCGAATTTGCACTGCAGAGGCAGCAGACAGCTTCACAGCACTGCACTCAACTGGCTGCGCCACCGAGGGTGGGGTGGAGGGGCCCTTTGTAGCTTTTAGACAAAGTAATAGCAAACCTATGAAGAACAGATAGGAAAAAGGAATTCAAGAAAGTCCTGATTTAGATAATAAATTTAGTAAGTTAGGCAGAGCTTGTTTTTCACCCCCATCTCTGATCATAATAGTGTCTCTCCATTTCTGTGCAGGGAGGGTAAAAAAAAAGTCTTACAGTAGAGTTCTATTCTATGAAATCTTATTTTTAAAGACCAGGTGCAAATTTCATGATACTTAATGATCCCTGCCCAATTCACGAAAAGTGTGCATCCTCCCTATCATAAAGAAATTTAAAATCCTAAAACTTGCCAGGAAAGCACCATCATATTACTTTAAATTGCTGAGTTTATGAATTTCTTTTCCTGAAAAGCTGGAAACTCCATTATGCTTTTCCTAAAATGCCACTCTCAGTGTGCTTCTATACAGAAGTGTACAACTTTGGGGGTGTACAAATAACTCTGCATGAAGCCACTGTTCTTGTTGCCTATTTGATGCTAACTCTTGTTGCCAACTCTGTACAGACCCAAATTCAGGGAAGTTATGGTATGGCACATTTCCTTATGTGAGTATCTCTATAGACTTGGCTCCCAGTGGCTGTTAATATAGGCAGGGTCAGTAGCAGAACAAAGTGCGTTGCTCTAAACAACTGCTCAAATCCAGGTCCATAGCCAAGGTTGTCAATCTCAAACAGAATCCCTCTTTTAATAATCAGGCAGCAGAGTGGGAGGAAATACTTGCAAATCAGGTATCTGGTAAAAGTCTTATATCTATAACATATAAAAGACTCTTATTACTCAACAGACAAAAAGAAAGACAACTCCATTAAAAATGGACAAAAGCTTTGAACAGACACTTCATAAACAAAGTTTATAGATGGAAAACAAAAGGATCATAAGATACATTGCTCAACATGTTAGTCCTGAGAAAGGCACATGAAAACCACATACCTACCCTAAAGGCTACAATCAAAATGACAGAATAACAAATGCTGTCCATGTGGAGCAGCAGGAATTCTCACATATTGCTATTAGAGATGTAATTGGCACAGCCAGTTTACACAGCTTGGCAGTTCCCTTAAAAAAAAAAAAATACACAGAAATTTACAATAACCAGCAGCTCTACTACCAGGTATTGATCCAAGAAAAATGAAAACATAAGTTCACAAAAAGATGTACATGTAAACATTCTTAGCAATATTATTGACAAGTCAAAAAAGTAGATTCTAACAACTTAAATGTTCATTAACTAGTCAATGGAGGCACAAAACATGGTCTATCCACAGTGTGATACTATACAGTGAAAAGGAAGTGCTGACACATGTCAATGTGGATGAACCGCAACTCTATCACCAAATGAAGAAAGCCACTTGCAAATTATCATGCCTTATGATTCCATTCAAACCAACTGTCCAGAAAAGCCAGATGATGGGTAATGCTGACCTACACTCTAGGAGTACAGCTCACATGGATGCCACACCAAGCCTCCCATTAAGGTTCTAACAGAAGACTCCAGAGACAGAATTAGCCCGGGTCTAGAGTGGGAATAAATGGGCCCAAGGGATCTTTTGGGGGTTTTGGAAAAGTCCTAACATTTGACTGTAGTGATGATTGCTTTTGTTTCCCCTTTATAAACATTGTTTGTGAAGTGTCCATTCAAAGCTTTTGTCCCTTTTTAATGGAGTTGTCTTTTGTCTGTTCAGTAATAAGAGTCTTTATATGCTTTAGATACAAGGCTTTTATCAGAGACCCGATTTGGTAAGTTTGCTAGCAATTCATGGAATTGTACATCTGAAATAGGTGAAATTAATGGTATGCCATACCTTAAAATAGTTATTTTAAAACATACTTCAAAAAAAAAAAAGCAAAAATATAATTTTCTAAATTCACAAAGGACCACTTCATTTTAGGACAAGGTGAATCATAATTTTGTCCCCTGAGGGAAAATTCATAGGCGCTAGATATCAGATGAGTAGTAAAAGGGTTGACAGTCTATTAGTAAAGGTGTCAAATATTCTTCTCTAGAGAATCAGCTCACTTACAAGAGTGCCTAAAGGTGAAACAGGACTATTCTTAAGAAAAATTTTAAATACACTTTAAACACATAAAAAAGTGACTGATAAGAAACCCAAAGCAAACCATGACACGAACAAGTGCTTCTCTGATGAGCCTTGATCCACAGTGAAGGGCTGGTTTTAGGTTAATCTTTTTATAAAATAAAATAAGAAGTACTGTGGAGATATCAAGTTGATATAGCTTCTAAAGCTTAAGCATCTTTATCTATCCTGTGGCAGGGTGGACAGCAGTCTGCAGACCAGCATAGATCTGTGGGGCACTGTGAGTGACAATGATGCCCTGGAAAGAAAAGATGACAAAAAGTAGGTAGTATCCTATTTTCATGTTCATCCATTTATTTATTGAGAGTCCATATGCTAAGTTACTACCCCAGGACTGACCCTGTGAAATATCTGGTCCTGAGCAAGATTAAGTTAGAGATCATTTATCCCTTGGAAGCGGAGTGGTTTATAATTGACTGTGTGGATTTTGACAACAATTTTAGTTTTGATGTAATTTGTTTAAATCTTTGAAGAGTAGTCTGACCTCATTTCCTTCATGCTCACATAGTACACTCCCAAGTTGATCCACTTAACAGAATGCAACTATATCTAAATCACAATTGTTTCTTGATAATGTACTACTGGGAAGGATACAGTATTATTAAGTATACAATAGAGGACAAAACTAACAACCCCTGTGATACTTTGCCCTCAAAGAGCTTATATTCTAGTGGAGATACAAAAAAACAAGCTAATATGTAAACTATGTGTTTGATGGTGATATGCAAAATGAGGCAGCATTGGGGAGGGGGTTAGGCTGTACAAGAGTGAGAAGGAGGGAGTGTAGTTGGAAGCAATTTTAAACAGAGTGGCTAGAGTGCCTCACTGAGAAGACAATATTTCAACAAAGACTTGAAGAAGGTGACCAATCTACCCAAACATTACTGGGGAGAGACCTCAGGCAAAAGTACAAAATTCCTTGTTTAATATCTGCAAGTGTTATCACTCAGGTGAAACAACTTATTCCCCTAAAGTTCTTCAAGTTGTCTCTCCCTGCTCTGAGGGTAGAAATCCAATCTCATTCATCATTGTATCCCCAGTCCTCACTTGTTAAGTGATGAAACTGTTTAAGCACTTGTATTCTTAAACTGTAATAGTACAAACACACTTTCTCCCTTGCCCCCAAACTCCCCCTGACCATAAGCTTGCTCCTGTACCAAGCAGCTGCTCATCCAGTTAAAAATGCCATTATCTACTCTACTCCTCTGCCTTCCTTACTCCATTTTCCAGTCAGTGGCTAAATCCAGCCAATGTTTTCTCATCATTTGGTGGCCCCCAACTCGTAGCTTCTATAGCTCTTCCTCCCAGATTTATTCAAATCAAAAAGACAATTTGCCTCCATTCTAAAATATCTAGGTGATTTAAAATATGATCATATATGTACACACATATATATAGTATATATAAATATATAAATTAATAAATGTATTATGTGGACCTATGGCATGTCAATAAAATTTGAGCCAATCATTACATATTTCTATATCAATTTGACAGTGGCAGTTATTATAGTCATAACTCTAAATCACGCACTTCAGAGATTAATATGGGGTTCCAACAATGGATCTGTGTGTCCCTATTATTATCCCAATGAGCTGCTTCTAGAAATTCCAACTAAACAGCTTGTGTATTCACTTATCCTTTGTAATTCCAACTGGACATGGTATTCCCCACTTTTCACTGTGAAGCCTGCAGCTGAGTGCCAACAGCTGCTAAGTCCCACCACATCACAAGTGAGGGGCAGCTTGATAGTCAGGGTACACAGTTTTAGTTAACATACAAGTGAGTCAACTCTCACTGTTTATTGGTTACAGTATAAATGTCTTTGTTCCCTGGTAATGAAGGAAATCTACTAATTTGTCCAATTCACACACCATGAGCATCTTATGCATCTAAAGCACTATCTAGTTTAGTGGACAGGATCTGGATCTTAAAAAAAAAAAAAAAAACACAACGAGATTAAAGTGGAGTAGTTTTGTGACTCTAGTTAATTTGTTAGCCTGAGTTTCAGTTTACCCACTTTGTAAAATGAGGATAATAATGCTTTCTAAGTAGCTGCAGAAGAAAGTGAAATCAAGTCAAAGTACAACAGAAATGAGAGTTTGTTACATGTTGCAAAATGGCCCAAGGCTTATGGGTGCTTTTAGGGCTTTTGAAACTAAGGGCAATTCAAAGCCAGTAAGATGGGGTGGAGAACAATTACACATTGCAACTATCTTAATGGTCAAATAAAAACTATGAGAAAAGTGAAAACTAAGTGAAAGGATAATTTACCCCTGCTAAGATTCTTTTGCAGAAGACACAAAAGCAGAAAAAGATTTCCCTGTACATGGTTTCATGCTTGGCCAAAACCTCTCAAATAATAACTTGCTTTAAACCAAGAAATAATTAACAGTAGCGGTTCTGCAAACAGCATTTTTAGTAAGCAGCTCTTATTTTCAGTAAAATGTTGCAAGAAACTAAGCAAAAACTTAAATACACGTATATCTTGTCCTTTCATTTTAAAAAAATCGCTGAAGTGTTTTGGGGAAGAAATAAGATTTCTTTAGATCAAAGCAACACTGGTACTCACTTGTACCCTAGGGCTATACATTCTACACAGGAAAAGGAGGAGCCACCCAAGGAGGTTGCGGGGGCTCCCGTGCGCCGTCTGTTAATTCACATTTTGCTCTCTTCTGTTCACATCCTGCGCGGACTCCACCCAAAACCAGTGAGCGAGGGGGTGGGTGGGACTCGCACAGCCGAGCAAATAACAGCTCCAGAAACCGAAACGGCTCGGAGGTGAAACACGAAAACCCGGCTCGCCCGAGCTGGGTGGAGAAGGGGGTTCGCTAGAGGAGAGCCTCTTCTAGGCTGGCCAGGCACCTTTGGCCTCGTTGCATCCGGGGCACCCCCACCCCACTATCGCGACCAGTTCCCTCCTGTCCTACACCCGGGAGGAGGCAGGCGCGGCAGACAGAGCCAGGCCACTCATCCCCGGAACGTGGGCGGAGAACGCACCAGCAATTCCTCGGAGATTCCGAGAGCGCGATGGAGGGGCGGCAACCTGGGCGAGGCGAGGAGGGAAGGAAACTGCCGGTGGAGCGGGGGACCTGGGAGACGGTGGGAAGGCACCTAGCAGGTAGCCCGATCGGGCAGGCGCCCCAGGAAAGCGGGGGGACCTGTTGCATGGACCTGGGCCGGAGGCGGCGGGGGGGACAGCCGGACCGCGCGCCCCGGGCCACCTCCCCCGTGCCAGTGCGACCTCAGCCCCCGTGCCTGCGGGGCCCCACCCTGAGAAGTCGGGGCGGCAGAGACGCGGGTGAGAGCCCCGACCCTGAGGAAGGGGAGGCGGCCGACGGGGGCCGGGCTGGCCCGCTGCTGCGGTTAGTCACTCACATCTGATACTCGTCTATCGCCTCCACCAGCTGGCCCCAAGAGTCGAAGTCGGCGCCTCTCCTAAAACTGGCGCCCCAGCGCTGCAGCAGACTTCGGGTCACCTCCGACATGGCCGGCCAGCCGCCCCCGACCCCTCCCGCCCCGACCCCCGACAGGCAGGGTCCTAGGGCGCCATCCTCCCCGGGCTGGGCCCCGACATTAACAGGGCCAGGAGGAACCGCGCTGGCCACCACCGCCACCCGCCGAGGAGCCGCCCAAGCCCATTTGCCGCCACAGCCAAACTTGGCGGCTCCGGCGCGGCCGCCCCGCCGAGGCCCCGCCCCTGGCCCCGCCCCAGTTAGGTTGAGGCCGCCCCGCTCCCACCCGCTGCCGCCATTGCTACCGCGGCATTCCTCCTCGGCTGGGGCGGCCCGCCCCTCGGCGCTCGTCTTGTGACAAGAGGCGCGGCGCCTGAGGCCGGGCAGGGAAGGAGAAGTCCAGAAAGAGCCAGGAACCCGAGGGGCTTGAGGGAGCAGCGACGACGCGGTTCCGTAGGCCCCCAGCGGCCCCACTGCCGCCTCGGTAACTGTCATGGCCTCCAAGCCACGTGACCCCGCCTCGTCGCAGGCCAGCTTTCCGGTCGCTCCGGCCCAGTAGCCCCGGCTCTGCGACGCCCTCCCCCCATTCCCGCCGGCGGACTCGGACCTGGCCTTTCTTCCTTCGGAAAACTGCGGGACAGATCCCGAGAAAGCCGGTGAGTCTGTCCACCAGGCTGGAGGTTTTCCAGTACCACCTCGCCCTTGTCCTTTCCCCGCCGCCCCCAGCAGTAGGGTCATCCCCTTTCACACGGTCTCCATAGGCACCGGGGAGTGGTCCAAAAAGTCTCCTAATACTTTGAAGCGAATGACAGGAAGGATTCCGCGAATCCTCGACATTAACAGCTGGATTCGCCTAATCCTTTGCCCGCCTCGGGAAGCTGGAGGCTTATAAACTAATTAGGGGCTCCTTCTGCGTTCGCTGGCCGGGTAGATGGTGTCGGCTTTCCACAAAAATGCCTGTGCGGGTAGTGGCGCTCGATTACGGACGGCGCCTGCGCAGTGAAGCCGCCCCCCCCCGTACTTTCGCGGAAGGAAGAGGCGGGGCGTAAACAGGAAGCGAACGGGCCGGCTCGGCTGAGCTGCTCAGGTGGGTGGCGTCCTAAGGGGACCGGGGACCCCTGAGTGGCGGTTCCTGGTCTGTAATGGGAGTCCTCCTGTGGAGACGGGTTCGGTGGCATTCGCGATCCGAGTGTTGCTTCGGTGGCTCGAGGAGCACCCGCATACTGGGGGCTGGGTGTGTCGTGCCTCCCCAACAACCTTGCCCCGAACTCTTGAGAACTCGGGAACTGAGGCTCAGAGGGATGTGATGGGGCAGATCCAGAGAATGCGGCACTTAACCTCTTCGTTCCTGAAGTAAAGATTCCAAAAGTCCAGACATTTACATCCAGGAGGGGGAAGGCCGCGGTAAAGGAGTAGAAGAGAAAAGCTGCTTTCCCCAAATCAAGTGTATTGTGTACTTTTACCTCGGGAAGCTTGATTTATATGGACGTAGATTCTTGTGTTAGTTTAAGTTATAAAACAGGTTTACAGTGGACCATGTCCGGAAGATGGTATATTCTCTTGTACGTGGTAAAAGTTTTGAATTCAATGAACTTGCTCAATGTTTGAGTACACGATGTGTTCGTTTCCTGTTCATTAAATATCTGGACAGTGATATTGACTTAAAGCAATGAAGCATGTTGTTTGTACATGTATGTTTTATATAAAAATAGGTCTCTAGGGCAGTGCAGAAAGATGTGACCCAAAATCCCTAACCTTAGATTTCCAAAACCGGTGTTGTCGTAAATAAGTAAATATTGTAGTTGAGGTGCCTGAAGTAGATAAATCATACACTGCGGTATACATTTATTTTCCAAATAAGAAAAAATCAATTGCCAACATTGTATAATGTCTTCATAAAAATTGTACCTTTTCAGAATTTGTTACTTCCTGGATTTTAATTGCCATATTTTAAGTCTTTAGCTAGGACTTCCTGTGTTATTTGCACTGTTTACCCAAGGACCTGTAGGCAAACATTCCTTTTTTGGAAAAACAAAGGAGAAAAAAAAATAAATGGTGTGGCACTGAACTTTTTTTAAGTTGTCATTTCACATAGGTAGCTTTTCAAATGTTCTTTTGAGATAGAAGTTACTGTTTTAAGCAACCAAGGATGAGACCAAGAAAGCAGATATCCAAGTTGGAAGGGGCAACTGATTTACCTGATTAAAAAAAAGTTATTGGTCAGCTATCATGTTGCTTTTATTATGATAGTGATTCTTATTAACTGTTTCGTATACAGTGTATTTGTTGTAGAAACCACTCAGTTGCTATTAGCAACATCATGTGGGAATAAATTTAAAACCTCTTTAAAGTAATCGAACACTTCGCCTAAATAAGGGCCATTTGAACCTGTTTGAGAAATTACATTCATCTGGTCCTGTGCCTTTCTCTTTCGGAGCTGTCCAATCACAGTCTAGCTGGTCCTCATGTAATGTCCTCTCATTAAAATGTTGGGAAGAAATCAAGTTATTTGAGGACTTGGTGTAACTGTGATGTTTTGCTTAAAGTTGTAGTTCAAAAACCTGTGCACCACATTAAGTGAGGACTCACTGTACTTTGCTACTCAGAAGGGGAGTTTGGGACCAGCAGCATTATTATCTTAGGTCCTAACTTAACTGTTGAAAATGTATTTTATTTTTTTTTTTTTAAAGATTGATTTATTTATACAAGCACTGGGTACAGTCAAAAGCACGAGAGGGTGAGAGAATTCACCAGAGCCAGAGCAGTGAATAGAACAGGCAAACTGACGAAATACACTGCTGAGGGGTGCGGCAGGAGAGGTCTGCACTCCATGTGGGACCCTCACTGGCAGCCAGGGATCAAACCTGCACTGCAGAGGCTGCGGGCAGCTTCACAGCCCAGGGCTCAACTGCTGCGCCACCAGGGGAGACCCCGAACATGCATTTTAACAAGCACACCCCCCCCATTTACAGTGATTTTTATGCATGGTAATGTGGAAACACTACAACTCTGATATATTTAACATTGTCACTACTGTGGCTAAATCTCCAAATGCTGTTTTTAAATAGGCCTGATCAAAACAGACTACTTACAGACAGTGATATTGACTTATAGTCATGAAGCATCTTGTTTGTATATGTATGTTTAATATAAAAATAAATATCCTCTAGTAATCTTTCACTTTAAAAATAATTTTTATGATATGGATGTTGTTTGTTAAATGTTTAACATTTAATTTTTATGCACTTCATTTTTGCTTTCAGACAATATCTGGAGAAAATGACGCATTGGTTTCATAGGAACCCATTAAAAGCCACAGCTCCTGTCTCCTTTAACTACTATGGCGTGGCTACCAGTACTGCTGCTTCAAAAATTTGCAGGTAAGTTTTAGTCTATGTCAACCAGTATTGACTGCTGCTTTTGGATCCAGGGTACTTTTTTTTAGGTCTCTTGGACAGTAAAGATGTATGTGACCCAATATCCCTAACCTTAAATTACTTATAAATGACATCTGAAGAGTTAAACCACAGATTACTTAACTTTTGAGTCTTCTAGGCCAGGGTTCTTAATTTTAGATTAGTAAGCAATTACAATAAAAAGGTTAAGCTCTATACACAATTAGACTCCTTAACGTTGTAGATGGAAATTATTGATTTACTAGACAGTAAATTCATTGGGTTCTGAGCAGGGAAAGAGAGGGATGACCTAGAACAGGTTTGAATAAATTGTATACTTTCATCAGGGAATGGCAAGCTGTGTCTCATATTTGATCCATTGTTGTTGTTGTTTTTTTTTTTTTAAATAAATAAAGTTCAAACACAGCCAACCTGTAAACCCCTACTCCCACACACATACACCCCCCATTTATTTATAGTCTGGCTACTTTCCTCCATAGTAGCAAACTCATATGGACTAAAATATTTAGTTTATCTCACAAACAGCCTAAAATATTTTTGAACTCTTCAAGAAAACATTTGCTGATCTCAGATTTATTCTATAGTAAGAAGGGAGGAAAAACATCAGTCTGTCATGAAAACCTTGTTCTCAGGCTAATGAGTAGAGCACTTTGACTGGAATAAAAGTGGTAGGTGCAAAAGAGATTTCAAAGGAGAAATCACTGACCAGGTTGACTGATGGGAAGTTGGACAGGACAGCCTATGAGATACAGAACCTAGATCGTCAAGACATTCTTGCTACCAACAATGGAAAAGCAGGAGTTGCTGCTTGTGGAAAGAAGTAATTGGAGTGAAGGATAGGGAAACTAGCTTGTTAATCTGGACCAGGTGTCAGCAGACTTTTCTGTAAAGGGATAAAGAGTAAATATTTTAGGCTGAGCTACATACAGTCACTGTCGCATATTCTTTTATCATTTTTACAAAAGTTAACTATGGGCCATACAAAAACACCATTCAGGTTATAGTTTGCTCTGGTCTTAGACTCCTAGAAGTTGGTCCCAGTTTTACTATTTTGTCTGTAGGTTTGGGCAAGGCTCTTAACTTCTTTGGTCTAATTACTCATCTTGACAATGAAGAGCTTAAATAGTTCTAATACACGTTTTTCTCAAATTCTGTACTTTTATGATGTATATGGCTACTTCAGTTGGGTTGCACGGGATGATTGAGTGCCTGCTTGGAAGTGGCCAGCCAACTATTGGAGTCTTGAACTGGCCTTAAGGATTCCATTTTCTCCTAGTCTAGGAATTATTCCTTCCCAACTTCTAGCTAAATAATTCAATAAGGACAGACTTAGAAAAAAGTAAAAAGGATCTTTCAGAGGAAGGAGAACATGCGAAATTTAGTGTTACTGGGATAGAGAGAAAAGAATTTCAAGAAGCTTATCTGATTTTTGGTCAGCTTTCTGTAATTGTGGGGGTATGCTTTTTTGGAATAGGTCTCAGTGCTGGTACAATGAATTAGCATTATCTAGACATTTGACAACAAAGTCTGCTCTCTTGGAATATCACTGCTACATTAGGAAGATATTTGAAATCTTAGTTTAATTTTACTCGCCAAAGAATTTCGAGAACCTGCTTTCACCTAACTTGCTTTCACCTACTAATTTCTGAGTATACGGTGCCTACTGTCTTTTTTCATTTAAGGGCATTTCAAGTGTCTTTAGTCATTTCCCCTATCATGTGATTTTGGAACCCTAAGTAAGCTAGGTACCTTCTGAAATTAGAGGTGGAACTGGAATAGGACCAAGTTAGAGCTGATATAGATATAGGATTGGATGTAAAGATGGGATCTCAACAGGGAGAAAACTGGAACGCCAAGGACTGAATATGTTTGGACATAGGAGTAAGAGGGACAGAGAAAAATATAGAAGGAACTTTCAGAGACAAAGGAGAACCTGGGAAATTTAGTGTTACTGGAATTGAGAGAAAAGAATTTCAAGAAGAAAGGATCTGCAGTATTTACTGCTGCAGGAAAGTAAAGGAAAAAGGAGCCCATGGTCCCGTTTTCTTTATGTGTGGGCTTAATGAGAGAACACAATTGCATTTTTACACTGTTTTCTTTAAGTCTGTTTTGACATTTTGTGTGTAATGTCAAAACTTAAAATAATGTGATACTAAAATCATAAACACATTAAATTTCCATTTTTCCTAACACTTTCATTGTGAGTTGGTCAGCGTAACTTGCTTGTTCTTAATCCTTCCTCCATCTTAAATGCTTGTTTCCTTAATGCTAAAACTTGTAATATGCTTTATTTTTTTTTTTTTTTTTTTTAAAGATTTATTTATTTATTTATTTATACAAGCACTGGGTACAGTCAGAAGCGCGGGAGGGTGAGAGAATTCACCAGAGCCAGAGCGGGGAGCAGAGCAGGCAGAAGGACCGAAGTACACCGCTGAGGGGAGCAGCGGGCGGCAGGAGAGGTCCGCGCGCCATGTGGGATCCTCCTCCTGTGGCCGGGGAGCAGCCGGGGATGGAACCGGCGCTGCAGAGGCTGCGGGCATCTTCGCAACCCAGCGCTCAACCACTGCGCCACCAGGGAGGTCCTGTAATATGCTTTAATTACACAATTATATCCATGATTTCCTCTTTAAGGGTTGAGTTTGTTTTAGTGCAACTTTTACAACAGTTGTTACTGGTTATTTCATTTATCTCTAGTGTTAGCCCCAATTAAATTCATTCCTAAGTACATAGTAGTGCCTTAGAGGTATGTGCATTGTTTTTTAATTCTTTTACAATTAAATGTTTAACTCACTTTTATGCAGGTTCCCATAATAGAGCTGTGGCATAGTGATTTATAATAAGAAATACAGATGTGGTCTTCTTCCCAAGTTCTGGCACAGAGTCCTTAAAAACCTAGGAAATTTCTAAGTGGTAAAGGGCAACAAAGGTGTCAGTGAGGTGACTTTTGGACCCCCCAAGTGATGGGGGTTGATTTTCCAAAGATCCAACCATGTGATTAAAGAGTTGGAACTGGGCCTCCCCCCGTGGCGCTGTGGTTGAGCGCTGGGTTGCGAAACTGCCTGCAGCCTCTGCAGCGCCAGTTCGATCCCCGACTGCTCCCCAGCCATCGGAGGAGGGTCCCGCATGGTACGCAGACCTCTCCTGCCGCCCGCTGCTCCCCTCAGCAGTACACTTCGGTCCTTCTGCCTGCTCTGCTCCCCGCTCTGGCTCTGGTGAATTCTCTCACCCTCCCGTGCTTCTGACTGTACCTAGTGCTTGTGTAAATAAATAAATAAATCGTTTAAAAAAAAAAAAAAGAGTTGGAACTTGCAGTCGCCATCCCCTGACCTCCAGAGAGGCTGGAGAATGAGCCCCATCCAAAAGACCAGTGATTTAATCAGTGATGCTGCTCTAATAGAACATCCATTAGACCCAAAAGAATGGGGTTCTGTAACCTTTCAGATTGGTGAGCTTGTGGGAGTGCTGGAGGTAGGGTGCTCTATGAGGACATGGAAGTCTTGCACCCTATCCCCCCACCTTGCCTATGCATCTTAGATTTCCATTTGACTATGTTGAGTTACATCTTTTATATTAGCTAGTAAGTGAAAGGTTTCTCTGAGTTCTGTGAACTGCTCCAGGAACCCAAGGAGGAGGTTGGGTTACAGCCTGATTTAAAGCCAATTGGTCAGAAATACAGGTAACAACAAACTGGGGTTGCTGTTGGCAGCTTATACATGGAGAGATGGTGGGCAGTCTTGTGGGACTGAACCCTTCACCGGTAGAATCTGATGCTCTCTGCATGTGGATGGTGTCAGAATTGAGTTGCATTGTAGGACTTCCAGCTTGTGTTGGAACATTACTTGGTGGGGGGAAAGCACTCCTTCCCTTTGGAATTGGGTCCCAGAACCCTTCTTAACAGCTGACTTAACATTACTGTCTCTTTCTGATATTAGTGACTTGAGATCATCCAGAGCACGACTGCTTGAACTGTTCACTGATTTGAGTTGTAATCCAGAAATGATGAAGAATGCAGCAGATACCTATTTTTCATTTTTACAAGGTTGGTTATTTATATGAACTTCTGAGTTAAAAAAAAAAAAAACAAAAACAGTACAAGTTCACAAGAAATTCTAGACTTCAGATTTGAATAGCTTAGACTTTTAGGCCATATTCTTTGGTCTGCTGGAGCTTCAGTTATGTGAGAATGTAAGGGTGGTATGTGGTCTTGTAACATCGAATGTGTACATATTTCATATTATGTTACTTAGGAGGGCATGTTAAGATATAGAAAGGGACAGAGGGACTATGAGTTTCATTCAGACACGTGGGTAAATCATTACCTGAAAAATTTTCTAAGCAAAGCACTTGATAAGCTAAAAGTGAAATGTTTTATACCTTTTATAGGTTTCATAAATTCACTGGATGAATCTACTCAAGAAAGCAAGTTAAGATATATTCAAAATTTCAAGTGGACTGATACATTACAAGGACAGGTTCCAAGGTAAGCAGTGTTAACAGTAAATTAAAGTCCTTTTTGTAGTTGTTTTGCCAGTAGTTCACTCATAACCTTTGTTGGTGAAGGATTAAATAAGTCTGGTCAGCATTTTCTCCTACCAGAAATTAAAAAAAACATTTGATCTAAACTAATATTCTCCATTAAGTGAAAATATAATTTGTTTCTCCTGAACTGTTTCATACCAAATCTTTTTATTTTTAAGATTGATTTATTTATGCATGCAAGAACTGGGGTACAGGCCAGAGGTGTTGGGGAGTGAGAGGATTCACCAGAGACAGAGCGGGGAATAGAACAGGTAGATCGACTGAAATACACTGCTGAGGGGAATAGTGGGCGAGACAGGAGAGGTAAGCTGCGCAACGTGGGTAGCTCCCTGGTGGGGGATCGAACTCATCCTGCAGTGGCTGCGAATAGCTTCATAGGTTGCATCTTAATCCCTTGCGCCACCAGGGAGAACCTCATACCAAATCTTTTAATCTAAAAAATCTCTATCCTTTTGAAGGATAGAGATTTATAAAAAAATATAATCCTCAGTCTAGTTTCTTCCCTTTGGGTAATTTTTCTATATTTCAGCGCTGCATATGTAAAATACGGGTATTGTGCTTTCTTACTCATTTGAAATAAATGTCCCAAGAGTTTTCATGATCTCATAAAAATGATAGTGAACAAAAATTAGTATGATCTTATTTGCTTAATATAGTTGCAGTCTTATTGGTATTCATAGAATTAAAAGATATAATATAAAATGTACTTGTTTTTAAGGCTGCAGTGTGCTGAGTGGCTTACATGGGGAATCTTGTAGTTTCTCTTAGTTGGACCTTTAGCTCTTCTGTTCTTTGATTTCTTTTTGCAAACCCCAAGCTCTAATGATGCTAGTTGGGTCTCTACTGCCAGAAACGTATTTATATTTTGTTGTGCTTTAATAGTGTCATTCCTTCACCTGGGTTGTCCTTTCCTTCTAACCATCTTTCAAGGTACAATTCAGATTATGTGCACATACCAGTAGGCCGCCTTTCCTTGCTCTACCTTGAAATGCTTTCTGAATTCTGTTTTCTTAACCATCTGTATCATAATAAAATGGATGCTTGTTAAAAATGCAAATTCTGGGACCCATCCCAGATTTTTTGATTCTCTGGGCATAAGCCCCATAGGTCTGCATTTCTAGAGCTATTCTAGGTACAATAAGCTTTGGAACTACTATTGATATTTACTGTTGTACTGGGCCATTTTTTTTTTGTGTGTGTGTGTGTGTGTGTGTGTGTGTGTGTGTGTCTCTTCCTTTCTGTATTAAACACAGACTGTTTTTCCCTTATACCAGTAGCATATAGCTTTTTATTTTTTTGAGTTTTATGTACAGTTGACTTCGTGCAGAGATTTGTCAATGAAAGAATTTAATGATTATGTTTATAATTCTAGTGCCCAGCAAGATGCTGTTTTTGAATTAATTTCCATGGGATTTAATGTAGCTTTATGGTATACCAAATATGCTTCAAGACTGGCTGGAAAAGAAAAGTAAGTTAAAAGGGAGCGTTGTATGCATATGCATTTAGTTTTCAAATATGTGTAGCTTCATTATTAGACTGTCTAGGCTATTGATGAAAATACCACTTTGATAGTTGAAAGGTTGCCTCATAATATACTTAACCAGAAATAGGGAGCCCAGCATTAAAAGAAAAAAAATTTAATAATCTTATCAGTGAAGATCTTTCAATAGAAATCTACCATAAACAAAGTTAAACGAATGGCAGATAAGTCAAAAAAAAAAAAGCAGTGCATGTAACAAATTGTTTTTATGACATACGCTTTCAAGCTGAACATGAAAAAGACTAGCAGATCAGTTGAAAATATGGAAAAGACATAGATATTTCACTGGAAAAGAAATACAAAAGGCTTAAAAAGTATGTGACATAAAATGAGATAACATTTTTATAGTAGCAAAAGCATATATTAGCAATGGGAACCTGCTGGCTACCTACTAGGGTGCATCAATACATGAGCCTTTTAAAAATGAGTTGAATTGTAAATGCTGATCTAAAATTATCTTTAAAGTAACTTGGGTGATCAAAGCAAGAGAAGAGTGGGTAGAGAACTTGTTTGTGTGTTTTAAGTGTGTGCATTCATTGAGTGTGTAAGATTTTACATTTGTTTATGCACGGGTTATCTGGAAGGAAAAACAAGCCTTTTGTCCATTCCTCTATACAGGGGCGCTCTTGTTTTCATTTGTTGTACTTTATCTTTAGGTAATTTTAATGTGCATTTGTTACTTTTTTAAGTGTCAGATTAGATTTTTTAAAATGAAGGAGATAGTGATGAGAAACACAAGTGCCAGTTATGATGGTGTATTAGTTACTGGCTTTTATGTCAGAAATGGGATTCATCCTCTAATATAACCACTGTCTTTAAGCATAACAGAAGATGAAGCAAAGGAAGTTCATCGAAGCCTAAAAATTGCAGCTGGGATTTTTAAACATTTAAAGGTAAAATAACTCTGTACTAATGAAGATACACATATATATTCTTTTTTTTTATGCCAGCCATTCACTGGTAACTTCTTTTTTTTTTTTAAAGATTTATTTTTATTTATTTATACAAGCACTGGGTACAGTCAGAAGCGCGGGAGGGTGAGAGAATTCACCAGAGCCAGAGCAGGGAGCAGAGCAGGCAGGACTGAAGTACACTGCTGAGGGGAGCAGCAGGCGGCAGGAGAGGTCTGCGCGCCATGTAGGACCCTCCGTTGGCCGGGGAGCAGCCGGGGATCGAGCCGGGGCCGCAGAGGCTGCGGGCAGCCTCGCAACCCAGCGCTCAACCTCTGCGCCACCGGGGAGGCCTACACATATATATTTTTAATGCTTTAATTCTTAAATAATCTTAGGGCTTTTGCGGGGGGTGGGGAAAATTTCTTTACATAAAAAGAGCTAGTATGTGTTCATTTCTCTTTAAGTACTTTGTTGATAAGTGTAGCCAATTACAAAATAGTAAATGTTTTCATTTTAGAAAATCACCGGTAAATTTTAGAATTTGAAGATTTAAATTGTTAATGCACTGCTTATTTTTCTGTTTCTTTTGAAAAGGTAAAGCGTTGCAGAACAATGTATGGTTTTTACCATTTCTTGTTGATCTCTGCAGCAGTTGCCAGTAGCATTCAGTAGTCTGCAAAACTGAACTGAGTGTCTGTCTCTCAGTGAAAATGACAGAAGGGCAGCCAGTACACGCTCATACTAAATTATTTGACAAAGCAGTGGTTACTATCCCCCGCCCTTTCTAATTAAACCACTATTTACTGGAGGCCAACGTTCAGTTTTCTCATGGTAAATAAGACACTTTTACAATGAAAAGCTGTGATCCTCAGTTAGCTATGGGATTGTAATCATTTTTACATTTATACTTACTAATGTAAATAATTCTTGCTTTCAGGCAAAAGAGAACTTCATTTTCATTTAATCTTACATGATTTGCATCTCTAAGCAGTCTATAATCCAAATTCTACTTTTGAGTTTGTTTTTTGCAAAAGCTTATAAAAGACTTTAGAAGTTCTAGTTTACAAGAATTTTTATTCCTTGTAACTTAATATTGCTTCTTTTTTACAGTTTTTATTTGTACATGTAATTTGAGTACCTCATAACTTAGCTTTTGATCTCTAATAACAGGGATAAAATAAAATTGACTTGTTTGGTTTTATTCTTTTTTTCCTCAGGAAAGTCATATCCCAAAACTCATTACGCCTGCAGAGAAGGGGCGGGACTTAGAAGCACGACTCATAGACACCTATGTTATCCAGTGTCAGGCTGAAGCTCAAGAAGGTATCCAAAATATTGTAAGATTTTCTTTTTTTAAGAAAATCTATACTGGCACTTGATTCTGTTTTTAAAATTAACTCAGTTTCAGGTTTTGAGAAATTTTCAATGAGGAATAATTTTACATCTAGCCTTTTGCTTTCATTTGTAGTTCACAGGAAAAAGCCTAACAGTTTATTGGCTCTTCATAAGAAGATTTTGATTTCATATCTTTTTTGACAGCATGAATTAATTCTGCAACTCATCTTTTACCCTCTCTCCTTGCTTGTGCCTTTTGTTCTTACACCATTGGGCTTCTCTTGAAATCCTCCTGTCAGTGTCGGCAAATGAGTGAGAACAATAGGCAAAACCTTTGTAGACTTGTTTTTCTCTACTTAAACTCCATACCCTGAAAGTATTTGTTTCCTTTTACATCATAATATTTTCTTTGATTAACTAGTAATTGACTAGTGATTTATTTAAAGAAATGGTATCAAAATTAATAAGCTCTGTGTTTTGTTTGTTCAGGTTTGCAGTTTCCTGTAACTTACTTTTCTTGTTAAGCTTTATCAAAATCCCAAATAGACTATCAGGCTGTCTTTTGCTATTGTAATTGATTTTAGACTGAATGCAGGTGAACTTAACACTTTATTATATTTTGGTTGCAGTAACAATTGCTCGAGCAATTGAACTAAAACATGCTCCTGGCCTAATCGCTGCATTGGCATATGAAACGGCCAATTTCTATCAAAAAGCTGGTAAGCTTTTAAGTCATATTTTTTATCTATGTTCTTCAGATTTGATGATTTTTTTCTCAATAGGGAACAAATAAACCAAAAGATTCTGATTGTTTCATTTGCAAAAGTGTATTAATACTTGTATTATTAATCTTAGTTAAAATAAATGAAAGAATTAGAGCTGTTCAATTAATATGCAGCATACTTTGTAATAGAAAGTAGGATGCTGTACATACTTAGCAGAAACATAAGATACAGCCAGTTTGCTTTTGACATTTTAATTTTTTTGGTCTCTGTGACAGCTTTGTAGTTACTACCCTTTTTTAGACAAAAACTGAAATCCAGAGAGTTAATGTAACTAATTTGTTATTTAACTGCTGGCAGGTGGGAAGTTGGGAACTACAGAGTTCTGAATAGCCTGTTCCTTTCATTCACTTATTTAGGAAACATGCGTATGTTTCTCTTGATGAGATGATGCTTACTGTTACAGTTGTTGGGCATTCAAAGTAGATCCATAGAACATATTTACAGTCTAGGAATATGGAGACAAGCATATAACCACATTATTATAGCATGAAATAAGACATTCTAGCAGTGAGATTTAAAAAAAAAAAGGAAACCATAAAGGATCCAGGCATGCTGGAGAAAGGTTTACAAAGAAAGGTGGTATTTTTGCCCTGTTATGAAATGTAAATAGAAGTTCTGAGTTTGTCCAGGAACTTTATTTAGAGCATGGGAAGAGAAGAACACACTCTGTAGTATGTATATATTCCGGACCCTTTAGACAGACGCTCTCAAATGAAACACAGGATGGTGGTGGGAGAAAAGGTCAGGAAAGTACAGTGTGTGTGTGAGGTCAGGAATGGTTGGTAAGCTTCTCCAGGAAGCGTGACCTTTATATGGTAGATTGGTACCCCTTACAAGATACCAAGTAAGTAACTTAATTTGAATTTAAGGAAAGTCCCTATGGTTGCAGGATGAAAAGTGGGCTTGCTGGGTGAAGGAGCAGTTCCCTGACTCTGCTTAACACTGGTGAAGAGATGATTTTATAGTGTATGAAGGAAATGATGAAAACTGACAAAAATGGCAAAATGGGAAATAAAGAGAAAGATACTGATTTTTGAGGGATGTTTGGCAAGATATGTGTGTGTCTTATACAAGATCCAGTGGGGATTTAGAAAAGGGTGGTAAAGTCATCCTCTATGTTTCTGATGTGGAATACTCTTTGCATATAAATTAAAAAGATGGGCCTCCCCTGGTGGCGCAGGCAGTTGAGCGCTGCACCGTGAAGCTGTCCGCAACCTCTGCAGCACAGATTTGATCCCAGCTGGCCGGCGAGATACCCACATGACACAGTAGACCTCTCCTGCCTTGCCCGCTGCTCCCCTCAGCAGTGTATTTCAGTCAGTCTGCCTGTTCCATTACCTGCTCTGTCTTTGGTGAATCCTCTCACCCTCCCGCACCTCTGGCCTATACCCCTGTTCTTGTATAAATAAAAATAAAATCTCAGAAAAAAATTTAAAAAAGATAACAGTGGAGTTTGTATATACCTTGAAGTTCTTAGTTTCATCTGTTACTGTCATTACCTTGAACTTAAGGTACATTAAGCATCAATTCATAGAGGTGCCATAGTATTTATTTGTTTAAAGATTTATTTATGCATACAAGAATTGGGGTACAGGCCAGAGGTGTGGGAGGGTGAGAGGATTCACCAGAGACAGAGTGGGGAATAGAACAGGCAGACTGACTGAAATACACTGCTGAGGGGAGCAGCAGGCGAGTCAGGAGAGGTCTGCTGCGCCGTGTGGGTAGCTCCCTGGCAGGGGATTGAACTCGTGCTGCAGTGGCTGTGCATAGCTTCATAGGTTGTGTATTAACCCCTTGCGCCACCAGGGAAGCCCCTGCCATGGTATTTAAATACAGTTATGAGGAAATAAGTCACTTTATATAAAACAAGGTTTTTTAAATGTGTAAGTGCTTGAGTTTTAGACTTGAAGGGCATTCTGCCTGTAGCATCTGAACACGTGAACTAAAAGTCTTCTAGTGAATCAGGGTAAAATTATATTTTGCTTTTTAAAATGTAACTTTAGATCATACTTTATCCAGTTTGGAGCCTGTGTACACTGCTAAATGGAGGAAATATCTTCACTTGAAAATGTGTTTCTACACAGCTTATGTAAGTATTTATAGCCCTAAAAATGATGTAAAGTACTATCTTTCCAGCCCCTTAAGTGCCAGCTCTGTCATCTCAGAGCCTCTATCGGTGTTTCATGTTTAATGGGCCACTCTCAGTAAGTGGTTGCTGACAGTGCAGCCTTTGTGAACTGAAGTGGGGGACGAGAAGCTGTGGAAATGTGGAGCTGGATGATAGTGATGGAATCCCACTGTTCAGCTGGAACCTTCCACATACTTAGCAAAAATTCTCTCATTTGTTTTATCCTATATATACATGGAGAAAGGCATTTACTAGTTATAGTAATGCTTACCCTGCATGATCTTTCACCTGGATCGGTGAAGAACTAACTCATAAGCACTGTTTTGGAAGTTACTTAGAAACTCTTGTCATATCCACCAAAGAAATTTTGTTGATTAGAATATCATATGTGAGATCATCAGAAACCTTTTTTAGGTCTAAGTATCTTTCATTTCTTATATTTTATATATCTCTTCTCAAGCACACTACGTAAGATCAGTTGCAGTCTCTGCACTAATAAAGACATTTATAGAATGAACATGTCCTACTTTATATTCATATATATGTATATTTTTAAAGGTTTATTTTCACTTATACAAGAACCAAGGTATAGTCCAGATGCGCAGGAGGTTGAGAGGATTCACCAGAGACAGAGTGGGGAATAGAACAGGGAGACAGACGAAATACACCGCTGAGGGGAGCAACGGGCGAGACGGGAGATGTTGGCTCACCTTGTGGGTTGCTCCAAGGCCGGCGGGGTCGAACCGGCCCTGCAGAGTCTGCAGACAGCTTCACAGCGCTGCGCTCAACCGCCTGTGCCACCAGGGAGGCCCCTAATATATTTCTCTTAAAACATATTTGTTCCTGTGCCTCCCTGGTGGAGCAAGGGGTTAAGACGCAGCCTATGAAGCTATTAGCAGCCACTGAAGCACAAATTCGATCCCCGGCCAGGGAGCTACCCACTTGGTGCAGCAGACCTCTCCTGACTTGCCCACTGCTTCCCTCAGCAGTGTATGTCAGTACATCTGCCTGTTCTGCTCCCCATTCTGTCTCTGGTGAATTCTCTCACCCCCCCCACAGCTCTGGCCTGTACCATAGTTCTTGTATGCATAAATAAATAAATCTTAAAAAACAAAACAAAAAAATCCATATTTGTTCCATAACCTCAAAACCATCCTTCCCTCTCCCTCTGCATTAACATAGTAATTTCCTCCTTCCCCCCCATGCCCTAATTTTAGAAAGTTTCACTTAATATTTCTTGCTTTTAGCCCATGTTTAGAAGGCTAGCTGGGCTCACAGCTTGACATGATTGCACAGACTGGGGGGAAGTTTTAATACAGAAATGTGTAAGGGACTGCCTTGATGCTTCAGTGGACAAAAGCATTTATTTTCATGCTGTATATATAAGATGACAGTGGGAAGCAGGATTTGGGTAGAAAATAAACTTTTTTCTTTTTTTAATCAGGCTTACTGTTATCATGGGCAGACTCTGTTGTCTAGTGATAAGTGTGGTGAAGCAATCAGGGCTCTCCAAGAAGCAGAAAAATGTAAGTATTCCTGCCAAAATAGGTACTACTTTTTAAATAGGCATTTAAAAGTTTGAGAGAGTTCATGCGAGGGAATTGGGAATGAATGAGGTAATTGGAGAAAAGCAAAACATATTTCAAAGACCAAGGAACCTGTAGAAATGTCCACCTTTCCCTTACACTGTTGTTGTTGCTATTATACTATACTACGTCAAGGAGAACAACGTTTTCTCCCATTTCCCTTTTTTTTTTTTAAAGATTTATTTATTTATTTATACAAGCACTGGGTATAGTCAGAAGCACGGGAGGGTGAGAGAATTCACCAGATCCGGAGCGGGGAGCAGAGCAGGCAGAAGGACCAAAGTACACTGCTGAGGGGAGGGGAGCAGCGGGCGGCAGGAGAGGTCTGCGTGCCATGTGGGACCCTCCTCTGGTGCCGGGTAGCAGCCGGGGATCGAACCGGCGCTGCAGAGGCTGTGGGCAGCTTCACAATCCAGCGCTCAACCGCTGCGCCACCGGGGAGGCCCCGTTTTCTCCCATTTCTGATTTAATGTCTTTTTGGTATAAATCAACAAGTACAGTCAAATGACTGTATATCCCTTTCACATGCAGTTTATGCAAAGGCAGAAGCATTATGCAAAGAATATGGAGAAACCAAAGGCCCTGGACCAACAGTCAAGCCTTCAGGGCACTTGTTCTTTAGGAAACTTGGAAATCTTGTGAAGAACACCCTAGAAAAATGTGAGAGAGAAAATGGATTCATGTGAGTACAGTGTACTGTTTAGTAATATTAGTAATAGTATACATGTTTAAAATATTTAAATGTTAATATTGTTAGTAATAGCACAGTTTCTATTCTCTAAGAATGAATTACTGTTTAAATTGCTTTTTGCAGTTACTTTCAAAAAATCCCAACAGAAGCCCCACAACTGGAACTCAAAGCAAATTACGGTCTTGTAGAACCTGTACCTTTTGAGTTTCCTCCTGTGAATGAACACTGGACACCAGAAACACTGGCTGCATTTGATCTCACCAAAAGACCCAAGGATGACAGTGTATGAGATTGGGTTCTGTTCATTCGTTCACGAAAATTTAGAAGGATCAGAGTTAGCAGTTTGATATGTTTCTCTCTTTAAGTAGATCTGTACTTTTGTCTGAATGTTAAATTAGTTAATTACTTGCAAATATAATTCATGTAGAACTCAGAGTTAGGATCTCTGGGCCTTACATGTCTTCTGATTTTCTACGTAACTGATGTTGTTTTCAGCACATTATCCTACAAGCTGTTTACAGCTTGTCCATATCATCTTTAAGGCGAGTGTGGGAGAAAAGAGCTGGAAAAGGTGGCTCCTCTGTGTTTGTGTTGCTATAGCAATGCTGTTTTTGATTTAGCATAATGCAGGGGATGTGAAGATTTGACGAAATGTCAACTCTATGAAATCATCAGGAGTAAAACAAGACTACTTTTATTTATTTGTATCTAAGTACATCTTGGTGTAGGAAATCAAACGTTTGACTAAGTGGAAGATTTGAATTTTGACTACCAAAGAGAAGATCTGTGAAAAAGGGGATGGGAGATTGTTTTTCAGCCATAACTCCTTCCTTGAAATTGGATTGTTTTCATTATAATATTTCAAACCCGTACTGAAGCCATTATTTCTTTTTTTTTTTTTAATTTTTTTTTTAATGGAGGCATGTTTTATTTATTTGTTTGTTTGTTTGTTTGTTTTGTTTATACATGCACTGGGTACAGTCAGAAGTGTGGGAGGGTGAGAGAATTTACCAGAGCCAGAGTGGGGAGCAGAGCAGGCAGAAGGACCAAAGCACACTGCTGAGGGGAGCAGTGGGCGGCAGGAGAGGTCTGCGCGACCCTCCTCCGGTGGCCGGGGAGCAGCCGGGGATTGAACCGGCGCCGCAGAGGCCATGGCAGCTTCGCAACCCAGCGCTCAACCGCTGTGCCACCGGGGAGGCCCCTGAAGCCATTATTTCTTAACATAACTATCTGTGTATCCTGTTCAATCTCTTAAGTTAATGCCCTAAGTGGTTGCTTATTACTTTCATTGGTTATTTCCAAATTTAAGAGTCTCACATACATGGCGCCATCATCACTCGACTTCCCCTCCTCAGAGAACAGAAGAGTACAGTTAATTTGATTTTTCCCTGGGCTTGCATCCTCATGGGGATGTTGCTTTCTACTTTTGTCTTAAATTTAGTTGCTATGTAGCTTCTGGAATGGCTGTGTTAATCTGTTGTGCGATGTAATATGACCTCTTTCAAAAGTCTGAGTTAGAAAGGACACAGTGTTTGTTTTCCAGTTCTTGGTTAATGTACTTAACACTATAATTTCCTTCCTCCGTAGACCAAACCCAAACCAGAAGAGGTGGTGAAACCTGTGAAAGAACCAGATATCAAGCCTCAAAAGGACACAGGGTGCTCCATTTCCTAAAATGCATTACTACAGCATGCACTTGGAATTTCTCTGCTAGTAGATGCTAGTAGATAAGATGAACCTTGGAACTTCATATTTCATATTTCATAAAATGATTTCTCTGAAGCCTCTATATAGAATAATCAAGTACATTTAGAGGGAATCTGCCTTCAGTTTGTTTTCATTCCATGCTTTGTGTTCAGACTCTTTTTATTCAGGATAACACTTGAAAGACTATTATGGTGCCTCTTAAGGGTATTTATGGGGTTTGTTTTTTTCTCCAGACTCGGGGTAGTAATAAATTTCAAGTTAATATAGGTCAGAATCATGTGGTTTCAGGTAGGTTTTTCTGTCTTCACAAAAACTGTTTCTATTTTTTGTTCTCTTATTTGATAGCAGAGAATGACAGAAAAAAAGGGTTTTTAAGACAGTTTTTCCCTCTCCTCACTATTATGTTAATTCTGAGTCCCTTATCTTTTCTGGTGAAAAAAAGTCACTTAAGGGTCAGAAAATCTTCATTCTTTACATATGTTAGACTCCAGAATTCCCTTAGAAATGAGTGTTGATAGGGAGGTTGTGACCATTGAAATGCTCTTTTTTGGTAGCTTTGCTCTTCATTTCCAGCTCAGAGATTTTCTACAAGTACCTTTTCTAATGTTTTTTTTTTTTTTACCTAGAGGATAGAACTTTCTAACAGCTCTTAGTGTTTCTATGTGAGAACAGAGAAAGGAAGAAAATGTTTTTGCAGAAGTCAAATATTGCATGATATAAAGAAAAAAACTTTAAACAAGATAGGTTGTCCTGAATTACACTGGTAACACTACTTTGTCACAGAAGTTACAGTAAAATGCCTTTGCTACCTGATTTCAGCGTACATTATTTTTATATGATTTTCTAATACACGTTTTGATTCAGAGTTGGTATTGCTTTAGGCCAAAGGCTGTAGCAAAAACTTAGAAAACATACAGTATGATTTTAAAAATAGCTTGTATTTGAAACCATTAGTTCTAGTATAAACACAAACTTGGGAAATAGTGGATGTATAATACTTTTACACAAGTTATACATCTTTAGGATTATCATCTTTTGATTAGTCAAAAGTGTTAGCTACCTTTCTCATTCCTATTATAAATGAGGGATTGTTTATCTTAATAGGAATGATAATAGTTATTTTTGAGAGGTTTTAACGTGTCAGGCACTGTGCTGAACTCTCAACATAGAGAAACCACTGAGTCCACGCAGCAGCCTTGGGAAAAATTTGTAAATCCACATAAAGTGTTGAAATAGGAATAAGCATTTCATTATGAAGAATAGATTATGCCTATCTGAATCAATATTCTGTTCAAGTAAATGATAATAAATCATAGTTTACACCTCTGATAAAAAGCTACATAGACTAAGATTTTTTTAAAAAATATGTGAAAATGCTAATTACTCTTCACAATATAGCATTTAATATTTAAATCTGCAGCTTCCAGAATAAGCGGAGTGATATCTGAACATTTATTTTGCTGTATCCGAAAAAAAAATTTAAGTTTAACTGTATTTTGTGTGATCATTACTACAAAATCAGTCATTTGTTTACTCTATGCCATTTACTGACAAAACTTTAAACAGTACTTTGTGCCAGCTTATTACTCTGACTATAGGATCTTTTTTTAGTTACTAGTGCTTATTAACCTAGTTAACTAAATTTTCACATTGACATTTTGTGGATTTTGTGATACCATCTTATCAGCAATGGAAACAATTGCTCAGTGCTTCTGTAAAATGAGGTAAATACTGGCATTACTTTAAATCAGTAATTGGTAACTTTGACATAAGCAGTAATATCCTCTTGACTCAGCAAAGGTGGAACTTTGCGACTTAAATATCCCATTATACATAATATTTGAAATGGTGTTGGAAATTTTGGAAAGTTTACAAGTGTAAAGAGATTGCATGAGACTAGAGATAACTATTTGTGTTAACTTTTGTGTACATTTCATACTTAGACCCATAATGAGAGCTAACATACTCTGCTAAAAGGTGTTTGTATAAGGAATTATCTTTTTATTTATGAAAATAAAGGTATTTCACTTACAATGTCCCTGGGATTTTTTTGTTGATAAATGTTTTTACATTTATTAAGCCAATAACAGATTTAATGCAAAGCAAAATCATAATTCTTCACAGTAACATTTTAAAATGACAAGCATTTGTGCTAGTAGTTTTATGTTAGTGAGTTTATTAAATATTAAATTCTCTTGACCTTTTTGGTTCTATTTACATTTTTCTAGTACCTATCATCTCTTAATCTCAAAGTAGGATTTTGATTGGTTGTATATACCATATATCTCATTCAGTTATCCAGAGCAATACAATCAGTCTTGTACACTAAGCCAGAGAGCTTATCATTGGCACTATAGTATACTGGAAAACTTTGTACTTTGGAAACAAGATGGCATTTTCAGTGCTATCTAAATGTACTCAGATAAAACTCTAAATACATTTCCTTATTTTTTAGTCTTTGTGCTTTAGAAAATACATTTCTTTTTTCTTAATGTGCATAAAAATAAATTTGCTGTGTCACTTTGGGTTACCATAACTATGTCTAAAGACATTCATATTTGAACAATATGGTTAGAATTTAAATTTTTGTTTAAAAGTTTCAGTAATAAAACATTTATTAAAGGGATTAAAATACCTCTGAATTATAGAACAGGAAGCCATATTTGAGCATGCATTTCAATGTATCTAGTGCCAGTGGTGTGCCTGAGGTAGGTGTGGGCACTTGGCACCTTGGGTGTGCCCCATGGGGATAGTGTTAGCTCAATCACTTGATTGAGATTGTATATTTGAAGCTTCTCAAGTAGTTTGCCTTAAGCAGTTGATCCTGGCTGTCTGAGGCTAGCTGGGCAGGATTCTTGGTGGCTGAAGTTACCACACGTGCCACCTCCAGAATTTCAGGCAATTTCCTACATCTGCCGTGATGGAGAATTGGGCAACACCCCTGTGAGGTAAGTATGTCAGTAATGTTGCTGAGCCCTGGTGATTGGGGCCAGAGACATAGTTTGATAATGAAAATGCATAAAATCCTGCCAGGTCCTAATCAATTTCAAGGAGGAGCAGTGCTTTGTATATCACCTTTTTCCTCACCTGATTCCTCAATCTACCCTGCTTGCCCTGACTCTTCCTCACTCCAGTAGGGAGTAACTGATGGGAGTGGGCAAGTTTCAGGTGACAGGCCTCGAGAAACCAGGAGTGAATACTGTTCTGTGAAGTGGGGCTTTGGGTGTCGTATCCTGCTTTCACAGAAGCTTAACCTTGGCTTAGACCAGGGTGTTGGTAGTGAATGGGGTAGTATTTGGATTCCAGAAATAATGAATACAATTTCCTGATGGATTTAATGTGACATCTGATAAAGGAGAATGAAGGGCTCCTGCATTTTTGGTCTGAGCAAGTGGAAGAATGAAGTTACCTAAGTGGGAATACTGCCAGGGGTGGAGATGTAAGAGTGTGGTGGGGTGTTGGTGGGAACAAAAAAGGAAGAGAGCACAAAATATGAGCAAAGATTTCAATATATCAAGACCAAGATTCTATCAGACATCCAAGAAGAGAAGACATCAAGTAGGCAGTTGAATCAAAGAATCGGACCTAGAGATAAAAGTATTGGACATAGGAGTGTGCGAAGGAAATATTTAAAATGGTAGAACCAAATAGCAGTTAAGGGAGTAGATGAAAAAAGATTCAATCACCAATCCCTGGGGTACCCCACTGTAGAAAGGTCAGGGAGATTGTATGGCCTGTTAATCGCATTATATACTTAAAAGTGCTCCATGATAACCTAGATTTGGGGTTTTTAAGAAACAAAGAGGTGTTTATAAGAATTAAATGGAGATAAAAGGCATGTTTTAGGGACTATGTAGCCCTTTGAAAGGTCATTTACAACACTTACAAAACATCCATGTCAAGATACTTGCTGTGAAGTTGTCAATGCTTGGTAGTTTCCATAAATAAAAATAGATTCCAAACTCTTGGGTATTAAGCCCCACCACATGACGAGCTCTGATGACTAAGATTAATTTTGCCTAGCACTTTCCAAAGATTCCACTAGGTGGCAGAAAAACACTCACTAAGTCAACTTAGTTTTCTCTCTTCACCTCCTTTATGACCTGAATTAAAAAAAAAAAAAACTTTTTTAAAGATTTATTTATTTATGCATACAAGAGCTGGGGTACAGGCCAGAGGTATGAGGTGGGGGAGGTGAGAGGATTCACCAGAGACAGAGCAGGGAACAGAAAAGGCAGACTGAGTGAAATGCACTGCTGAGGGGAGCAGTGGGAGAGGCAGGAGAGGTCTGTTGTCCCATGTGGGTCAGCTTCCTGGCCAGGGATTGAACTTGTGCTGCAGCAGCTGTGGACAGCTTTAGAGGTTGTGTCTTAACCCCTTCCTTGCGCCACCAGGGAGGCCCAAGCCCTCTGAATTAAAACATGCATGTGTGAATTTAATGTACTACACAGTTATCATGAAGAACAAAATGTTAGTTTATAATAGGGGTGACAGGTGGATGGGGGTGTGTCTCTGTTCCCTCTGGTTTGGAGATGTATGAGTTGAGAGATGGCTTTGAGAAGAGAAAATTGTAATGATTTAGGCATTATTCTTAAACTTTGAAGTTTTTAAGTTGAGGTCGAGGTCAGGCAGGAAAGACCAGAAAGCAAGCGGAAAGCCAGAAGCCCTCATAGGAAAAAAAAAACAACAAAAAACGTAGACGAGATTTCAGAGCACTAGCTGGGTGGCAGCATGGCAAATCACAAACACAAGTCTCTGTTCATCTAAAAGCCACGTTCTTTCCCAAATTCCTTCCTGTGCCCAAACCTGCCTGGGCATCAGACTGAGGTCAGTTTTGGAGATGTTGGGTTCAGAAAGTGGAAGAGAAAAGTACTTTCCAAAGGAGACTCACCCACATAAGTCCTCTACTTTTTCTGTCAATGCTTTAATTTGTTATGAAAATAGTGCAAAAAACTGGGCCTCCCCTAGTGGCGCAGCGGTTGAGCGCTGGGCTGCGAAGCTGCCGCAGCCTCTGCAGCCCTGGTTCGATCCCCACCCACCGGCGAGGGTCCCACATGGCATGCAGACCTCTCCTGCTGGGCCCGCTGCTCCCCTCAGCAGTGTATTTTGGTCCTTCTGGCTGCCTGTTCTGTTCCCCACTCTGGCTCTGGTGAGTTCTCTCACACTCCTGTGATTCTGACTGTACCCAGTGCTTGTATAAATAAATTAATTAAAAAAAAAAGTGCAAAAAATTGCTTGAAAGTAGTGCAAAATTTAGAGCAAAAAGTCATTTGGTAAATGAGCAGGCAATAGGCAAGGTTGAGCCATCCCTCGTCTGTCCCCAAGTCTTGGGTTAACTCTGGGAAGTTTCACTGGAGCTCCCCTTTCTGCGGCACTGGTGAGTTCCTCCAAGAGACAGAGGCCTTATATCCAAAAGGGCAGGTTTGGGCCTCCCCTGGTGGCTCAGGCAGTTGAGCAGTTGAGCGAAGTGCTGTGAAGCTGTCAGCAGCCTCTGCAGCACCGTTTCAATCCCGACGGGCTGGCTAGGGTCCCACTTGGCGTGGCAGACCTCTCCTGTTGCGCCTGCTGCTCCCCTCAGCAGTGTATTTCGTCAGTCTGCCTGTTCTGTTCCCTGCTCTGTTTCTGGTGAATCCTCTCACCCTCCTGCGCATCTGGCCTGTACCCCAGTTCTTATACAAAATAAATCTTAAAAACAAAACAAAACCAAAAGGGCAGGTTTATTATAAAAAGGGAAGGATAAAAAATACTTGCACAGACAGAAAGAGCTGCCCCCTAAAGGGACATGTTTGGTAAAAGAGGGGCCTGCATAGTCACAGGTGGGCAGCCTTGGGAGGAGCTGCCCGAGATGTTTAGCAAAGGGAGTGTGTCAATGAAGAGAAGCACCAGCAGGGCCACCTGTCACAGGTGGGCAGAAGGGCTGCTGCCCCTGCTCTGCAAAAGGTTGGCAAAGAGAAGCACCTGCAGAGTCACAGGTGGGCAGAAGGGTTGCTGCCTGTGCCAGGGCAGAAATCACCCTGATAATCTTCTCTTTGGGAGGGGCTCAGTCCCTGGTGCAGTTGTTAACCTTTGTTAAACTAATTACTTCTCCATGTGACTAGGTTGATTTGTAAGGACCAGTGAGTCTCTACAAAGGCCCTCAAATTCCTTATCCTCCACACCCCACCCGTCTGGGCCTCCTGATACTCTCTATAGCAGTCTGCTACTGGCTATTGCAGTTGGCTTCTGGAGTTTTCATTTCTATAGCTGGTTTAAGGCTATGTTAATCCCTTCCACCCTTGCCTCCAGCTCCTGGCATTGCCTGAACCAGGTTTCTGGTCTTGTGGCACCTCCTTTCCAACTTTTCTGCTCTTATCCTCCATCAGAACCACCTGGAGCGTTTCAACAGCTACTGTCTCCAGGGTTGTTACTTAGTGGTCTGGGGTGTGGCCTGAACTTGGAAGAGCTAAGAGACCCCCAGGTGATTCTAATGTGAAGATTAGTTTGAGGGCCACCGATTGTTTCATGCTGTGTGTGTAAATACACCCGGCCTTCCCACAACTCAAACACAACCCGCCCGAAAGATACACAACTGTCCACGTTGGCAGACTTGGGGAGGAGGGATGGCTCAGCCTCGCCTTATTGCCTGCTCATTTACCAAACAACTTCTTGCTCCAAATTTTGCACTACTTTCAAACAATTTTTTGCACTATTTTCATAACAAACTGAAGCATTGACAGAAAAAGTAGAGGACTTATGTGGGTGAGTCTCCTTTGGAAAGTACTTTTCTTTTTATTTTTGCATAGAGTGTGTTCTATTGGCAGTGAGATGACAGTATTATGCTTAGCATGTTGTTGGTCTTAAATGTGAACTTAAAATGGTGATCTGGGGTGGGGGGCTCTTTGGCATCAAAACTAAATGGTAACAATGATCCCTATTTCTTACCGGAGGCACCTTTGTGACAGTTTTCACTAAGTCGTTGAGAGAAATGCCACTCAGAGGACTCAGGGCTGGGCAGGTGCCACATCACTTGCCCCAGATGACACATTTAATCATTGACAAAGGCATTAATCCAGTGTTGCACCAATAAGATTTGCTGATTGTAGGGTAAAGAAAATGTCAGGCTTTTCTGCCCTTCCGCCATCAGGATAGATGATGGATCCTTGTCCTGAATGCATGCCTGATGGCGGGCACCTGGAATAGGGTGTGGGCATAGGTAGATGGGATTCAGCTGAGCTAAGACTGTGCTTTTAAGGGCGGCGTCACGGGGGGACGCCAGGAGCACCAGCACCAGCAGCAGCAGCCGCCGCAGCCGAAGCCGAAGCCGAAGCCGAGAAGCAGCAGAACGAACGCTAGAGAGCCCAGATAGAGTGAGGACTTGCTGGGGGCTGGGAGGCCTGCCAGCCTCCCAGCCCCCCAGCCAGCACCCCTGCCTGCCATATGCCTGGTGAACCCCAAATAAAAAACCTGCAAAACTACTGAGGACTCTGACTCCTCCTTTACCCGGTCTGCATGGGATCAGAAAACCTGCACTGTGCCCTGTCCTGCCCCTTACAATTGGCGTATGTCGGCAAGATCCATGCAGACGGGTATTGGAGCCCTCCGAAGACCTGGAGGGACTAAGGAGAACAGACTTTGCCTGTGACGACGCTGGAGGCACCATGGCGGTATAGAAGATGGATACGTCCACGAGCTATAGGATGAGACCTGGCGTGAAGGAGACGCCCGAAAGGACCAGCCAACGACACCGGAAAGGACCAGCCAACGACACCGGATAGGACCAGCCAACGACACCGGAAAGGACCAGCCAATGACCCCTGAGGCAGCAGGCCATTGCTGAAGCAGGGAGAGGCCAATGGACTGATAGACTGATGAACTGATGATTTTGGACTGACAATCCCGCCAGAAGGCGGAGGACCTTAGCAGGTTATGTTTATTTTTTGAGAATCTGGGGTGGCCAGTGGGCCTAGATGGCCAAAAGCAGCCTGTGTATGCCCAGTGGCCAGGTGGAGAGAAAAGCCAACTAAGGTGGCAAAGCTGGTACTGATGCTAAGTTGAGAAGCCCTAAAGCGGCTGTTAAGCAGCCTGGGTATGCTGAAGCCCTGTGAGTCTCGTAAAATCACCTATGGGTGATGCCCTGCTCATTCTTGAGTGAGGGTGAGGAGCTGAGGAGCCCGTCCTTGTGGGACGGGTGGGGAATGTGGCTTGGGGTGGAGCCCAAGCCAAATGCAAAGTTTGGATCCCCAACCCATGTGCTTGTGCAGTGGGTTGGCTTGAGAGCAGGGGTCTGTGAGTCGCATGGGTGGCCATGAAGGCCGAGTGTTGGAGCGACTGCAGACAGAAACCCTGAGGGTTGGCGATTACCCCCAACAGAATAAAATTGCCAATCCCAGTGCTAGTGCATCCTGGGGGTGGATGCTGTGTGTGCCTTGTAGCCGAGACTACAGCCAGAGAAGGCCAGGAAGCCTGACGGCTCCTGGTGTGTTATAGCAGATGCCGTGAGTGATTTCCCCTCCCTCATATGAGCAGTGCCTTCGGCAGCAGATTTGGTGGCTCATCTGCTGGTACCAATAATTGTCTTTTGCACTTGGTTGGTGCCCTGCCTGGACTTATTTGTGTTCTGTTGTATTTTGTTATGTTGTATTTTGTTATTTGATGTATTTGCTTTTGTGGGCCATGGCTGCATTGTTTGTTTGCTTAGAAAATTGTATATATATGTATAGACTATATGGCAGAAAACCCTGAGGGGGTGGACTGTAGGGTAAAGAAAATGTCAGGCTTTTCTGCCCTTCCGCCATCAGGATAGATGATGGATCCTTGTCCTGAATGCATGCCTGATGGCGGGCACCTGGAATAGGGTGTGGGCATAGGTAGATGGGATTCAGCTGAGCTAAGACTGTGCTTTTAAGGGCGGCGTCACGGGGGACGCCAGAGCACCAGCACCAGCAGCAGCAGCCGCCGCAGCCGAAGCCGAAGCCGAAGCCGAGAAGCAGCAGAACGAACGCTAGAGAGCCCAGATAGAGTGAGGACTTGCTGGGGGCTGGGAGGCCTGCCAGCCTCCCAGCCCCCCAGCCAGCACCCCTGCCTGCCATATGCCTGGTGAACCCCAAATAAAAAACCTGCAAAACTACTGAGGACTCTGACTCCTCCTTTACCCGGTCTGCATGGGATCAGAAAACCTGCACTGTGCCTGTCCTGCCCTTACACTGATTTATTCATATGTGCATAAATATGTTTGTTTATGCATGTGTATATTCAGTCATGCTTGTATTGCCTTAAATATCTGCAAAATTCAGTCTGCTAGACTTTGCAGTATGTGACATGATTCACTTCTGTTCATTGTGATTATTGCTTTATTTAGAAGTATTTCTGATAACTTATTTAGCGTTTCATTAATCATGCATTTTCTGTTTCCCCTCTATTTCCCACCTTCTGTTGGGTTGATTACTTATTTCCTTTTTTATTTCTCCTACTGGTTCTGAAGCTGTGCATTCTAATTCCATTATTTTTCCAGTTACCTTTATATTATTTTAACATGCATACTTAACAACTATCCTATCCAATGTATTCCAGGACAATAAAGAGGTTGGTTCCTTGTATTTATGCTCTTGTGGTCTAATAGCTTATGCTGCTGTTTCTATACTGCACCCTTCAGAGTTTTTCAGACTTCCTCCTTATTGAGATTTGCTGCTCTGTATACTCATGCATATGTATTTGTTTTTTGCATCCAGCTCTTACTTCTGGGTTTGGTTTCCTTTTTGTTGACATACAGTCTGATATTATTATCTTTCAGTAAAGATGCAGGAATGGTTAGCTCTCAGTTTTTATAAGTCTGAAATTGCGTTATTTTAACTCTCTTAATACTTGGTATGGTGGGCATTGAACTCTTCTTGGCAATAATTAGGTGTTTTGCAATTGTTGTTTCTAGTTTGAAGTCTGGTCTATTTGATATCTCTTTATGAGTTATCTATATGCCTCATCTATGAATTTACAGATTTCTGTGATCTAAATTTTATTTTATTTTCACTAATTCCTCTTAGTATTATTTATATTACTCACATTTGAAGATTTGTGTCTTACCTCAAATATGGAAAATTCATAGCCATTACAACTTTATATAACCTCCTCCATTGTTTCTATTTATTTCTAGAATTTTGAAATTTCTCATCTGCTTTTTTTATTGCATAACTTTTCTTTCCTGTTAATGGAATACAAATTTCACTACCCTGTGTTATCAGAGATATCCTGATTTTTTTCACTATGTTTAATCTCCACGCAACCTATTCTATGTTCACTATATATTTCATTTCTGGAATTTCTATTCAGTTCTTTTTCAAACCTACCTCCCACCTCTGTTTGTCTCTCTGCTACTTACTTCTTTAATGCAAACCAATTTAATGTTCTGCTTGTTTATTTTATCTAGCCTTTCTGTGTTTTTGAACAGGAAGGAGGAGTCTTCCATATCAGCTCAGCCAGCCATATTTGCTGATGTAATCTTAAAATATAGTGTTTTAATTAAGACAATAGTGTGCTTACCATATTAGTGTCTGACACATACACTTTTAATGAAATGATGAGTACTTAATAATAGCTAACTTTTGTTAGCTATTAAAATTTTTTTGTTAGCTATTAGAAATTTTGCTAAAAATTATTGTAAATTTCAGTATCTTGACTCATTTACTCTTCAATTTTATAAGACTGGTATACATTCAAATATATAGTCAGTTTCAACCCTCCCCTGACTCACATTGGAATTGGGACCCAGGACTGAAAAGAACATGGAATTACAAGATTTATATTGTAGATATAGATTTAACTTTTAGGAAACTGCCAAACTGTATCCAAATGGACTATCATTTTGCCTTTACACTAGCATTGTGAAAGTTCCAGTTGCTTCACTTACTCCTCAACATTGGCATTGTTAATCTTTTCAATTTTAGCCCTCTCATGAGCACAATATCTCAATATTGTTTCAATTTGCATTATGACATTGAGCATCTTTTCCAAAGTTTGTTTAACAAACTTTGTTTAAATCTTCTTTAGTAATGATAATGGCAATAAAAAATCCAAATCATCTGCCTATATTTTAATTGAATTGCTTGTTACCTATTGAAATGTAGCAGTTCTTTACATACTCTGAATATAAGTCCTTTACTTGCCAAATATTTTTTACCATCTTTGCAAAGTGTGTATACTCTTAGCCATTACCTGTACTGCCTCTCAATATTTATTGAAGTGATTGAAGCTACTATGATCCCTTCCTATTTGAAGTTTTGGATTTTACAATTAGTAGAGGCTGAGAGAACCCTGCTAAAATTTTGTTTGCAGACAAAAATTTCACATTTCCACTATTTATTGAATCTCTTCTGCTTTTTGCTACAGAGCTAAACAGTCCTCTCTTGGATTTGAAGAACTGATGAGATCACAGCTGTGACTGCCTCTGATATCTGTCTTTACCATCCACTGAAGATAACTAGACCCTTCTCTGCTATACAAATACTACCTCAGAAAACTTGCCCTAAGATAATTTATTTTTAACTTACTAGTTGTTTTGTTTTCTTCTGGAAAAGACAGTATCCAGAAGTTAGAACTAGAAATGAGTGGCCCTTCTAAAAGATCTACTCCCAAAGAATCATCCATTTTGTTGATGGAGACATCATGGAAGAATACAGTACAGAGGAAGAGGAAGAAAACCAAGAGAGAATGGATTCAACACTTGACCCTGTAAGCTTAGAATATTATATTAGTGAACGTAAGGGATTGGATGAAGTCATACCAGATTTGTAGAAGATACAGTTTTGAGCTAACTCTTTGTTCTCCTTTCTAGATACTTGAACAGTCAGCTCAAAATCTTGATAATTATAGTTTTCTCATCTAATAGCAAAAATGGAATAAGCTTTTTGAAATCTCTAAATGAAAGACTGCAATTACCACTCTTTTTTATGATTTATTTTTATTTATTTATGCATACAAGAACTGGGGTGTAGGCCAGAGGTACAGAGGATGAGAGGATTCACCAGAGACAGAGTGGGGAGCAGAACAGGCAGAGCTACTGAAATATACTGCTGAGGGGAGCAGCGGGAGAGAAAGGAAAAGTCTGCTGTGCTGTGTGGGTCAGCTCCCTGGCTTGGGATGGAACTCATGCTGCAGTGGCTGCTAATAGCTTGATAGCGCTCAGGCTTCAACCCCTGTGTCACCAGGGAGGCCCTTCAGTTACCACTCTTTATATCAATTACTCTAACTTGATTTCTTTCTCTCTCTTTTTCCAGTCTAAACTTTCATGGGGACCCTACCTATGGTTTTGGACAAAGCGAATAGCAAGCATCTCATTTTCAAGTAAGTACCAGTAAGGTTATTTATTTTTTGTCTTTAATTAAGATGGAAAGATCCTCAGGGTTATATGGGATTGCCAATAATTAATATACTCCATGACATTCTGAAGAAGTGATGATTTGATCATTTCTAGCTTTTTGCTTTTATACGTTCGATGCTAAAGGCACAGAACTCACCTCTTCTGACAGACCTTTGCATCTTTTCCATCTTCTTGTTAGTAAACTTATATTTTGTCTTCTTTAAAGCTCTTCCTATTGATCTTAGTTGTTTCCAAAACCAAAAACTGGGTTACTTTTTTATGGGGCAGAACTTCAAATATTTGAAGACAATAAGCAATCCTTTTTGAGTCAACTCTTCAATGGAATAAACTACCCATTATGCAAGCTAAACCTTTGTCCACTCTAACAATCAGAGATGCTATGCTGAGGCTGCCAGTCGCCTCGCTACTCTGACTACAGGCAGACCAGGCAGGCTTTAAACTGCTAAGGGGGAGTTTGTCTGGAAGAATTTCTGACATGCATTTAGGTAATGCTAGATCAAATTTTTGATATAATTTGAAATATGCTAACGCTGAAGATTAATTAATTCCCATGGGGATGGGCAGCATTGATGCTCATTGCTCAGGACGCCTGCTGCACCTGTTCTAATCTGAAGATCTCTGCTGGGATAGTCATCTGGAAAGGGGAGTTTAGATGTGATCCCATGTGAACATAGAAGATTTAACAAGTTTGAGTCCTCGAATTTTTCGAGGCCCCCAGACCAGTTGAAATCTCTTGTCAGCCTTGATGTTATGTATCGTAAAAGATCACTTCTAGGAAGTTTAAACTATTGGCACTTAGAGTTGGCACTAAAGCCAACTCTAAGTTTACTTATGAACTCAGTTTACCAAAATGCTTGTTCTTTCTTCTAGCATGTGACTTCCTTGGTGAAAGATTTGCTGTCTTGTTTGGTCTTAACCAACCCAAGTATCAGTATATGCTAAAACAATACTATCGAACACAAAATGAGGTATGTGACCTCCTGCTGGGTACATTGAGGGCCCTGGGATGGGAGGGTGGTCATTCCTGCTTTGGCCAACAGTGAAGAGCATTTGTCCACCTGGTAATCTCATACCACATACAATTTCACTGAGTTCCTATGGTCAGACTGACTAATTTTCGAATGTGCCCACCCTGTGACACTTTGTATTTGCCTCACACCTGTGAAGTTAGAAAGCCAAATGATGGCTTGTAAAAAGGTCAATGGGTGACCCCTGAGACTGTTTCTCATGCTCCAAGGGCAGGGTTGAAGGTCACAGGGTATTGAATTTACAATTAAATGTTTCCTTCTCTCCACACAAGGAAAGTGACCAGGAAGGTGAAGGGAATGGATCCAAGGCCCAGCCAGCCAGGGCTCCTAATGAGAAGAGTCCCCTGGAAGTTGGGGGCCTCGATTATGGGACCAGAGGACAGGAGTCCCACAGGGCGTTCCCTGGTGAGGGCCTCTTCTGGGGAGGGCAGATTCCAGTTGATAATGGTAGTTCCCTGGATCTCTCTTCCTAGGCCATTGATTTCCATGTTAACAGCATCACAGCTAGTACTTCTGAGCCTGATCTGACCTCAATCTGCTTGTGATTTATCTCCGGTATCCAGGAATTACAAGCAATAATGAGAATAATTCTAGATTATTCTTTTTCAATATAAATTTTTATTTATAAGCCCCCCAACTCAACTCTACCGCAGTGATAGAAGTTGTGTTGGTCAGTTGTGGTCTGTTAGTATTGACATTTGTGCAGTCAGTAGTTTAAATGCCTTAAGGTACTTGGGCTTGGAAGTTTTAGGCTGAACACTTGGTCATGGGACCAGGGTGCAGAAAAAAGCTTGTCTTCAGAAGCAACTATGGACATCATGAAATCTAAATATATTTCCTTTCAAGGTTTGACAAATAGCCTCTTTGGTTTACTTAAGGCTTGTTTCACAATAAACAAGCTTTACTAGTAATGCAGTAAAAATATCAAAGTCACTGGGAATTGGCTGCATTTCTCCCCAAATAATCAAAACATCTAAGCTGAAAAGAAAATATTTGGAAAAATGACCTCGTTAACAAAATTTCAAAACCCAGAATGATCAAACATGGAAGTCATAGCTGGGTAACAGAGATGGTGCTGGCCAGGGGTGGTTGAGATCTACAAGAACAGCCTGGGACTCACAGCTCATGGCTCCAGGCCACCACTTACCAGTGGGTGATATGTGTCCCTATAGCTGAGCCAAGGTCTTTTTTTTTTTGTAAAACAGGGATGGTATTTTTTTTGTTGTTGTTGTTTGTTTCTCTAGGGTTATTGTTAACAAAATGAGATAATAAATGTGAAAACTTTCAAAATCTGTGAGTATTGCTTGTTAAGACAATCAGTGACTGTGACACATGGTCATACTGAAGGCCCTCAGGGAACCAGGCCTTCTGGAATTCACATCCTCCTCCAGTCCCACCTACACTGACTCTGCGCTTGGCATGTGACTTGCTTTGGCCAGTGAGACATGATGCAAGTGGAAGGCTGATAAACTCCTTGTTGTAAAGAAACTTGGGCTTCTTTTTGAATGACAAGAGGCCGCCGCGTGGAGACAAGCCCCCAAGGATGAAAGAAAGACCATCTTACACATTTCAGCTCCAGCCTAGTTCCCTAGACTACATGGAAGTGATGAACCACACAGCTGAGCCCACTCAACTCATAATAAAATCACAAGAAATAACAATGCAGTCGTCTATAACTAAAATGATAGCTCTAAGAGGTGGGGAAATAGAAATTGATTTGCTGTGAAATCAAGGATGGAAATAAGTCTGGAGAATAAGGTATGCTTGGTAGAACATATCAGAATATTTAGATTATGCTGCATAAACAGACAACCCCCAATCTCGGTGGTTTAAAACAAAATAAGTTTATGTCTTTCTCATGAGACACCGACTCGGTTTGGGTGGCTTCTCGAATGTTCTCCATGAGTTGGCTCAGTGTGATGAGTCTGACCTATGCTTCCTCCCTACCAAGATGCTATCAGGGTTGCTGAAGCAGCAGTGGGCTGGAAAGTGAGGTACTGGCAGCCAGTGTCTCCATTAAGAATGAATCATGTCACTGCGGTTTCTGCTTCTTCCATCAAAGCAAGTCACAATTCACATGAAGGGTATGAACTACCTACAGCAGATGAAAAAGGGAAACACTTTATTCCAGAAGCTTAAGGGATAAATGATTGGCTCAAGAGTCAAAGTGATATTGGTTGAGTCTCAGCTCTGCTGCCTGTTTCTAACCAGGTGGCACAAGTTACTTCTCAGTGTTTCCATTTGTAAAACAGGTTTGATACAGGCATCTCATGGACCTCAGTGTTACATGTTTCAGTAGGTCTAGAACAAATCTGGCAAGCAAATACCTAAGCAACACTCTCTATTTCTCCTCTTTCTTATACCTGAAGATGACCATTGTATATCTATTTTAAGTGAATCTTTATTCTTATTGAGATATAATTGACATATATGTTTATATAATATAAACATATATAATATAAACATAATATATGTCATATCTCAATAAGAATAAAGATTCACTTATATAATTGACATATATAAGCCCATATATAATTGACATATATGTTTATATAATATAAACATATATAATATAAACATATAATATATATGTCATATCTCAATAAGAATAAAGATTCACTTAAAATAGATATACAATGGTCATCTTCAGGTATAAGAAAGATGAGAAATAGAGAGTGTTGCTTAGGTATTTGCTTGCCAGATTTGTTCTAGACCTACTGAAACATATAGCACTGGGGTCGATGAGATGCCTCAATATTCCCCCCCACAAAAAAATTTTTCTGTCGTTGTTGCATAAACTAATGTTCTTCAAATTGGATTTACTTCCCTTTTGAAGAACATTAGTTTATGCAACAACGACAGAAAAATTTTTTGGGGGGGGTAAATATATGTTTATATTAGTTTCAAGTCTACAATTATCTAGTATTTGTGTATATGTGAAGTTCAGTTAACATCCATCATCTCATATAATAATAAATTTTTTTCATATGATGGGAACTTGGAGGATGCTGTCCACCACAGTTCCAACCACAGCCAGAGCCAGCCCAAGTGCACTGCTCCCTATTAAAGGCTCCCAAAATGGCCACTCAGCTCTGCCTCCTTCCAGCAGCCCCCTCCTTCAGACCACGGCACTACACAGACATCTTTCCTTCTCTCCTAGCCAGTGTCCAGCCATCAGGGGCCCAGCATAGGCATGATCTGCTCCCAGCCTGAAAGGGGCAACCTGGTAGCCCAAGAGGTGGGGAATGCTGGGCTCAGCCAGCCAAAACTATCCATCCCCCATTCCTCACTGAAGTTATGTGGCCTTTGTGCCCAACAGAACACTTTAAAAGTGATGATATGCACCTCTGAGATAACTCGAAGAGACACACACTATGGCTACTCTTTTGCTCTCTTTTTTAAAAAAAGATTTTATTTATTTATGCATACAAGAGCTGGGGTACAGGCCAGAGATGTGTGTGTGTGTGAGAGGATTCACCAGAGACAGAGTGGGGAACAGAACAGGCAGATTGACCAAAGTACACTGCTGAGGAGAGCAGCGGGAGAGTCAGGAGAGGTCTCTTGTGCCATGTGGTTTGCTCCCTGGCCGGCGATCGAACTCATGCTGCAAAGGCTACGGATTGCTTCATAGTGCAGAGCTTAACCACTTGTGCCACCAGGGAGGCCCTCTTTTGCTCTTTTTTTTTTTTTTTTTTTGAGACCTCATTCTGTGGGAAGCTAACTGCCGCATGTGAGGCCAATCACCAGCTACAGAGATGTCAAGGTGGTAAAGAATGAGATAACCAGTGAAAAGCTCCTGAGGAATGGAGGCCTTGCCACAGGCTGAGTCCCTGGAAGGGTCGAAATAGCATCCAACCCCTGGAACTAAGTCCTGGCCCCAACAGGGAGGGCTAGCAGGTGCAAACACCCTCGGGTTAGATGCAGGATGCACATGCACACTTTGCTCTCTGCCCCCAGTCCCTGCAGCAAAGGCCTCTCTAGCAGGGGAGCCTCCCAGCAGTCTCTCAGGGAAGGACCCCAGCCAGGCTCTCCCTATCAGGAATTTTTCTTTTATTTATATATTTTTTACATCATTGTTCATTTTTATTTATTTATTTTTTTTAAAGATTGATTTATTTATTTATACAAGCACTGGGTACAGTCAGAAGCGTGGGAGGGTGAGAGAATTCACCAGAGCCAGAGCAGGGAACAGAACAGGCAAACTGACGAAATACACTGCTGAGAGGTGCAGCGGGCGCGGCAGGAGAGGTCTGTCTCGCCATGTGGGACCCTTGCTGGTGGCCAGGGATCGAACTGGCGCTGCAGAAGCTGCGGGCAGCTTCGCAGCCCAGCACTCAACCGCTACGCCACCAGGGGAGGCCCCATTGATCTTTTTTAAACAGTATTTGCTCTATAGGGACTTATTTTTTTTAAGATTTATTTATGCATACAAGAACTGGGGTACAGGCCAGAGGTGTGGGTGGTGAAAGGATTCATCAGAGACAGAGTGGGGAGCAGAACAGGCAGATTTACTGAAATACACCACTGAGGGGAGCAGTGGGTGAGTCAGGAGAGGTCTGTAGCGCCATGTGGGTATCTCCCTGGCCGTGGGATCCAACTCGTGTTGCAGTGGCTGAGAATAGCTTCATAGGTTGCCTCTTAACCTCTTGTGCCACCAGGGAGACCCTCTATCAGGACTTTTAAGGTCCCTCCAGCTGGCCCTCATGCAAAGAGCTGCCTTGAAGTTGGATAGAGTTAGGAATAAGTAGCTGTTTTGTCATAGCCCCCCACCCCAGTCCCACCACCTCCATCGAAACCCACGCCATTGACCAGGCCCTTGAAAGTCATCTAGGCCCCTGCTTCCCGGAACCTCTAGCTATGAGCATGTGCAGCTGGTACCTTGTCTGTAGGTCCAAGGCACCCTGGGTCCACCACCAGACAGGGTCATGGCACCTCCAAGCCAAAAGGGAACATCTCATGGCTTGGGGGCCACCCCGAATTTCAACTGATTCTGTGATGCCAAGTGGCGATAGTTGGTCCCCACTTGGCAGTGCTGCTGCTCGGTTCCCAGGACACTTCCTGAACCAGCACTCACAATGTCTCCCAGCCCAGGCGGCCAATAAAGTTGGCTAAGGGCTTCTGTCAGGTGCAGATGGGACACTGGGCCAAGCCGAGGGGCCCCAAGAACCCTGGGCCTTCCCGACCTAGATCCCAACCTGGGTGCTGGGTGCTGAGCTGGGTCCATCGTCCCCTAGTTCCAAATTGCTACGCGCAAGGGCTGCTGGCTCTCCTGCCTGCCCACGCAGCCCAGGGCTCAGAGAGGCCGAGGCTTCCCGGGTCCCTTAGGCAAGGATCCTCTTAGCCCATCCCACAGGCCCTATCAAAACTTTCCAGAGCCCCCAGTTCTGCCTTCAGGAAAAGAGACACCTTTAGGTTGGATAGGGTTACGAATTAGGAAGTGGTCTTGTCTCCCCCTCCCTCCCCCAAGCTGGAGGCTTTGGTCCAGCCCTTCCCATGCTGTGAACTTTTCCAGATCCGGGCTGGCCAGATGGTTAGGCGCGAGCATGCGCTGCAAGCACGGGGTGGATGGCTTGCTAGGCATGGCCGGGTCGCTGGAGGAGACTCCTGGGGGGCAAGCCATGTGCTTGCAAGCACTGTTCTACACAACTGCATGTATTCCCCACGAAGGCTGAGCTGCAAGTTTCTCTACTGCCTTGCCAGGTGAGGGGCTCGCTGCCAGGGGTATCCTCCTAGGGGGTAGGAGGCCCCTGGAGACTTGGTGGCAGAGCAGTGGGACTCAGCACAGCATGTCCATATGGGGCAACATGTAGCTGTGCCTCCATGATATTCCTGGATGGCTTGGGATGGGCTCCCTCTACCCTGGGAGGTTGGGACCTTCCACCCCCGCTTCATTCTTGAGAGTGGGGAAGGTCCAGTTGCCTAGGCCTGCTAATGAGTGCTTAATAAGCACCTGTGTGCCTAGCTGAACAGCCTGCCGGGCTCAGAAAGTTCAAGGGTCTAAGAGGCAAGGTTACCAAAGCAGGCTCTTGGGGAAAACTGGCAAGAAGGTGGGCCCTGAGGTTTCTGTACTGCTTGGCGAGGCAGTAGACACATGAGGTGACCAGAGGATTCTCCAATTAGAGACCCCTGGGAGAACTGGCTGCTGGAGAAGCCAGGCACCCCCTCATGTAACAAGTCAAATCAGGGTGTCTGGGATGTGGGCTTTCTCCAACCTGGGATCTATGCAATTAGCTAATGCTGGGCCCTTGCTTCACAGGCCTGGGGTGGCTGCCCAAGGCCTCCTGATAGGTCACCCACTGTGCCAGTGTGTGGGAAGCAGCTTAGGGTAGCCAGGGGTCTGGAACAGGGCAAGGGTTGGGAGAGCAGGTCATAGGCAAAGGCCTTTTGGGGAAGTATGACTAATTACCAGCCCAAAGCCTTCGCAGTTGGGAATATTCCCCCAAGGCAGAAATGGAAGTTAACTGCTTTATCAGAGAGGGTCTGGGCTGCTGACTGGCGTACCCTCCAGTGAGAGACAATTAAAGCCTTAATTGTTCACGATTCAGAGGCTGCTGGCCTTCTTGTGCTGGAGAGCTAAATGAGCTTGCAGACCATGCATAGCTCTTCTTGCAAGGCATAAGAAAGCCTTTACCCTTATCTGGTTCTGGGGAGTATTTTTTTTAAACTGTTTCATTTCTTGCAAGATGACAGGTTATTACTGTTTCCCAATATCCATATTATCTCTTTAATTAATAAGTAGGTAAATCCCTAATAAATATCTCTCTTCTCCTCCTCCTCCCATTCCTCCCCCTCCTAATCCCCCCATGCACACACCACACACACACACACACCACATACCCCTTTACTGGCCCTGGCAGTCTCTAGATGCAATATGTGGCCAGTGACCCTAACAGTTGGGTCATAACTACAAATCGTGCCTGTGCTACTCTGCAATTTTAAATCCACACTTTTCACAAATTCAACACAATCAGGCTCTAATTTATCAAAATGTGTTATTGGCAACACAATGAATGTTCTTTTTGTGTGAATTATAACAGCTTTTGTTAATTACCTAAAAATCTGCAAACCTGCAGAAACATTTGCAATAAATTGATTTTTCCAGACAGTTCCTCAGTAATAAATAAGTCATCCTGGTGATTAATAAGTGCCCCATCTTTTGATTTTGTTCTCATTTAATTAAAAACCTGAAGACAATCAAGAAAAATCTCGAAACTCCATCTACCAACACACACAGTAAGAACACAAACCAAGGCTGAGACACCATAATGGTTCTCATTACAATTTCCACTGTTGCGATTCTTGCAAATGACAGACATGGAATTTAGATAAAGCAAAGAAATTCTAGGGCACCTGCAACTGGGAATGGGTCAGAGTTCAGGTTTGTTTGGATCAGAGATATGTGAAAAAAACAGAATATGTTACCCTGAACTATGACCCTTTTCACTAAAACTTATTTTGAACTGAATGCAATTAAGCAGCACAAAACCCAAGAAATCTCTCTTTTCTGCCTAAAGGTAGGAGATAAATTCTCCTTCTACTGGAGATACTTATCAGTCCAGAGATCCTCCAGGGCAATCTGCAAACAATAGGTGACTTCATTAGCTCCCATATATTTACCTTCTCTGAATTTGCTTCCCTTGGAAATGACAGTTTTCCCATCATTTCTCTAAAAGGGTATTGGCTTTTGTTGAAGATGTCCTGTAAGTTGCCATTTTGAGTTACTTTGGTTTTGGGTTCTCCTATGTGGTGTGCTTGTTAATCTGTCCTTAGAGCTCAGTTAAAAACAGGGGCAGAAGTAAAGCTTCTCCTCCCATGGTTCTTATCTTTCCTTGATGCGTTTCTCTTGTTCCAGCTCTAGCTGGCAAAGAGCTGGCCACAGACACCCCCGCCTACTTCACTCCTGTAACTTGTGGATCCAGGAAAAGACTTTCTCCTTGATTTCTCACCGAGAACACTGAAGGGTAAGTGCATATCCCCACTTTGGAAGTGGATCAAAGCAGGGTTAGTGTCCCCGATCTTCTGAAATATCCCAGGTATTGATGCCAACACTGGGAATGTGGTGTAAACAAGGGAAATGAAGCCCCTGCCCTCCTGATGTTATAGGGCAACCCCGATATAAAATAAAATGGGTTGCCGGGCTGTGGGTCCTCACCCGCGTGCTTAAAAGGGACTTATTAATACTCCACTAAAGGCACACACAAAAGGTTAATAAAAGGTTTATTTACAAGGGAAAGGGAATTAAGGAAATGTACAACTCAGGGAGAAAATAGGGAAATAAAGTCTTTAATGCATCCTACCCGATCCGCCCACCTGGAAACCCAAAGGCACTCTCAGAGCTGGCCAGATGCTGCGAGCTGGCGGAGAGCCAAAATGGGGGACCCCTCCAAAGCCCATGTGTCTGGCTTTATACCAACCTGGTTGCTTAACCCCACCCTCAGGTCCCAGCCACCTTCCCTTTGGTGGTGATGGGATTTGGAGTTCCCAGTGTCTTTTGGCTTTGGTCTGGAGTGGGGGGTGGAGTCTACAAAGCCTGTATGGAACTAGCTCAGGACATCCTTTTCCCCCTAACAATTCCCCCCTTTCCCTTTTTGCCACCATTTCCATGGTGATGAAGATTGAATATATGGATGTTGGGATGCAGTCTCAGATGAAAATTTTTTCCAGGTTCCAGTGTGAAAGAAAACCAGTCAGTCCCTCCAGGTATTGTCCATTGTGGAAAGCAAAAGTCCTGCATTACTGGAAAAACAGTTCATCAGTCCAAGCAAAAAAACAAAACAAAACAAAACAAAACAAACAAAACAAAAACATCTGGAGGCATTAGCCAAAACAAGACAGCAAATATATCAAAATCACAGGAAAAAAAATCTTAAAATGGTTCAACTTATGTACAATACAAATTTTCTCAACCTTGATCCCAAACTTTTTAACAGCATAGCAAAGTTTGCAAACTAAATCTACTTTTAAACCATTTTACCTATTTTTTGCATAAAATCACAGGGCAGAATAACTAAACAGCAATTTTAGCTGGCTCATTGAAACACTCCATATAGGATCAGACCGAACCATTGGCATCTGGTCCATGTAGGCTTCAGGAACAAAGTTGGTCTCATCAGACTCCACCTGGGCTTTCCTCTTCTTGAGGGTACCAGGACTTTTTCGTTGGCCGGGTTGTCCAGTCCTGCCAATGGAGGCAAGCTTCCTCACCTTCTTTGGAGGTCTCTGGAACCCTATGAACAAAGCAAACAGGTTCTCCTCTTCTTGGTTCAGCTCTGTTTCAACTCTCTGGAAGAAGTCCACGCAAAGTCACACAATGAAACTCATGTCCAATTTTTTTTTTTCTTTTAGTTTAAGTAGACAAAATCCCTAAGGAAGTTATGCAAAAACAGACTGAGATAAGTAGCAAAAAAATTGCTACCACTATGTGTATGCTGTGTTGGTATCAAGGGGAGAGAAAATGTGAACTCAAGTTAGCTTTGCTGGGGAAAAAAAAAAAACAACCGCAACCTTGCTGCAGGTCCTGGTCACTCAAAACAAAAAAAAAACCTTGTGGATTCAGAACAAAATGCAAAAAAATTACCAGTATTATGTCAAAGAAAAATTAGTAAATATCAGGTGTATTCAGACCTGTGTAGGAAATTTGTACTCTCAACAGTTCCATCAATAGGAATCTGTTGAAGTCTTTTCTCCCTATTTTTCCAGAAACAATTTCTGTCAATAAACAATCGAAGTATATACACTATTACAAGGCGACAGTCACCATGGACAATTTACATACATATCAGGTACTGAGAGGTTTTATACACGTTTTAGAAAACCACTGTTAACATTTCTGTACATGCCAAAGTTTTACCATTTTCCCAAGTGACAATACTTTTCCCTTCCAGTTTTACTTCACTAGGAAAGCCAAATAGAACAAATTAATCTAATGTCTTTCCCAGGAGGAAAGGGAAGAAACTTTGTGGAGTGTCTCAGGAGCTCTACTGAGGTTCCACAAAATTTCCTTGCATCTGCCAAATGACAGGCTACCAAATTTGTACTTGAATTTAGATTTCTGGGAAGCTTTGCCATAAATATCAGAAAAATAGCAGAAACAACAATATTCAATCTCTATGAAGGCACCGGCTTAGTTCAGTAGTACAATGTTGACTATCAAACCATAACCTTTAGTTGTTCTCATAACTGGAGACTTTTTTTTTCCCAACATCTATGGGCACCATGTATACCAATTTGCCAACCACTGGAGGCCAAGACAAGGACACAAGGAAAGGGCATACAGACATACAACATATAGACACAAAGAGCTCTTTAGTTACCATTTATCACGTGTGGGATATCTCATACAACTGCAGTTTTACTCATAGGCCAAAGTAACAAAAAAGCAGAGGAAAAAAAAAAACCTCAAAGTTAAAAAAAGCAAAAAGTTAAAAAGTAAATAACAAAATCAAGATTGAAAACCTTCTGTGTAAAAAAAAAAATACTGCCAGCACATGCATGATCCTAGAAATGTACAGAATGGCATGTACAGAAATGTTAACAGTGGTTTTCTAAAACGTGTATAAAACCTCTCAGTACCTGATATGTATGTAAATTGTCCATGGTGACTGTCGCCTTGTAATAGTGTATATACTTCGATTGTTTATTGACAGAAATTGTTTCTGTTATTTCACGTCTCCTAAACTTTGAAAGGGAGAAGATTGGTTAGAGCATGTTCGTTTTTTTCCTCAGGGTTTCTTCAGGAAAAAAATGAGTCCTTGGGTGTCCTGCAACAATAACTAGAAAAGAAGTCAGTAATATTCAAGGTTCACAGGCCAGTGGGACTTTGTCTCTGGGTCAGTTCTTCTGGCGCTTAACTCTGGAATGATGTACCCAGGGTTTTATGCCTATAAGTTTCAAAGTACGTGTGCTCAGCAAAACTTCATATGGACCAGTCCATTACGGTTTTCCCGAAGTCCTGTCCTGTGCTCTTTTTGTACGAAAACAGTCGCAGGTTTCAGTCTCCTGTCCTCTCTATTATTATAAACCCTAAATGCTAAGTCCACTACCTGGGACGGACTCAGCTCTGTGACACCATCTACCTTTGTTAACTTCTTCCTTATGTTTGGAGCACTATATGTGATGAACATCATAGTGTTCAAACGAGCATTTTCTGGGGCATCTGGATTTATATCCGTGTGGTTAGTGTACGTCTGAATAATCCTGTCAAGGAACTCGGATGGATCCTCATTAGCCCCTTGTTCAAGTTCTAATATTTTGTTAAAATTTTTTTGTTTGGGGATTCCCTGCTCCAGTCCTACCAATAGATATTTTTTATACAGATCCAACATCGCCATTCCTCCATTGTTGGGGTCCCATCCAGGATCTACCTCTGGGACAGCAATCTCTGGCTCTGGGGATTGTCTATCCTGTTGGTGGAGACAGTCAGCCTCCTCCCTGGCTTTACTGACTACCATCCTCCGCTCATCTAGACCTAGTAAAGTATGTAACATCAACTGTACATCTGCCCATTTAGGGTGGTGGGAGACGAAGCTTGAGGCAAACAAGTTCGCCATCCTCTTAGGAGCCTGCCGGTACGGGGGGACAGAGCTCCTCCAATTTAGGAGGTCCCCAGTGCTAAAAGGATGGTGCAACCAAAAGTACCCAGCAGGTCGCCCCTGTTCATTCAAGCCACCCATCGGCACCAGGCGAAGAAGAAACTGTCCTGCCTCAGGGTCATCCAACTGTTGTAGAGCAACCCCGATACAAAACGGGGTGCCTGACTGTGGGTCCTCACCCGCGCGCTTTAAAGAACTTATCAATGCTCTACTGCAGGCACACGCGAAAGGTTAATAAAAGGTTTATTTACAAGGGAAGGGGAAATGAGGAAATGTACAGCTCAGGGAGAAAAGTGGGAGACAAAGTTTTAAATGAGTCTTACCTGATCCGCCGATCAGGGATCCCAAAATGGCGCTCTGAGAGCTGGCTGCAAGCCAGGAGCTGTGTAGCCAGGAGGCGAGTGACAGCGAGCCCCCACAAGGCCCACGTGTTTGGTTTTTATACCCAACCTGGCTGCTTAACTCCACCCTCAGGTTCCAGCCAGTGTCCTGATGGCTTTAGTCTGGAGTGGGAGTGGAGTCCACAAAGCCTGTATGGGATTAGCTCAGGACATCCTTTCCCCCTAACAATTCCTGCCAAAATGGGTGCCACGTCTAGTGTGGGGAGACGCCATTTTAGGTTCCTCCCTGGAGGGCAATGGAGGCTGTGAAGCCTCAGGAGTCTGCGAGGGAGGGGCCTCTTCACGTGGAGAAGGCCTTTGTCCTGATGTGTTTAAGGTATTTAGCAAATGATGCTCCTCCTCTTCTAACTCCGCCCTCCTGCAGTCCTCATGGGAAGGAGAAGGTTTATCTCTTCTCTGTGCCATCAGTGGAGCCTCCGCCATATCCCGTTTATGGAGGGCGGCCTGTATCTGGTCCTGCATACTTTTAAATGCTTGATCCTGCATGCTTTTAAAAGCTGACTCAAAAACCTTACGGTTTTCATCCCTCACACTCTTAATAGTTAAATCAAAAGCCTGATTTGGTTGTTGCACTTGATCCTGCATGCTTTTAAAAGCTGACTCAAAAACGTTACGGTTTTCATCCCTCATACTCTTAATGGTTAAATCAAAAGGCTGATTTTGTTGTTGCATAGCTAAGTTAAGAGCTTGAATTTGTTGCAGCAAATTCTCAGTATGTGAAGTAGAACATCTACCTCTCATAGAAACAGGAATGTAGCAAATGGCGCCTACACACATTACCAGAAAAACACCCAGAAGCACAGACTGTAAAGGGATGGCTTGTAAACCGCCCACATATGTACACAGAAGTAAAATCATGTGCCATATACCAAGTTTTATCCAATTATTTACATTTATAAAACTGGTGGTAATATTTAACGGAAAAAGGCTACTTAAATTCAAGGCT